TACTGAAGTTGTTAAATGACTATTTAATTACACAACGCACTTCCCTTCCTTTATATCCCACAGCACAAATATTTCCTTCTCAATCTTTAAGTAAGGGGGTTAGAGGGGGGGAGAAAATGGTATTTCTTATACTAGGCTTAAACCTTTTGAATAATGCTCTTTGGGATGTGAAGTGCAGGGTAGATGGAGTAGTAATAACTTCACATTACAGGGGAACCTCAGCATGAATAACTATTTCCTCACAACCCTCTGAAACAATCCTAATACATTGCAATTCTCAAGATATTGTATCAAATGAAGGTACCATAACGTGCATTGCAAAACATGAACCCAGTAGCACTTGCTGTCGTTTGTTATGTCCCTGCTTCCTTTCACTGTATTATTTGTATGATAAAAATGATAGATTTATTACAACAACAAATGCTATGAATAAACTACAGGCTGGTAGAGCTCCATATATGTAATAGGTTGCCACTGAAGCATGATAACAGAAGCTGTCTAAAGGAAATTGCATGCGCACAACTGGAAACAGAAACAAACTGCATACACACAAGGGTTCATACACTAGGGATTTATAGCATTTTTTTTTTTAAAGCAGCACCAGATTAAAAAAAAAAATGCATGCTTCGGTAATTCCACATGTATTCTATGACTTCCCTAAGTAGGTTTACAAAAAAAAAAATCTGAGTATAAAATTCATGGAATTGGTTGCTAATACGGATTTAACATTCCCAGCTAACTAAATGACCATTATCTAGAGAAGGGAGAAAACCATACCAGAACAAACACCACAAATGAAATTATGTTCACATATCTATCGACAGAAGTCTATTGACAACAAAACCATAAAAACGATCTGCATGGCCATTCAGGGTCAGAAAGTCAGAAAATGTTTCTTTTTAGCCACTGAGTTGGTGAATCAACCAATTTAAACTAAAATATCTCAACAACTACTGGGTAGAGTTCCATAAAATTTGGTACAGATAATAACCCCGTTAAAGGGGTTTTTTTGGGGGGGAGTTTTTCCTTATCCGCTGTGAGGGTCCAAAGGACAGAGGGATGTCGTATGCTGTAAAGCCCTGTGAGGCAAATTGTGATTTGTGATATTGGGCTTTATAAATAAAATTGATTGAATTGATTGAATGGTACCCAGATGGTGAATGAAAATTACTTCCCCCAGGTCCTCGCAGCAGGTTGATATTTGTGGTTTTGAGGGAAATGTCTCAACAACTAATGGATGGATATTCCTTTGAATGCATTATAATTCATCAAAAATTGATATCATTACATCAAAATTTCAATCTGTCCAATGATTTGCTCAATTATTTCTTTAATGCATAAGTGCTGCCAAGCCTCAGCTGTATATTTGATTAAAAAGTATCATATTTATGAAATGGCTAATTTACAAACAATGTGCTAATTAGTTTAGCATGTTAGCATGAACAAAGTGAATAGTATCCTTATTAATATCAACATGTTAGTATTGTCGGAGGCTGTTCCTCTCCAAAGTGGACCACATACGTCATTTGTACAATCAGTTTATTATGACCCATATGTACATTTATTGTTAGTTTGCAACCTCTAGTGGCTGTAGTACTTATGATGGGAGCATAAGAGGAGGTGAGGCAACGAAGTATAAAGAGTGACAAAGACTGCTTAGGTGGATAAGTCAAACAAATACAGAACCTTCATCCAGGACACTGCTGTTCATGTCCCACGTGGAACCAAAAGCCAATGCTGACGTATTGTAACAACATAACATAGTATGCTGTAGTGTGACATACGTCATGTACATCATGTGAGATACGTCATGTTACATTTCATTAGTAACCAACGCACTTATTTTAAGCCAAGCCATTAACTTTTTTCTAAACCTAACCCAGGTGTTCTTTCATCTAAACCTAAGCATGTACTTGGTGCAACTGCAGCCATTTTACAATGTGAACGACATGTTTAAACACATGACCTAAGTAGTCATGTGGATTGGATTGTCATTGTGAGCATGTTAACACGCTGATATTAACAATTAGCTCAAAGCACTGCTATGACTAGGTACAGCTGCAAACATGGCTATAGATTTTTAGTCATGATGATATGTATTAAAATTATCTTATGTGCAAGGCCATTAAATAATTGTTTGTTAATGATTGAAATTTGCTGTAATTTCTATAAATCCACCCTAAGGGATGTACATACCCACTGTGCCAACATATATTATCAAATGTGAGTACTGCACTTTACTGGACTAACACTTTACATACAGAGTTTCTCTTTCATATAGAGTCATAAAGTTCAGGAAAATCAGCAATTTGATATGTTACTATGGCTTCTGCAAAGGAAAAAAAAAAAAAAGTGGAGTCCAAGACAAATTGCCAAATTAAAGAACAAGATTGCCCTCCCTGTTGTTACTTTGTGCAGGTGAAAATGCAAATGCATGACTAACCCCATCCAAGAGCAGCAGCTGATAGCTCAAACACATCATTTACTTGTCATCACAGAAGCCAGGCTGCCAGAGCAGAACAGATGAAAGCCCCACAGCTGTATTCTGTCATATGTGTGCTTCGTGTTAACAGAGTGTGAAGGCAGCAGAGACAAGAAAGTGCAAATAAACATATAACGCCACCCAGCCTCCTAACAACCTGTGGAGAGCCAAAGTTACCAGCATGCACGGAGATGTACTTGAAGACTGCACCATAAATAAATTATGTACTATTTTATATGCTTATGTAATGGGGCTTTAAAATCATAAAGGGTCCATAACAATTTTACCAACACCGTGTTTTGCATTAAGCAATATACTGGTCTGTAAAATTTGGCCGACAACTGCCTTTCTTGTTCAGGCACTGTATGTCAACCAAGAGCTGTGGATGAACTGTGTGGGTATTTTCACCATCATACTTTATAGTCCCACACAACATTCGGTGAAATGGGCCGTGCTGCAGTAAAATGAGGTTTCATGAGCTGCTTTGTTTGAGGGCATAAATACTTTTGTGGCGACCTCATTCATCATCCCATTTTATCTCATCAGTAAATGTATGTTGTATGTTTTGCAGCAAATGACACCGTGTACTGGACAGACATGGGCCTCAACAGAATATCGCGGGCCAAACGTGATCAGACCTGGAGGGAGGACATCATTACTACCGGCATCAGCCGGGTGGAAGGCATCGCTGTTGACTGGATCGCTGGTTAGTAAAGTCACTCCCCAGGAGCTGGAATCTATTACCGTAGGCTGTGAAGTTGGTATTGATTTGTGAAAATTCTCACTTTATGTGCACTGTTTTTAGCTATGGCAATAAGTACATGTGTTTGTTTTGGTTGGAATTGTTAAAGAAGCTAGAACCTTAGTGATAGAGTTGGGTATCCCCCACATAAAATCATTCACAGGGCAAATGTACCTGCAAGATTAGTTATTAGTTGTATATACGTAGGTTCATGATGAGACCTTCTTATATACTCTGCCCATGATGATCAATAAATCACTGCTGTATTTACTCACCTGGCTATTGCCTTTTTCCACACAGGAAACCTATACTGGACAGACCATGGTTTCAATCTAATAGAAATCTCCCGTCTGAATGGTGCATACCGCTCAGTGGTCATATCTGAAGGACTTGATCAACCCAGGGCCATTGCTGTACATCCACAGAAGGGGTAGGCCATGGGTTTTTTAGTCTTATTATGTTAAGGTCACAATTTGCTGTAATCAGTACCACCCCTAAAAACAGTAGTGCAATGGTTTTAAAAGCTATTGTAGACTGAGTACATGTTTACGTTTGCCTTTAGAAACTCTAATATTGTATACTGTAAAAACAAACCAGCTAATGACCAGAGACTATGGTAATTGGTGTCATAAGGCTCTTTGGTGGCAAATTCAGGTGGACAAATAGCTCTTTCTAAGTCCCGCCCTTTTTTCGCTCTGTGCTCCAATTGCAGTTGTGCAAGCTTTAAATACAACAGAATCTTTGTCAACTTTCCTCTAGTTATGTTATGTGCTAGGATCATTTATATTACAATGAAAAAAAAAAAAAACAAATTTAATAGCTAATCTCAGCAAAATGCTAGCTAACCATCAAACCTATAGCTACATCATCAGGAGTTGCCTGAATGCCAGATCACCAGCATCTACCGGGTTTACTTGTTCCTTATTCCTGTGGTAACAATGGGAAAGGTGATTGGTTGGTTGCCGACATATTATTAAGATGACATGAATAATTGTTAGTTAGAAAAGATCAAGGCTAGCGTTCTTTTGTTTATTGGATTTATGAAAGGTGACCTGCCCCCATATCATAACTTTCTACAGTAAAGAGAGACTAGTATTAGACCAGCACCATGGTTTACATGAATAATAATAATAATAATAACAATAACAATGATCCTAATAATAATTATAAGAATAACAACAGTAATAATAATAGTGCATTTTATTTATAGGGGCCTTTCAAAGCACTGAAGGACACCTTACAAGACAGTTAAAAACAAGCAGCTATGATGTTCTTCATAAAACACTTTTCTGGCCATTACTCAATGTCATATCTCAGGAACAGGAGGGAAAAGATTTGGTCAGATACTGAATTGGTGACACTAATCTTGGCTGCCCACCTTGAAACTGTGCTGGTGGTACAGATTTTTTGTGCTGTCGGGGGGAAAAGGTGTGTGAAGTATCTGTGTGTTTTTTACAGATATCGGTGTAAACTGTAAGAGAAACTTGACTGGTGCGGGGAAGCATAGAATTGCGGGGCAGTGATTCAAGTTTTCCATGTGCATTAATCATTTTTTGTGTGATGTACGATGCTTCTGTGGTTGCCAGGTATCTCTTTTGGACTGAATGGGGCCAGAACCCCTGTATTGGCCGCTCCCGCCTGGATGGTTCAGATCAGGTTACCTTGGTCAACTCGGGCATCATGTGGCCCAATGGAATTTCCATAGACTATGAGGTACAGTCGCACACAGATGCTCAAACACTGTCACCAACCTCTTTCCCCCTCCACTCCACTCCTACATACCGTACTTCCTACCTCATCTCCTTTATGGCTGAAATATGACTTTGCCTAAGAGGCTCAGTTTGTGATGTGCATTTTTGAAATTACCTTCCAGGAAAATACATTATACTGGTGCGACGCCCGCACAGATAAGATCGAGAGGATCAACCTTGAGACAGGTGAGAGCCGGGAGATTGTACTGTCAGTGGCTAACGTAGACCTGTTCTCAGTTGCTGTGTTTGGGCCTTACATCTACTGGTCTGACAGGTAATTTATTATTTTCATAAATGTACACACATGCAATGCCCTGCAAAGCCTGCAATACTAACCTGACAATAACCTTTCCTTCAAAGGTCTCATATGAAAATATTAAGAACAGTGTTTTCTCATAGTGAGGGTCACTGCCTATTTTTGTAAATACTCTAGGCAGAATTCAGTGTCATCAGCAAGGGCAAATTCTTCCTCGCCCTTCTGTAAATTGAAGCACACAGTTAAATTTAATGAAGCCTTATTTCTTTTCACGAAATTGGTTGCTCGGTACATTTTTTTTACGCCTGCAGTTGTTTGGAACAGTGTTGGATCTCTGAAGGAACAACAGGCTGAGAAGGGTTTTAAACTATTGGTGAACAAATGGCTGTTAAATAATTAATCACACATCTCTTTTGTCTGTTCGTCTGTTTTTCATGTTTTTAACCTCTTTCGTGACTTGGAGATCAATCATTTCTTTCTCTCCCCTTTACAACGAGGGCCACAATGGAAAGAAGCTGTTAGCTTTATTGTGTTTTTTTTTTTTATCTCTAACAACTTGAATTGTATGTCAGGACCGAGTGACTACAGTCTTGGATATCACTTTACTATTGTCAAATGAAATTATCCATCTTTAAATCTATCTGACTTCAGGGAATACAGTATGCTTTCTTCTCTGAAACTTAGATCTGTAATTTTGCCCCGTCTCTCTGGGTGCACTTCAGGGCTCACTCCAATGGTTCAATCCGACGTGGCTTCAAGAGTGACACCAATGAGGCTGTGACCATGAGGAGTGGTCTGGGGGTTAATTTGAAGGATGTGACAGTCTTCAACAGAGGCAGAGAAAAAGGTAGATGCTTCAGTTTAAGTGTCTTATTGATTCACACAATTATCTGTGCTTTTGCCAATACTTTGTTTTGAAAGGCTGTAATGAAATCCGATTTGCAAATAGTATGTGGCTGCTAAACTGCATCTTTAATTTTCATATGTAATGTTTAGTCATGTACAATTTAAACATAATTGCAAGGAGACAGAGATAGAGGCAAATCAGTAACTGAACATATTGTTTGTTTGCGTTTTGAAGGCACAAACCCCTGTGCCAGGAGTAATGGAGGCTGCCAGCAGCTGTGCTTCCACCTTGGTAGTGGTCGGCGGACTTGCTCCTGTGCCCATGGCCGTCTGGCAGAGGACGGCTTCGCCTGTGAGCGCTATGAAGGTTATCTGCTCTTCTCTGAGAGGACCATACTGAAAAGCATCCACCTTTCAGATGAGAATGACCTCAACTCACCTGTTCAGCCTTTTGAAAATCCTGCTTTTTTCAAGAATGTCATAGCCCTTGCTTTTGACTACAGTCAGAAGACAGCAAGGACCAACCGCATCTTTTTCAGTGATGTCCATTTTGGAAACATCCAGATGATTAATGATGATTGGACAGGAAGATCTATTATTGCAGAAAGTAAGTACATTTCACACTCCCACACCATGTGTCTACAGTCCAAATATCCCTACCAAACACATACATCTGCAATTACACACACACACACACACACTTCTGAAGCTCCAGTATTACTGGTGTTCTGATGGCAAGGTTTGACTTCACATGTATACAGCTGTCTGAATAGCAATGTAACTGGTCATACTTTTCTTGTGCTTTAAAGCTAGGGTTGGCAGTTTTTTTTTTTGTTTTTTTTTTTTTTACTGGCCCAAAATCCATAATAACGTCTCAGCAAAGATATTTGGGTATCACTTTCTATGAAAACCACATCTGTAATGCATTATGAGAGCATTTATAGAGAATTATAGTGCATTTATAATGCTCCATGACTACAATCATAAACACGTAATGCTTACTGATGCACTATATCAACAGTCATTAAATATTATGGATGTGACCTTTCATGAATTATAAGTGTCAAGTGTCTTATAAACTGGAGGTTGACTGATGGGGCTTATAATGCATTATGAATATCTATACACACCTCAACAATCAACTGTAGTAAGGACTCAGTATAATAGTCCATATTATGTGAAGTAAAGTGAGTATGTAAAGTAGGGCTGACCTTCGAATCCACTTAAGGACATTCGAAGCTTCGGAGCTCAGAACAAATTTAATTCGAAGCATTCGACTTAACTTTTGATTGAACACTAAATTAAAACCCTTGGCGCATACTGCAGCACAATCAAACAGATGCGCAACTCAGAGCATCAAAAGTGTCTCTGACATCAGAGTCAGAGCGGACCGGTGGAACTGGAAAATGCATATTTTACATCAATAAAATCTATTTTATCATTATTTTGAGTCACATTGTTGAAAGAATTTAGTCGTCTGTGTTCAAGCAGGATAATAGCAGGTCTCCATTGTGCGTCGGGCTTTCTATTTCCTTGTCGGAGACTTTTTCTTTTTTAATTACTACTTACGTTTTTCAAGTGATTTCCCAAATTTGTTGTTGAGTTGTGATATGCCAATTGCTTTTGGCAAATCTGGCACTCTGCTTTCTGGGGGTTGTCGGGGCATATTTTAAAGTGCAACCACACATCTGATGACCTCTTGGACATGTCTGCAGCTCTGAGTGCGCTCGTTGTCAGTATCGGACTGGTGGGGGTTAGTGTTGTGTTTAAGGCCTCCCCCCAAAAAATGGAAAAAAACTTTGAAAAGACTTTTAAAGGACTTGAGTCTGACACCCTCTCACTTCTGAACACAATGTGTCACGAGTTTTTAATCGCATACAATTTTGCAAAGATTGAGGATCTCGCAGGGTCACTGTTTGCAAGATTAATAGCTAAAAAAGGAGATAAAAGTGGACAGAAATTGCTGCAGTCTTCAAAATCCCCAGTATAAGTATGCTATATGTTATGCTATAGCTAGCTAGCTAACCGCTATCCCGATCCTAAATAAGGTTAGCCGACCTGTAAGCTAATGTTAACTTGTTGAGTGTATGCTATTAGCCTACAAACACACTGTATATTTCTACTGAAGAAGTTGTTACATGATGTGGTTTTTGAAGCTAGATATCCTTAGTTCAAACATATGGTTAGCTTGTAAGCTACTAGCAAACATTCCAGTAGCTAATGTTAGCTTGCAAATAGCCTCTACAGTGGTTAGCTAGCTAGCTACAGCATGCAGCATATTTACAGGGGATTTCGAGGGCTGCAGCAAATTCTGTCCACTTCTTTCCATCTCTCCTCTGTCATGGCACAATGTTTTCTTCTACCAATATTTGTAGTCTGGAAGTGGTCTGAAAGTGAAATAGACTTCTGCACCCTCTCTTGGTTTTATTTTCAGGCTTCAGAAAATATAGCCCGTCAATGAGAGCCTTTGGCCAATTTCATCTTTTCAGAGAGAGGGCGCCCCTATTGTCTGTTCTGTAAATGCACGTGCACATCCCATATGGTGAAAGCCTGATTCAATAGTGGAAAATCCTGTGGAAAAAGCTGCTATTCCTGCATTAGCAACAACTGCCTATGCTGCAAATCAACCCAGAAAAGAAAGAGACTTATCAAAAATAAAGTCTAAAAGAAAGTTTGACAGTAAATGCAGTGAAGTACACGTCTAACTAATGATAACTCGTGTTAGTATTGTTAATGCATTTCAGAGAGTGAGAGAAAATGTTGCTAGTGGTTTAGCCTTCTGCTTACCGAAGCCAAAGGCTCATGGCTGTGGCACGTTTAAGTTCATGTTAATGTAGTTACCTAGAGCCTTTAATCTCAGCATGCCATCTGAAAAGGCTTTACAGACCCACAAGTTTGTAAAGAACACAGGCCAGTAATTCTGATTGAAATCCTGCAAGATATGCTAATGGCATCAGAATCACAATCACAATCTGGACGATTGACATGAATGTCCAGCTCCAAGTCTGTTGTTTTTTGACTTATCTGTAACTGCATTGGTTGCATAATGGGATTTTAGCGCTGCCAACCTACTGCTGTAGACTGAAATTCAGCTGCAGCTGCTGTGATGCGCTGTTCTCATTACATCAGTCGTGTAGATAAGGTGCTAATTTCATTTAAGTTGTATTCAAATGGGACAACCTTGTTAAGAAAACAGTTTTCACATAGCATTAATAGCATGTCAGTATGTAGCATAGCATTAATAGTGTTTATCTCAACACACCCACTTCCTCTTGCACACCTCCATTTTTTGCTGCTGTTACTCCTTTGAAAAGACTATTTAATACTAAATCTGTAGGGTATAATACCTGTGTTTGAAAGGGTTCTGCTTACTGACTGTCACAGATTGAATGATGGGACCAATCCCTTTCTATTCCTTCACTAAATCCCAGTCAGTCCTGTCTTGATAAGCATGACTGGAGTCAGATGAACAGCAAAACCCTCTGTTCTGCTCGGCTAGCATCCTCTGCCATTCTGTGAAGTTTCTACTGGGAGCAGAGCTCAGCACCTACCCACCCCCTCCTCACACTGGGAGTCTGGCAGAGTGTTCTCACTCAGGCCCCCCCCCCCCCCCGACTCATCTCCCACACCCCCGCTGAGGGAGCCTCCTGCTTATTTATTTATCTACTAGAAATGAATAAGTGTTAATAAGAACCCTCTGTCAAGATCTGTAAGTGCCCTTCACACTTAAGCACTTGTGAAATGCATAATCAAAGTGGTGCAAAGAATTATTTGAGTACAATTCAAATGTCTGAGTCCATAATACATGCCCATGTAGAATAAATTAGAGAAGGTCAGCAAATTGTTTGTATCCAGTTAAACTGCATACAACTGTGCCAGTATACCTTGACCTTCCTTGTTTTCAATTAGCTTACTTGGTGTCTAGTGAAAGCAGTATGTCCATCTGGTCCATAATTCTTCTGATGAAACCACCACCTTTACACATCTTCTAACCCCGCCTTGTATATAAAAGCAAGACTGTCTTCAATTTTCCTCTAAAAGTTTCTGCCTGCATCACGTCATTGAGGAAAGGTGAAGATGTTAATCATCCATATTTCCCTAATTAAACTCCATGTCCCCCATTAATTACTCTATCGCCCCGCCAACAAGTTGTGAGAAACTCCAAGCTGCCAGACGCCTTTTATTGCAAACTATTAATTAGTGATCGGCTGACTCAGGTAGTATTCCACATTACAGTTTATGGGTTTTAGATAAAGGGATACAGTCAAATTCTATAGCATCAGCCACATGTTCACCATTAAGACAAATTAAGAGCTGCATTTACAGTTGAAACTGTGTGCGAGACAGAAAGGGTTACAAAAGAGATGAGTTCAGGCCAAATTAATAAGTGTGATGTGAATGCCAAGGCATTGTTACATTTATTTGACTTCCATTTGAATTGTGATGTTGTCATCAATATTGTCACTCCTAGTGAGTTGAGAAGAGAGGAGAAGGTACTCCTTTAGTCTTTCTATGTGTGCTTTACTTAGGAATGATAATCTCTTGTTTTGTCAACAATAAACAAATATACACAAAAGAAGTACACGTGAACAAACACACACACAGAAGCTGATTTACGCAGGTAATCTTTTCAAAGCTCTAACAAACCTGCTTTCCTCTCTGGCTGACAGACTGTTTGGTCTGACAGCTTAGGGGCCAGTGGCTTTGTAGAGCATGGCTTTATTGAATTTTAATAAATGGACTGTATCAGGGTGAGAAATAAACTTTGTTTTTTTCTTTCCAGGGAAATTTAATGCTTCCTTTATCTGATTTTGGGGGGATATTTTCAACTTTGTGGGGTTTCTATTGTACCCAGAAGCACCATTTATGTTTGGAGTTTACATATTTTTTTTGTTGTTTGTGCTGGTTTGATATTTTCTGTTGCTTTTTGCATGGTGTCAACATTTCTTCTGCCACAGTGTGTACAGTTGTGTTTGTGTTTTTCCCCCCAAGAAACAATTTTCTTAATTTTCATCTCCAAGAACATAATGAAAACAATCCAGAGGCTTCCACAAATCCCCTACAGTGGTCCATGGGGAGCAGTTGTCATATTCATGTACATGGGTACATGACAACTCAGCGACACTGTATTACTGCAGTTATCCTGGCCTTATTTATTCAGATTGAAGCGTGTGTCTATTGAAACAGTAGAGGTCATATTCAGTAGGTCATTTATGGAACCATTGCCACAAAATAAAACAAAATCTACAGGGAATGGTTAAACATGAATATGGCCAGATTTTCTGTCTGTGATCACTGTCTCTCTTTGGAGGTTCTCTCCCTGTCACTCACATTCTTGCACCATCCTGGGAGGCGTCAAAGGCCTTTTCATATTCTCTGTTTAGGAAATTGGTTCGCAGTGAAAACATATTCAGTCGCCGAGTGACTGTCGCATCAACAAATAGCTGTCTGTCCGGTGTAGTGAGGCATGAAGTCATTTCCCTGTCAATCACCAAGGAAACATAATCCCGAATCTAACACAGTTGGAGTCTGCCATCTGTTACAAACAAAGTCAATATTTTTACCTAAATCTGCACTAGTCAACTTCCAGATTGCAATAGCAGATAACTTAATTGTTTTAATTTGGGTTGATTTTATTGCCCAAAGGCCAAACAATATGATATCAGTATGTGCACCCCAAGCCTAAATTTATGAAAGAAAAAATCTTGTTATATGTTTCGTATTTACTCTCAAGTTTCAGTTGGTTTCTTACTTACAAAGGGTGCAGAACACTTTGTTGCAGTCATTACTCGTGATTTAGACTGTATGTAATGTATCATAGATGCATTTTCCATATTAAGATCTTGTCAAGTGCAGTTGCAAACATGAGTGTCCTTCAGGCTGTGTGTGTTTTCATGAAATCATGCTTCTGTGTGGTGTCTGAATTAGTTTACTTGGTACCTGAGCAGAGGTCTTATGTGTCTGTTCTTTCAGATGTGGGTTCAGTGGAGGGCCTGGCCTACCACCGAGCCTGGGACACCTTGTACTGGACCAGCTCCACTACGTCCACCATCACCAGACAAACTGTGGACCAGGGACGAGTCGGTGGCTTCGGTCGGCAGGCCGTGGTCACTCTCTCGGAGGAAGACCATCCACACGTCCTGGCCCTGGATGAGTGTCAAAAGTCAGTAACTCTTCTTAGTCTCTAAACACTCTCCCAGTCAGTCTCTCTCCAAATTATTGTCAGTTAATCCAGAAAGGTCTGGATCTAAATTGATCTTTAGATACTGTCACTCACAACACTTAAATTCATATATCATTAATGTTGAGCTATTCTCAGTTTTATTACCACTTGGGGGTCATCATCCTCAAAAACAGTATTGGTCTTCTTTGCTATGCTGATGACACCATGCTCTATATAGCTTTCAATCTTCATTGGCCCAGCCATTTTTAGAACAAATGAAGAAAAATGGTCCAGAAGGCATAATATAGCAGCACTCTGTCATTTAAAGAATATTACAAAGAACAGAACAAAAGCTTGTGCATACTTTTTTTTTACAAGTAGGCTTGACAACTACAGTGCATTGCTCTCAGAATTTCCAGGAAGCCTATAAATAAATGACACTTAATACAGAAGGCAACCAAAACAAACATCCAATGTTCCTACGTTTGTGCATGCATCTCTGAACAATTTATTTTCATCTATTTGAAGCCCCTGTGTGTAGTAGGCTTGCTGTGGTAGTCACTGTTAGCAGTGTTACACAGTGTTTGTGCATACATTGAATGCATCACTTGCCCACAGCCCCTCCACCATCATTTCGCTCTTTAATCAATACTTAGTCAAACAATGGATGCTAAATTATAAACTGCATGTGTCTGCTCCATCAAACAATGGACATTAAATTATAAATTGAACATGTCTACTCCTTACAGCAGCAGCAGCAGCAGCAGCAGAGTTGCAGCACAGAATAACAGGAGTCAAATTTCACTTACAATGTGACAAGAGCTAGGTGAGCTGATGTACAAGATTGTTGGATTTGGTGTCAAAGCAAAAGCGTCTATTTGGCAATATTTGGGATTTAAACTCAGTGCTAATGTGGAACCTGATAACATTAATGAGGGAAAAGAAATTGGGGTTGTGCAGCCTTTTGTCTGCAGCTCTTCATCCAACAGCTCACTATGGCTGCTGCTTTTGTTCCATTGCTTCGTGTTTTATTTCACACTGATCAGCTGTCAGCAAATACCAGAAATGATCATTGAGTTGTTTTGTTGGTGCATTTTTGATGACAAGTAGTGGTAGTGCTAATCTCACCGACAAACATGTTGCATTTCATGATAAAAGTCAACTCATGATTCAGCAGATGAATGCTTTTACTGTGAAGCTGCGGTAGTAGGAAGTGTTGGGATCAGTTTGCATCAGCAGGAAGTCGATAGAACACTCTACAGATATTGAGCATTATCAAGAATTATCTTTTCTTGTAAAACGTCCTTTGTGATCTGTAACACTGGTGTTGTCACAAGTTTATTAACCAGTGAGAAAATTTTCTCATAGTGGCATCCCTAACGTCAAGTCAGGTCGAAGTTAATTAGAGCCCATCATCACAAAGCATGTGTCAAACAAAAACAGAAATGCGCAACATAAGCAAAACACACAAAAATGTATGTACGTATAAGTGACATAAACTACATGCAAAGCAGTACAAAAAGAGAAATGTGCAACATGGAGATCATATACATAATCATGAGCACATGCAATGAGTATAAGTTGGATAACTGTTGTGTAGGGCAAGAAAGGTTAAAATGCTGATGGGAAGAGATGTGTTTTGAGTTTACTTTTGCATTATGCTATGTGAAACTATAGTCTGAGATGCAGATTGTGTTTTGGTTAGATTTTCTACACAAAAGGTGTAAGTGTTCTGATTTATTCTGAGTTGCACTCATAGCTTTTTGAGTACCTGTTTTAACAGTTTCATTTGTGCCAGTTTAAAAAAATAAATAAAAAGTCTTTCGGAAAAGGTGTTTACTGTTGTTGTAAAAAACAACACCTCAGTATTCCTGTCACATCTAGTTCAGCTTTAACACTTGCATATTCATGAATATAAAAAAGTGACTGTGAGCAGTCTAAAATGAGTGAGTATTTTGCTCCTCCTGTTGTACTAACTAAATTAATTTCTTGACCTCAGACTGTATCCTTGGTTGGCAATTTGGCACCATATCCACCCCGCTCCAGAAGCACTGTCTGATAATTAGCATTCAAACGCAAGTGATTAATTAGCAGTCCCTGGTTGTGACTTCTGACTGGAATCCTTATTATCTCACTAGAGTGGACTTCCATGACTTCATCATAGTACGAAGTAAGAGCCCAGGAGCTGAGAAAGGTGTTTTTTTATATAATTAGAAACATAACCACCTTTTTTTCTCCAGTGGTTTATCTGCATATAACTGTGGATTTAAAATGTGCACCATCCATCTTGCAAACCCATATAAACTAAGATGTAAATCTTTCATTTATTTACTCCGTTGCTATTATCTATGTTTTTCATATTCTTAGAAGTCCTCACACAGGAGAATATGAATAAATGACCTCTATCTCACAATGTGTGATGCTAATCCATTCTTTTAAATTGAAATGTAGCTACACTTTATCGATGATGAGCTCCTTCGAGGCAAAAATGGGAAGCCAGTGACAGGCCATGGAGGTCTTGGCAACATGTTGATAACTGACTGACACTGCATAAACCTCCAGCAATTTAATTCGGAGAAAAAACATTTCCCGTTCATTAGGGTTTGTTATGCCGGGCATGGCAGTGAGTTCCCTGGTTGACACGTTGGTACAGCAGGTCTTATAAAAAAGCCATCACTCCTGCTCCTTTATTCTATTTCAGACAGCACATATCTACACATATTTGTTTTATAGTTCTTGCTCATGTGGTGTGAATTTGTAGAAGTGCTACGGTAAAGTAGTGCTCCTTTGGGAGAGGGAGGAAGTTTCTGAAATCTACACATTAAGATGCTATTGCTGAAGTACGAAGAAGAATACTAGTCTACAGAAACTCATTGCATTCACAAAAGAAAAAAACAGACATGTTATTTTTCCTGAGTACAATAAGATCTCATGATTACAAGATCAGGACTGCATAACTATGAAAAAAAGATCTCATGAGTATGAGAAAAGGTAAGCCTAATTAGCAATCGTTGGTAACCTAGGCTACAGCATATGACAGTGGGCAATGGTGGTGTTATCATATTTAATCTGTTTTTTTCCTACTTGGTATGAAACACTTGGAAATATTAATGTTACAAAGTGTGGATGGCATTAATATTAGTATGTCAACACTGCAACTGGCATCTCAAGTCATTGGGACTGTTCAGGCAGAAAGCCCAGTCCTGCTCTTGATGGAAGTCACTCTCTTTCTGCAGATGCAGTTAAACCAAAACCAGTGCTTTATGGGTTTAAATTCATATAGTTCCAATTTTTTTTCTCGTTATTTTGTGACAAGGTCCATGTTTTTTTTCTTTTGTGTTTTCCGTACTAGTCCGTAGTAATGAAATGTTTGGTTTGGCTTTCCTCCCATCTTAGCCTGATGTTTTGGACCAACTGGAATGAGCAGCGACCCAGCATCATGAGATCCACTTTAGCAGGCAAGAACATGAGGATTATCATCAGTTCTGACATCCTGACACCCAATGGACTAACTATTGACCACAAAGCAGAGAAGCTCTACTTTTCAGATGGCAGCCTTGGCAAAATTGAGAGATGTGACTACGATGGTTCCAGCAGATATGTGAGTATAAAAATAATCCCCACCAACCAAGTAAAGGATATTAATTGTGGTTGCCTAATTTCAAGCACTTTTATCCCTCTGTAAAAGTATTAGATTTTAGTTTTTTATAACCCTCTTTAATTGCTATCATTGCACAAGGTATCAAGATTTTAGGATAGGATGTCGGATTGATCTGCCCTTTTCTCCTGAAATGAAATACATTTTTTTCCTCCATTTAATCTCCCATCCCTATTGAGCTCCTGAAACATGATCCTCTATACAGCGGATAGGATCTGAAATGCCTCTTGATGTTCTTTCTGATATATCAGTTCTGAGGGTACAGATGGTTTCCTTAATCACAGAAGTCATTCCCTGGTAAAGTAAAGAATCTCAGCTAGGGGAGTTCTCATTTTGTCCATGAAAAGTTGATGTATAATGTATAAAATCCCAGCTGAATATATAAGAGATCACAGTACAAGATGGCCCATTTTTTTGCTACGGATTTCAGTTTTTGCTTGACACGACCTCAGTGGTTCAGCACATTGGCCCATCTCAATTAGTTACCCATATGTTTGCTAAGCTGGGTCAGAAGGCTCAGAATGTCTTCACCTTTGGGTCCCACACCTGCCCTTGCTGCAGTGCAGTCCTGCTAATGAAGACTTTGCAGTGAGACTGCTCTGGGTGCAGATTCACCATTCCAATTAAAATGTGTAAATTAAAGAGAGGTAGCTGATTGTCAACCTTAGCACTTACCCAAACTGCGGTTGTGAAAATCCTAAGACAACCCATCCATTATATACAAGAAGCTTTCTGCAGAGATGTAAACTGAAGGCTTTTTGTCACTTCAGTGTGTTCTGACTTTGCAAAAATGCAAAAGGATGCAAAATTTCATGAAGAATAAAAAAAAAAAAATGGATCAGGCCTTAGAATAGATACAATATTATAGGACACCATTGTAGACTTCGATGGCAATGGAGTGTCCTCAAGTGCCAAGCTTCCCCTCTTCTCTGCAGCAGCAGCGCCATTACATGCTGACAGTGTGGTTGGCGGCAGAGACGAACAAGAGCTGTGGCATGGCTCACTCCCCCGTGCCATTTTGAGAGTGGAGACCCATGTTGTTAATGAAGGCAGTGCTTCACAAAGGGCAGCAGAGTGCATGATAAGGGAAGATGTCAGCATGTTTAGCAGGGAAAAGATGCCCTTTTTAACCATGAATAGAGGGAATATAATTTGAGAGCTGTCTGGGAATAGTTAGTGTCATTTGGGTTCAATGTCGGCAGTGTCTCTGGACATGTTTATGTTTCCATGTGAAGAGTGTGTCGACTTAGCAACTGAAGTACCTTATTTTAACATTGCTGAATACTGAAAGTGAGAAGAACGTATGAAATATGTTCACATTTATCCAAAACACAGGTTTTGGCATGAATGTAATATGTTGCTGGCGGTAAACTTAATGTCTCCCAAATCTAATTTCCCATCAATATGTTCCATCCGACCCCATCTGGTGTTCTATACTTCCCTCTCTTTGTCTCTCTGCCTCTGTCGCTCACTCGCCTGATGGCCAGTTGTTGCTTCCACACGCTGGGCTCCTTTAATCAACACCTGTCCTATTAATCCCAGTATGGCACAGGGCTAATGTGATGCTGCTTACAAGCCTGTCCCACTAATGGCTGAGACTACAGAGCTGCTGGAGGCCCTGATCCCCCCCCACATGCCTGGAGAGTCCCACAAGGAGGCATCTGATGGATTCCTGCCTCCCTGCCAATGACACTGTCATTTACTCCCCCAACATCTGGGTTAAGCAGTCATGTGGGCGGCGGGGGTGATGTGTTGATTAATGAGTCGAAACATTATCTTCCACATCTTTTCCAAGGGTTGCGCTCAAAATTCTGTCGATGCTTTTTCCAGCCAAATCTTGAAAAGAGTTATTGGTTTGTAGATGGAAGTGCAAATATTGACAGCATGAAATATATGAATCCCGCTGTTATTGCTGTATCATCAATTCTGGCATATAGAATCATTCACATACACTGTAAAGGTGCGAGTAATAGAGTGGCATTGATAGCACAAGCCTTAAATCTGAAAAGCGTGATGGAAATCAGTCCTAACACAAGTGCTTTGCTTTACAATTTTTAGGTCATAATTAAAGGAGCAGGAAACTTCTACGGGCTCGCCATCTACGCAGATTTCATTTACTGGTCAGACTGGGCCCGCAGGTCTGTGCTGCGATCAAACAAGTACACAGGCGGTGATACCAAGGTACTTCGAGCAGACATACCTCATCAACCAATGGGAATTATAGCTGTGGCCAGGGACACAAACAACTGTGAGTATTTAAACACCTGGAGATGAGCTTGATTTAATGGCCGTTGGATGCAGTGTTGTGTCTGCAAATATTTGTGTATTATGTGTGTGCAGGTGCCTGTGTGATGATGTGTGCTCATGGGCAGGAGTTAACAAATGTGCATATTTATTATGTTAGTGTGGTTTAGGACAAAAGACCAAAATAAATATGTTGCTGTATGTACTTTTGTCGACAGCAGAATGAGAGGGATAGAGGGAGCTGTGCTTATCTGTGCCACTGCTACAGTTTGCATGCACTTGTCTGTTTTAGTTTGTTTTTGAGGCATGCATCCTGTTTCCTCCCCCATTGGCTTGACCTTTTTTGGGAAGCAGGGGTGGAGCCGGATGTTGTGAACATTCGGGGCTCAGCTTAAACCAAGAGGGGTCCAGGGGCTTGTCCCCAGGTACATTTTTTTCCCATGTACAGCAGCTATATGCACTATTTTTCAAGCCATTTGAGATAGCAGAATGCTTAACAATCAGTACATCAATTGAGGAAAAACATGGTAGTTGCCAAGAAAAAAAATCATCCTGTCGAGCCTACATCCTATTTTGTATCTAATTGTTTCCAACTGTCTTCATCATTCTGAAACCAGAACGCAACTGATGTTGAGGATGACTCATTTTCACTAATACCACCTAAAAACAGGAAAACACGCTCTGATGTTACTATTTTTTTAAGTAGTGTAGGACTTTGGTGTAAACAGCATTACCATTCTTGAAAGCTATTTTTGCAGTACTATGCTGGAGTAGAGTTCGCAGAATAAATATTTAGCTGACAAATCCATGCCATAATAATCTGGGCTGCTATAACTTCAAAACAAGGATACCGAACAATACAAAGTAAATGTGGTCTTCAATATTTTTATTGAATTTTAGGCCAACATAAGAGCATTTACTTGATAATATTCTTTTGAGAACAGCACAGATCTGGGGCTTTGAGAAAACCTTCGAGGCTGGAGCTCTAGAAGAATTACCCTGCTCTGTCTCGGTGGGGAAGTAATAAAGTCAGACCGATTCTTCTCTCTATTTGAGGCCAAAACTTCTATCAAGGTTTTTTCAAAATGTGAAGTTTTAATTTACTATAAATTGCTTTACCTTTTACTTCATCAACCTGCTCACCACTGGGCCTCTGACCAGGTACTACAGATGGAAATGAATTCAAATAAAGACATCTGAAAGCAAAATATCAGCTAATACTTAGTTTCTGACCAGGGCATAACCTTGACAAACTTCTTTTGCCAAGGATTTCAAGGGTATGCATTGAGGCAGAATATACTCGTACAGTACAATCTTTATATACAGGTAAAGATACAAAAATAGATCAATAAATAAATACAAAAGCAGTAAACTGAATGTAACCTTCATGAAATCATAATTAATAGCTATAAAGTTATAAATAAAATATATTCAATATAAAAGTAATAATTCTTTACTAATATTGGCAGATAATATTGGCAGACTGGTATATCATCCAAGCTCCACTGAGTGAAAGCAAAATATTTTAAAAAGGCTTACAGAAACAGTGGGTGTGATAAATGAATGTGGTCTTATTTAGAATGGCTAGAAACTTAAGTTTCAGAGGTAATTAATAAAAAAGTAGCCTGTGTTGTAAAGGGAGTCTCTTAAGTGTCGTATAAAGTTTTATTTCCAAGTAGGACAAAGGGAAGTGGGCTTAAGCAAGTCGCACTGGTTGGACTCTGATGCCGAGAGCCACGCTGTTGTTCGTTTTTCTCGTCATGGGAAATAATCACATCCTTTGACCTGCGTGGGCACAGCTGCAAGTCTGCAGCATAATGTGCAGTGACCATCCATGGTTGATCTGATAATCAGTTTATCCTTTTCGGGCTTTACATTGTTAACCTCTTATTGCATTTTCCTTGCCATGAATATCCTGAATTTAGATAATCATACAAATGGTTTACCTGTGCTGCAGAACAGAGAAGCAGCTTCTCTTCTCTCATGAATAAAATATTCATGGCTGGAGGGCAGCTAATCACAAAGGTTTTCCAGTGGACACGCATGTCTCTGAACACTTGCACTTAGTACTACGTCTCTTGTTGCTAAGCTACTTTTCTACTTTTTTTCCTCAGAACTGGACAAGCACTTTCATTTTCATTCAGGGGTCATGTCTGCAGTTTGGGCATATGGTTTAGTGCAATACATGATTCCCACAGAGCTACACACAGCTTCTTCACATAGCACCCCAGGCAGAGAGAGAAAAAATATGCAGCACTGTAAAACATTTACTACCCGTCAGTGAGGATAGGGGTAGCATTTAACAATAGAGCAGCCTCTTTTTATGTATGTTGACCATACTGAGCCTTTCAATGAAAACCAAATGTAAATGCAGCATCTTCCCAAGATAAAATACAAACAAACAAACAAAAAGCATCTTTTCTAGAAATGTGTTTTGAATAAAAAGAACTCCTCTGCCTGTTTTTAAGGATGCACCAATTTACTGGCCGATATTTGCCTTTTTGACTTCTGTCGGCCGATCTATAAATAAAATGACATTCACCAATGATAGAGGCCGATGTTTTTGTGTTTTGTTATCAGTTTCATGCAGGTTAAAAAGCAGGGCTCAAGACAGCGCCACGTGGACAATAAAAAAACATGTTTGGGAAGAACAGAGATCTTCCCTGGGAAAATGAGGCTGTAAACTCACCATCCGTGCATCAGCAGACACAACCTGTTGTTTCCCTGATGATGCTACGTTGTGAACAACAGATTTGTGTTGAAATCTGAAGGAGGAGAGCTAGTTATTAGCTGTTAGCCGTTAACAGTTGGTGGACAACTAACAGCTAACAAAGGTCGCATTGAGTTACATTATGATGCGTTCAAGCTCTATTCAGTAGAAAAATTACTATTCCACACAGGTAAAGTATAACATTATTTACGTAGATGCGTTTAAATGTAATGTAGTTATAGTTTTTAGTGGAAACTGGAATAAATAGAGTTTTCATTTACTTGGTATAAAAGGGTGAATAAATGACAACAAAGACCAAAAAAAAAAATATCACTCATACCTGCTGTTACTTTTAACAGTGGTTGCAGCCCAGAATGTCACAATCGGTGCATTCCTACCTGCTTTTAGCTTAGTATTGCATTTCTTATCCCTGTTTGTGTTTATATTATTAAATATCTCGTGCCATAGCGCATCACATTAAGGTGTTTTGATCGCAACTGTAATTGAATTTTAAAGGAGAAAACCTAATCTGCTATCTCGCCCATTTACAGTAATGAACAGGTTTGCTGTCAGGTGCTTAGAGCTCCTTTCTAGATTTACCAGCCATTTAGGAAACACATCCTTCCTACAGTAAGCACAGAGAATCCAAATTCTCCAAATCCAAATTTAAGATTCATTTGGAATATTAGTTAATAATACAGTATACGAGGGGCTTACATTATAAGTCCATGAGTGTACTGAACATCTTAAACTGATGAAAAGAGTATGTCCCAAGGAAGATTTTACCTCTGACTGCTTCTGACCGCTTAATCAGATCTCTTTGCTTTATATTAAAGGTGAGCTGTCCCCATGCCGACACATGAACGGAGGATGCGGTGACCTTTGCCTCCTGACCCCGTATGGGAGGGTCAACTGCACTTGCCGTGGAGAACGTGTGCTGTTAGACGACAACAGATGTGTGTGTAAGTAACAAGGAGCTTCAGATTTAATTAAGCCACAATGCTACATCTTCAAACATTCTCAGTATCAGATATTGATTTTAATGACACTTTTTATGGACACATTTATATGCATAGTGTCACCTGGCTTCTGTCTACACTTAGGTTAAGCTCTTATTTGTGCTGTTTACATGAACCTTTGGTATCTTTGAATTGATTCCTTTGAGCATAACCACACACAAACAGGGAAGCATGAACAGCTGCTGTCTCTTCCTCTGTGACTGAGCAGTAAATTTGTAATGATTCCAGTAGCCATGGTCAGTACTGCTGAGGAAAAATAAAGCTATCATGTTGTGTGACTTTAAGTTCATGCCAGCAGATAGCCGAAAACAAAGTTGAAAGCACAAGGTGTCAGAGCTACCTGCTTAAAGTCACATGACAAAAGCATTTTGATGGTGTCTCGCTTCCTAATTTGACAGATTGCTGGTTGAATTTGAAATGCAATGTGAGGATAGACCATAAGGTGGGAGGAGCTCTTCAAACGAGGGAGGCTTGGCCAGACTAAACATGGCAAGTGGCTCACAAGAGCTGGATGGTAGCCTGGATGTCATGGTAGAGGACGACAGGCTTTTTCTACCACAGTCCCGATTCTGCTCATTACTAGAGCAACAAGAAGTTTTGTATTTTTAGATTGTGAGGCTGTGAGCAGCAGAGCAGTGACAGAGATTGGTCTGAGGCAGGAACACTCAGCTTGCTCTGCCTGGGGGCCCCGTTTGCAAAATGACAGAAGGCTAGGGGCCAATTAATAAAGAAATGTTAATAATTAATTTATGAAAAATTAGTCTGGACCTCTGTCTGGAGATCTGGGGGATCCCTCCTTGGCATTTTTTTTTTTTTTTTTTTGGATAAACAAGCTCTCTTTTTAAGCACCTTATTTACAGACAAAGTACAAAAAAAAGTGTGAATCAATTTATTTTCATTGTGAGGTAGAAAACTGTCACCAGGCCACCCAGCACCCTATCAAATGGACCATGAGTACAGTATCACTGGTCAGTGGTCTGTGAAGGTATTTATTGTTGGAATTCACTAAAAGTACAATGTTGACATGTATTATTATAAATCAGTCTACTAGATCAAATGAGAATAAGCCTACGACTAAATATCAGAATATGCCACGTATTTCACAGCCAGATTCCCCTCTGGTTGAAGTTCAAGGGTAATGGGGTTATTGAATGCCGTTATGACATTTACAAATGTTGACCCAAAACTGGGTTGCTGAAGAGACTCAGTTGTTCACTTCAGCAGGCAGTGAAATGTTGCCTCTGAACTCACCTGTATGTTTGAATCCTGCTCAATATGCACAGCTGAGCGTTGAAATTTTGACAGTCATAGTTCATCACCCTCATTGTTCTCTTCTGCAGCAGAAAACTCCTCCTGCAACATCCACACTGAATTTGAGTGTGGGAATGGCGAGTGCATAGACTACCAGCTAACCTGTGACGGCGTAGCCCACTGCAAAGATAAATCAGATGAGAAGATGCAATACTGTGGTAAGAACCGCAACTTTGTCTGCAGCATGTTCAGATAAGAATGTATCAGAAAAATATGTTGGTGTGATTTAAAACCGTTGGGGAAATAATTAATTGCTGGTTACTGCCTCTCAGTGACATTTCTGGTGCTTAACAGTGGCAAGCATTTGGTCATTTCTAACATGTTTGTGAATTTCACTGTGCTTAGACAACAGGAGCTGTCGGAAGGGTTACAGGCCCTGCTACAACCAGCGGTGTGTTGCCAACAGTCGTTTCTGTGACAGGATCGATGACTGTGGGGATAACTCTGATGAGGCTTTCTGTAGCAGTGAGTCACAGCCGTTTGATCTCCCGTTCAATCCGTCCTGCCTCTGAGGGCAGGATCCTGTGACACTAATGCGTATATTAATACGCCACGCTAGGCCACATGCTGTGCTAAGCCTTCACTGTCTAATGAGCCCCAAGATCATAAAGAGTGCCAAAATTCAAAGAGGCTCCCAAACGTCTATCCTTAAAAGCTGCCTGGACAATGTTTTGTGTTTCTTCAGTCGGGCCAGATTTTGTTTTGACCTTGATGAAATATTCAAATAAAAAGTACAGTTGTGCACATTTCCCTGCTTTTAATTGGACTACAGTGAGAAAATATCAAGGTGTATAGACTAATATTAAACTAGACTAATACTGTACTGAGCTGATTGAGCCCACAAGGAGACAGTGGGTTTCTCATAATTAATGTGGACCCTCTAACTCAGCAGTCTGGGATTTCAGGAAGAAATTTACCTCACTGTGGTGTGTCATCTCCAGCATTTTCTTTTTAATGGGACATCAACAATAGCTTTATTGCCATTAGAAAATATGATTATAGTATGATGTGTTATATGCTCATAATGCAATGCAGAGAGGTGAATGACCAGAGCCATTGTGCAGTAGCTGGTAAATGAACAACAATACTAAGATGCCTATCTTGCATATTATGTGTCATTTACTCTTGCACAGCACAAACAGGGTCATGACATTCTGGCAGCTTTCATAGCACAGGCATTTCACCTGCACAGATACTCCAACTCATCACAAACCTTTTTTTCTGTCAGCCAGTTTGCAACCTGGAGCTAATTTTAACCCACCCCCAGAAAGAGGTTTTAAGTATTGTTGTGAGCTGTACCTGTAACTGCCTCTGAGTGCTGTTTCTGTTATCTGTTTGAAATGCTAATTCTCTCCCCCAGATGTCACGTGCGGCTCATCAGAATCACCGTGCAAGGATGGGAGCTGTGTACCCAGCTCAGCCTGGTGTAACCAGGTCATTGACTGTGCCGATGCCTCAGATGAGAAAAGCTGCAGTAAGTCCTTTAGCTTGTGTTTTGCATTGCCGTTAAGGTTAAAATGGAAATGTAAACACACAGCTTTACCCTGTATCAGATCACATGGATCCAGTAACTGCTTGGATCAGATTGAATCCTGCCCTTCTTACCCTTGCCTTCACCATTACATCCACTGTGTCAAGACAATCATTGTGGTGCTGTGTTTTGTATTCAGACCACACCGACTGCTCTCACTTTTACAAGCTGGGGGTGAAAGAAAAGGATTTCATCAGCTGCAACTCCACCTCACTGTGCATCCACCCATCATGGATCTGCGATGGTGCCAACGACTGTGGAGACTACGCTGACGAGACCAACTGCCAGGGTGAGCACCCAACACAAACATGCACATTTTGCGTGTGCATTCAGAGACAGATTAAGGAAGCCAGCTTCAATTAGAAAAGACTTAAGACAGATCTCATTTTCAGAGATGATAATGACAGTGGAATAAGAGATTCAGAGAGCTTAGGAAAAGATAATGACCTCAATCATTGCTAATGCCCAGAGGACTGACTTGGTTTTGTTGTTCGTGCCAGTTTCCCATGGGCAGAAGTGCGAAGAGGGCCACTTTGCTTGTCCAAGTGGGAACTGCATCTCCAGCGTGTGGCTGTGTGATGGCCAAAAAGACTGTGAAGACGGCGCAGATGAATTCCAGTGTGGTAAACCAACAAATCTTACCCTTCATGGAAGAGCTCGTACACAATAAACTGAAATGATGTTTTGTTCTCTAACGGGTAGAAATAGATGAGGTATTTGTTTGCACTACACAACACTGTCGGCAGTTGGAAGGATATTTATTTTCCATTAACAAGAAGCTATTTGTTGTAATGCTTTTGTCATTTGAATAGATCCAGGCCTGCAACAAATATTGCATACAGTATATAAGGAGGAGACAGAAAGACAAGAGATGATTGTTTATCATGCCATAAGGCAATTTTTATTCACTTTGTTTTGCACCCCCTTATTGTGTGTTTGAGATTTCTCAAGTGGGTGTTGCTGCTTGTTTGAAAGTCTAATTCCAACCCTGAATTTAGAGTGAGGCTGTTGAGGACACACATTTTTCCCCCTCTCTCTTTGAATTATAATATACAGAACTTCCAGTGTAACAATTAATTAATGAGCCATCAGTCATTGAAACGATTACAGTGAAGATGGAAATATGGTTTCAGTAGAAAGTGGCGACATATGAAAGGATTACACATTACAAGGCCACTCCTCTACTTCCCTCACCAGAGGCAGCAAGTGCATTCTTATCTAGGCTTTGATCCATGCTAATATATGCAGAACTCACCACGACAAAGTCAAGATCTCTCCAATTAAATAGGAGGGCCATAATTAAGTCATGGTATGGATTAATATAATTTTGCCCTCAAAACCAGTAGCTCGTACGCGCACCCATTCACGTGTCATTGCTTTTGGCACCAAAGCAAAACGGACTGGGTGCTTTTAATGTAGGTGGTCAGAGTGGCTGTTAAGCTTCATCACCATCACATGCACAAGATAATTAGAGCTGATGCACTAGTCCACACACACACACACACACACACACACAGTGTCAAAACACTGGCTGCCTATATTTAAGTTGTCAGCCTATTGTATCGTCGAGACTGTATGGTTTACCTATTAGAGTGTAAGAAGTCATGAAGCAGTCGGCAGTTAGTGCTGTCATCTGAGTGCAGACTTGGAGCAGGCAATTCTCTGTAAGGTAAGGGAGATGGAACTTTTACAATTATTGAAACCTAACACATCCCACACCACACACACACAGACACACACATCCACACAAACATGATGAGGAATTTGTTGCGTTCCCCTTCAACAGTTTTTCTTTCTTAGTATCTTTGCCAACAGTGGCGCTATGGTTGGCAATGTTGGTCTGTCGGTCAGTCAGACCACCACTTTATTCCAGACTGAAAAATATGAACTGTTATTCAGTGTATTATTATGTATTTTGCACATTCATGTTTTCCAGAGGATGAATCCTTATGACTTTGATGATCCACTGACTTCATATCTAGCAGCACCATGAAGTTATTTGTAGTTTCTGGTGAAGTTGCTGGCAACTGTTGCATGGATTGCCACAAAATTTTGTGAAAGTAACCACAGTGACCAAAAGATATCAATCTATGCGTTTAGCTACTCTTCTTCTTGTCTGTAAAGAATACTGCCATACTTATAATAATAGGCACTGACATCTAAAACAATGTCATCGAGTGATTTTGGGATCACTATAAAGGTCAATTATGCATCTTCTGGTTTCGTTACGAAGACAGACTACTTTTATTTGAACCCATTTTTGTTAGATGAACATAGATGTCACTTGTTCTCTTGGAATGGAACCTTTTCTTTCCCTTGCCTAAACTGTGATTGCTGTGTTTACTATGAGCTCTATGAATAAAACAGGCCAATAATTTCAACTGTGATACTAGCACCCGTAGCCTATCGTTACATTAGATAAATTAGGAACATGTAGTAACATGCTAGAGAGGTGTTTTGAGCCTTATAATGTAATAATGTGATTTCGTATGCACTTATCCAGTGAAATATCTCAACATGATGGACCTTGAAGGATTTGTGGAAAATTTTGTACAGACATTTAGGCGACGCATCCTACTGAAATTGGTGATTCTCTGACTTTTTCTCTAGTGCTACCATGAGTGTGACATCTGTTGGTTTTTCAGTGAAATCTCGAAATAACTATTGGATAGATCACTGTGAAATTTGGTACACACATTCATGTGCCCCTCAGGATGGATTGTAAAAACTTGTTAATCGCTGAAGTTGTTATCATTAGGTCAAATTTGTCTAATACTTTGGTTTATGACCAAATGCATTTATAACTAATGACATTACCATAGATGTCAGCTGTACTTAGTGTTTAATGCTAACAAGCAGAATAACTGAGATGGTGACCATGTTAAACATTATACCTGCCAAACATTGGCATGTTAACATTGTCATAACAAGCATGTTAGCATGCTGATGTTAGCATTTAGCTCAAAGCTCCGCTGTGCCTAAGTACAGACTCACATGGCTGCGGAATTTTATTTGTTTATGTGTCATTTATTTTGCCTCCAAATGAGCCAGGCCCTAGCAGTTTAGGACTGATGACACCAGGGACGGATTTCAGGAGGAAAAAACACAAATTAAATGAGACCATAGAACTTACATGTCTTTTCCTTTGAGAGTGTTTGACTCAGATGTTGCAGATCTCTTACTTGTCTGGTTTGCTCTTCCTGTATAATTAAGCAGCACCTTTGTTCACATTTCAATTGCAGCATATAGAGGAAGGCAATTCAGCGCAATCCAGTTTTCATATTTAATGCTCTTCCAGTTAGCTGATGTATTTTGTAAATTGGCCATGAATGTTGTTAGAGAGATGCATAACACATGAACACCATTTCCATTTCTTTATCGAAAAATGTCATTTGTGCCTGTGTGGAATGATAACATCCCATGCTTCAAATGTGCTTATATCAGAGCTGATATGAATTATGCCACGATTCTGAGAAGTTCTGAATAGCTTTTTCAGGACAAATAGACAATATTCCCATTCCTCTGAGTTAATTACCATATAAAAAGCTCCAGCCACTGATAATCTGACTGCGAAGCAAAAGTGGTTTGAGGAAAATGTCATTACATTTCAGAAATTTCAAATTCCACATCTGATTAGACGAAATAGTCATTTGTCACTTCACAATGCATAATGCGCTTTTCTACTGTGTGAAACACTATTGAAAATGAGACATGAAAGACTTTCTTTGATACATTTAATGTGCTGCAGACCTGCTATTTTGTTAGACACTTGAAGCAGCTGTAGAAGCAGCATTTGAAGTGCAAATTTAGTATCACATACAGAAAGTCTGGATAATCATGGTTTCCAGATTTAGCCATTTCATGTTTATCTTATCCTAATCTTACATCATCGTATCAAGGCACGTAAAGCTGGTGTGATGTACAAAGTCTGACAGGAAGGAAAGCAACGCAGTGTGAGAGACAGCCCCCCCACCTCACCTCCCTCCTGATCCATAATTCCTTGCGCTGTGGTATGACCTGGAGCACACATCCCCCTTCCTTCTCTCAACATCTCATCAAAGCTCTGGCAGACTTTGCCAAGCCTGACATCTGAGAGAGAGACCACAGAAGGACTCCCCAGGGAGAGTGGGTGGCTCAGTGACACAAACTCAGCACAGATTATGAATATATCCACATTTTACACAATAGCTTATACACCGTGATCAGCAGAGTGCTCTCTTAGTTAACACCAAACTGTTTCTCATCACCTCGAGCAGCACATTTACTCATCAAACATAATAAGAAGAAATAAACCTTTGATATTGATAAGATATATAGTCTAGACAATTGATTTGTGTTCAGTTGATATTTTTACTTCCTTGCACAGAAACCTGGAGCATTCATCAAAATATCTTCTTACGTGAGACAAAAGAAAAAACATATATTTATAGTCCTCTGTGTGGCAGCTACACCCATGCATGCTGCTAAGCAGAAAAACAATAGAGAAAAACAAGCAAGCCATGGGGCAAATAGAAGCCAGCCCACTTGTTGTATTTTGATTAAAAACACTCTGCCCCTTCTATAGGGCATGCCGCTTCTGTTGTTTCCTCCTCACTTTGTTTGATTTATGGCATTGAAATTCTTTTTCCACTGCCCTCTGCAGACTCGTCATGCTTGTGGAACCAGTTTGCCTGCTCAAAGAACAAGTGCATCGCCAAACAATGGTTGTGTGATGGGGAGAACGACTGCGAGGATGGCCTGGACGAGAGCGTGCAGATCTGTGGTTAGTGCCCTTTCAGATGTCATAAGAAATCTGATGTTGGCGTAAAAGGTCGCATCTGATCTGTTACGCATGACAGCTCCACGTGCTCCCCTAGCAGAGCTGGAAATGAATGGACAGAAATGAAACAATCTTAATGAGACAACAAATGAGGCCGCAGGCATTCCTGATGATTCAAGTGGGCGCTGAGGCAAATAGAATTTTTCATCACTGGGGCCCAAGAGGCACAGCTTTTTCAATGGGCAAATGAGATGTGTGTGTAATGAATTCTAGAATAAAATAAAAAGAATCCAACCACAATAAAGAGACAAGAATTGCTGTGAACATTGGTTGTGTAATTGGATTATAATGGAGTGTCAAGGAAATATTAATGAAATGGCCCAAAGGTTTCCCAGGCACAATTCTTGTCAAAAACAAGATATGCATTTTAGCTATACATGCCTAATTGAACTTCTGTATTAACCTTTATTTCTCAGTGCAACCATTTTTTTCTACTGCTCTCTTTTTCCTTAAAGGGCAGCCCTTAGATATCGGAGAGTATTGCTGACTTACACAATTCAAGTAAATAATTGTTACTTACAACAGCACAGTCATTATTTGTTAGCTTGCATAAAGGGAACTGCTGCACAATGAAAATTAGAGTTTGTTTAGGTCATAAAGGGGTATCAGTTTAAAACCAGAACCAAAAACTTTATTGTATGAGTTGTAATATATTCTGATATCAACTATAAGGGCAGAAAAAGTGATTTTATTAATTAGAATTGCTGGTAAATGTTCACTGATAACAGAAGGTACCATCCTAACAAAACAAAATGCATCTGCTTCTGTTCAATGTCGTTTGTACTCATTCTCCTCTGTGGTTCATTTGACCATTTGCATTCCTTGGCTTTTGAAATAGAACATGTGGTCCTGTTTTCCTCTCAGGCTCGGTGACATGTGCTCCAGGGCTGTTCAGCTGCCCTGGGTCGTATGCCTGTGTTCCGAAACGCTGGCTCTGTGATGGTGAAAGGGACTGCCCTGATGGGAGTGATGAACTTTCTGCAGCTGGCTGTGGTAAACTCTAGTTTAACATATTGAATGGCTCGCTGCACTTATAAAAGAAAGTCAGAATTAATCAGTGCATGTTTACACTTTGTAGAATTTCATTGTGCAAATCAATAGCCCACAGAACATGAAAACCACTTAACACCTAAGGGTAAATCCCTTTGCAAGTTTTATTAGTTTTTGCACAATTGCACTCTTCTCTTAGTAGTGTAATTTGGATTCTACAAATTGGTCCTGGACCATTCAAATGTTATTTCTTCTTGATTCAAGCATAAAAAATAGGAACAAATTTGAAAACACAGAGACCAGAGGAGTAGCATGAAGCTCACTTAAGTTTACGTTACACATGTTGCATGCCATGCCTTGTTTAGAAAGAAAAGCTTATTTATTGATGAGCCTTTGAAACCATTTATGTTCATACATTAGCACCCAACAACACATGTGATGACAGCTCGTTTCGCTGCCGCAACAAAGCATGCATCCCCCAGCGGTTCGTCTGTGATCATGACGACGACTGTGGAGACGGGTCTGACGAGTCAGTGGAATGTGGCAAGTTGATTTACTTTGCTCTTTTGCTCTTGATATTCACCAGTGGCAAATGATTATGCCATTATGCCAAAAAAACAGCAATGGTGTACTTGTTTCCTTGTACTACTTATATCATTTGACCATTTGCACATTTTTCTTTGATAAAAGGGTTCTCTGTGGTAGTAGACAGGTATTAAAAGGTATGAACTGAAACTCAGAATTAAGTTCAGTTTAAAGGCGGGGCCACAGTGTGCTAGAGAATGTACTTTACTTTTCTTAATGTTTCAATTTTATGTGGTTAATGTGCGCTTATATTTAGGCACAAAAAGCACTTGGTTATTGTCAAGAAAAGATCACGTTTTTGCTTGTAACACCCACATTTGGTGGCCAAAAGAGCCTGGAAACATAGTGATTGGTTAACAACAAAAAACAACCTTTGCTGTTGTTTGTTGGTCTTGAATATTGGTTTGCGACTAGGCAGCCATTTCACATAGCTGTCAGGCCATCCACCATCTCCTCCACCTCTTGATGACAAAGTCAGCTCATATACTACGTCACTTTGATATAATAAAATATGATACAAATGTAACAAATCTGTGGTTTTCAGAAATGTACACCATGTTTGTCTGGCAACTGGGAAGGTTGATAAAAGACACAATGGGAGACCACAAATACTAAATATAAGCACAATGAAAAGAATAAATAAATAAAAAAATAAGGGCAGTGTGTTATATTGTTATTGCATTCCGTGAACATTAGCCAATTTTCTATGCTGAATAATTAGAAAAACATAGTTTGAAATGATGGAACATGTTCAATATATTAGTATATAAGTAATAAATAAGAACATATTTTAAAAATAAAAAGGAAAATAAAATAAAATCATATCTTAATAATATGTCTTGATATTTATTGGTTGGTTTATTATAGATTAGACCATGTTCCTCCGAACTGGTCTGGGTTTATGTTAATAAGGTGTTTTTGTTGTTATTGTTACTATTATTATTATTATTATTATTAACATCCAGTGTCAGCTCCCTGTTGTTATTTAGTCTGATGTTATGATTTGTGACTTATGAAAGTATGGATGACAAGGTTTAATTTGGGCGTGTACAACTTTTGGTCCCTCAACTAGAGGGAATTCTCTGTCACAGCCGTGATTTGTGATGACTTAAGCTGATGAAACATTTATACTGTACTTGAAATATAGTCCAAAGCAGCTGTGCACACGATCATACCTCCAGATGGCTTGATTTCTTCATCAGCAATGACTTCATACACACTATGAGGCTCGTTTATTGCAGTATGAACAATGGCCATAAGAATCTCTATCTGTCACTATTTGCACGTAATACTGCCAAAGTCACACCCTAAACTGAAGTTGTGTAACTGCTAAGCTTAAGTGTAACTCACTGAAAAAGTGTCAATCTCTCTTTCTTTAGTGTATCGTTCCTGTGGATCAGAGGAATTTCGCTGCGGGGATGGCCGCTGTCTTCTCAGCTCTCAATGGGAGTGTGACAGCTATGCAGACTGTCCCGACCACTCTGACGAACTGCCTCTGAACCTCAAATGTCTGGCGGCAGGTAAGACTGCTGTTTGGCTCGCTACTGGAATCTCTTCATCAGTGTCAGCAGCAGCACCACTCGCCCAGGAAAATCGGAGGGGACATATGGCGGAAACTAAAGGCGCTAAAACCAGGAGAGCTTCCTTGAAAGGAATTAATCTGTCTAGATCCATTGTCAGGTCAAAAACATCCCCCAACTTTGTTGAGAAATTACAGGGCATTGTGCCAGTGACAGTCATGTCTTGCTCTTTTTAGGAAGCTTGTGCAATGGCTCCTTCTTCATGTGCTCCAATGGTCGCTGCATCTCGGAGGGGAACCTCTGTGATGGGAGAGATGATTGTGGAGACCGATCGGATGAGAGGAACTGTGATGTGAACGAATGCTTGAATCGCAGAGTTAGTGGGTGCACACAGGACTGCCAAGATCTTCCTGTGGGATACAAGGTAAGTGACCAGAGGACTAGTCATGGTTCAGTAGCTTGAAAGTCCATTCTTTCTCAGAATTACTTGCTGGCTACACTTGGTCCTTAAAGCCCAATTCATCCTGCAAAAGCTTAAACCAGATGGAAACATGGCAAAATATGGAAAAAACATAGTCAACGAACTTGTCACCTCTCCAAATGTCAGTGAACCCACTGCACTGCAGTGTTCATTTGTAAATATGAGTCACAGCTGTAATGTTTGCTACTTCCTACAGTGTGACTGTGTGTGGCATCATAATATTCAATTTATTAAATCACTAAAGTCTGACATTTTAATTCATAGACTTAACTGACCCACAGTTCTAAGCTTCAGTATCATTAGTATCAGGTGAAATCTGCAGGTAATATTATTAATAGCGTGGGCATTAATAATAAATGACTGATAATGTATCAAGCTTAACTTTGCACGTAATTAAACAGATAAAGGAGAGCATACATACATTTAGTTTCTCCTTTATTTTTTGGATAACCTTGATCATCGCTGTAAGGAGAGTCTAATGAAATGCCAACAACTCTCTGTGCTCCCTCACTGTGGCGGGCGATTGTGCAGTGCCTGGCAACGGTGGCGTGTGATGTTAGGGTTGAATCCAGGTCAAGGCCACGTCCGCTGGAGTGCTCCGGTGGCCGTCACTGTTGTCAGCCTGCTGCAGTTTATTCCTCCATTCCTGGGTTCCCCTCTCCTACTCTTCCATAAGACGGTGCTCACTGCATCAGAAAACTGGCTGAAAGCACAGAAAAACCTCTCTTCCCTGTCATATGAGGGGCAGAGCTGGACAGAGAGCACATCAATGCAGGCCCTTAGTTCATCCATTTGTGGCCTGAACAGGGAGATCAGCAGAAAGGCCCTCAAGGTTATAACTGTGGATAAGAAAGGGATTTGCTGTGGGTCCATAGCAGCTGATACAAGCACTTTGAGTTTTTATTTTTTATTTTTTTTGGAAGGGGGGGGGGGCTGGTCACTGAAATGCAATGGAATTTTTGAGCCATAGCATAGTATGTCTATATCACGGCTTTGATGTCATCATATATGTTTGATGTTAGATTTTTGAAACATTTTCATTCCTGACCTTCAGTACTTTGAGAAAAATGTAATGGAGTCTGAAATATATTGTCCGCTGTTACTGACTGATCTAAAATAACTGTACAGGCACATCCTCTTTAAGCACACTGCCTATATAACATAGCCACAGTGAAGCATTGTATAATAAAAGAAATCAAGGTCTTTCAGACATGCCTACACCAGTCAGAACATAGAACTTGAATGATCTGTTTCATAATTAACTTTTTAATAGCTAAGTGGGGGTGTCAGAATGTCAGTCTTGTCTTGCATGTTTTTTACCTTCATGATTAAATCTCTACCATTTTTTGTGTTTTTATATCATCAGTGTAAATGCTGGCCTGGTTTCTACCTGAAGGATGATGGAAAGACGTGTGTGGATGTTGACGAATGCTCCACCGTCCTTCCCTGTAGCCAGCGCTGCATCAACACTTACGGCTCCTTTAAGTGCATGTGTGTGGATGGCTATGAAGCCTTGGAGCGCAACCCCAATACATGCAAGGCTCTGTCAGGTCAGGTGATTTTTCATCTTTTAATTTGCAAAGTTTCAGTCTGTTACTGTAAGTCCCATCAGCCCTTTGACGTTGCATGTTCCTCATTTTAGCTGAAGAGCCTTTTCTCATTATGGCTGACCACCACGAGATCCGGAAGCTGAGTGTGGATGGCTCAAATTACACCATCCTAAAACAGGTGAGCAATATCTGCATATCTGAGGAGGACAAGTGTTCACCATTATTAGATTGACACACTGCTAAAGCCAGGCCCACAACTACAGGAGTTTTAAAACCCTAGCCAATTTTGAAATGGAGTTGCATCATGCAGATACGAAAAGAAACTTCACAGATGATCTCTCTTATCTCAGACACACACACACTACAAGGTTTGAAAATGATGGTGCATCACACACTACAGAGTATTATAAGATTATTATGCCAGGAGGAGCATGAATGCACCACCTCAAATGATCCTAGGGTGAAGCAGATGTTAAAAAAAACAGAGACATGGTGCAAGTAATGCTTTGCAGTGAGAAAAAAAAAACAAAAATAGAAGGCTAAATTAGTATGGAGTATGGATGAGAAAATAGTTAATTGTCAATACAGGTCGTCTATTTTTCAGCAAGAAATGGAGGTGAGATTTTACCTGTCAGTTTCAATATCTGTCAACAGTAGTATGCTAGCTAACGTTAGCCTGAAGGACAAATAATTCCAATAACTCCACAAATAATTTCAAACATGTTTGAAATTATTTGGGCGGCCCCAATGCAGCTGTGAGCAGTTTAGAAGGTTTAAGCCTAGAGCTGTAAAACTTGCACATAAGTAGGTAATATGAGGCAAACATCAGCCCCAACCAAGGTCCCTGTCCAAATCTCCTGTACTCTCAGAGCATTTTAAGAGGCATCCACAGATAATCAAACTACTATCTTGTCCTCTTATTCTTCCCTGCCTCTTGTACACAGTCTGTCAGCTATATATTGAGGACGTATGTGTTTAAATAGGTGTTGTATGAAAGACAGTGTAATTTTGCCAAATGCTAAATGTGTGGAGGAAACAGTACCTTTGCAGGGAGCATCAGAAGATAATACCAGTGATACCTTATTGAATACTTAATGCAATGTTTTGAATTGCAGAAATGATAAACAAAAATGTAAGCTGTGTGATGTCCTTGGATAAAGTTGTAACATTATGATAGATAAACGAAATTATGTATTAAAAAAGGCATAAATGCTGGAATGTTTGCAGCCTGCTTCAAATCAGTCAGTATGCTCCAGTCTACTTACCCTCTGATGTCGGCTATCCTTGGTCAGAGAAGCATCTGATTCAGCTACACAAGCCCCCTTTTCACTGAAAATGATGTATCATCTCAAATAAAGACATTCAGCATTACTGGGCAAAGCAAAAAAAAAAAAATCTGTGCATTGGTCATTGTACTCCTCAGTTTCAAGTAATAATTTTCACTGCAAAGTTTTGTGATTAAACCTGAAAATACTGCACAACCTTTGTAAAATATTGTTCCGTTTAAATTAGATGTTCGCCGTCCATCATTATTTCCCAGCCCCCATCACATGGGCAAAGGAAACTGGCCATTCTGATTGGCAGAGAACAAAATCACCCTATAGAGGACCCCATGGAAAAGCTATTTCAATCATACCTAGGTCCCCTCACAGCTGCTCCGGGCAATGTTTGAATCTGGCTGTTGATTATCACAAATGGTTGGCTGTGATTTACTGTAAATCAACCTATGGGGTATCCTACAGTCTCCTCTCACAGCCGTATTAACCTCTCGACTCTATGTACTGTCTGTACTGGAGTTCTCATCAGCCACAACTCCCTTTAATCACTGCATGTTACCATTAATGGAAGCTAGAAAGGGGAATATGCACACACCTTTACTAAGTGGTGGTGGATACTTCACTGACCTCAAATCACTCTACCATGCCATTACATACCTTGTTCAGACTATATGTTCATGATATGTAAATTTCAAAATGAGCTGATCCATTCTCCCTTTGTAATGCTTTTGCTGTTAGCATAAATTTATCTTCCCCCCACATACACGAGTTACTCGCAGTATTATTATATCACTCTAACATATTGTTTAAACCCGTTAAAGCTGTAATTGGTAACCTTTATTAAAAAGAAATGTTGTATTTGCTGAAACTGTCACTATATCCACACAGTAGTACTGTACATACACACAACATGTGGAAACAACCAATCAGAGCCGAGGAATCTCTAATGCAGCGGTCAGTGATGTCAGTCACTGTTCGTGTATTGTGGTCAAACTAGGCAGTGCAGATCAAATATGAATCAAGTTTATGTTATTGCATTACTTATTTCTCACCTCAAATATTTTCAGAAACATATTTTAGTGTACTGTTATGCTGTAAAGTGAGAAAGTTTGCTCTGGCTACCAGTTGAGCACGAACAAAGCACCTCCCGCCGCAGTTTACGAGCAGTGATTGACATGATTGACAGCTGCATTAGAGACTCCTCAGCTCTAATTGGTTGTTTTCCTTCAGCCCCAGTAGATTCTAGCAAATTAGCATTACAAGGAAGAGGAGGAACATTTTTTATTTTTTTCACAGATTATCTGTCTTATGTACTACTGTGTGGATTTAGTGACAGTTTTTAGCAAATTTGACAGTTATCTTAAAAAACATTGCCACTGTAGTTTTGAATGTATTTTAGAGCTGCTCTGTTTCTGTTCTCCTACTTAATTTATACTTTTTCGATGTGGTTATTTAGAGCTCCAACATCAGGCTCTGGCTCAGCACGGAATGTGATTACCTGGGATAATATTTTGCATTAAGTAAGTTAGGCTTTCCATGAGTTGTCTGATAAAATGACTCATGGAAAGCAATCAGTGAGTTTCAACAAAATGTTCTCAGATTAATTGGCAACTGTAGTACTGAGAAATGACTTACAAAGTTCTACATTAAGTACAATATCAGTAAGTTTTAGCATGTTGCAGCTGATGACTGTGGTGGCTGTTATTGTAGAAATTACAACTTTTATACCTCAAAAGTGGGGATTTAAATGAATATTTCCCTGCTGATGATCATTTCATAAAACTGGGCTGTCTATGCAGTAGAAAGATGCAAATACTTTTGAATTTGGTGCTACATGAGCAGAAAAAACAAAGACAAAGGGCTGTGGCTTTTGATTGTCTTCAAGAGGTAGAAAACCATGTCTGTTAACATTTTAAAAGTGACGCAGTAAGTTCATTTTTTAGTTAAGTAGCTTAATTTTACGTTTGATCTTAGTTTTTTCAGCCTTAGTTTACACAACACAGGAAACAGTATGGCACCCAAGGAAGTACAATCTGTAGTTCAACCAACAGCACAAGAACCAGGGACAATCTCCAGATGACGCATTTCATGTCATCCAGCAGGTTTTCGTTGGCAAATGAGCAGGGAGATCCGGGCGCTGGCAAGATGGAGGGATGTATAACATAATTCATTTACACACACAACCAACATTGTAATGATACAGAGCTGGTTGGAGATCTACAAAGTATCCCTTTAAAGCCTGGATCGTTAGCCAAAAGCTAAATCAAACTTAAGTCAATCGGCAATAAAAACTGACTGCATCCACCACCCCTAAGGTTTCACTGTCAGACATGTCTTATTTTAGGAAGAAAAATAGTGGAACAGGAAATCAATGGTGTTTTGACAGTGATGTCGATTTGAATGCTTGCACTTAAAAAACCTGTATACACACACACACACACAAACACACACTATTATACTATTTATACAATCTTTTTAATTTTTTTATTTGCATTTTATTTTTTTTCATATCCATTTTCAGAACAGTTAAAAGCTTGTGATTCATTTTGTAGTTGGTTGGTTTCTATACTGTCCACAGGGAAAATGAGTAGGAGACGTATTTCTGGATAGAGACACTGATAAAAGGAGCATGCGGGTTTCATCTCTATAGCTGACGCTTGCAGTGGAGAAGGGTTCCCCCAGGACACTTTGGCGCCTGTCTGTGAGGGTGTTGATGATCTGATGAAGATGTCTCATTTCGCCTGTCAGATTATCTGACACCTTTTCTCGGCACCCACAGTGCGAGACACCAGGGTGGGGGCACTTGTTTGGTGAGCGGCTGTGTCTGACTGACAGTGGGGTCCTGTGAGCATGACAGAGTAGGGAAGTACCTCACTCTTCGGCTTTGATAGGACTATGACTTCACAGAACATTTAAGACTTCACTGGCTCTTCAAATGCTCTGTATAGCTGAAAGCATTGGAACCTATGGGAAAACCACCTAAATCAATATTGCTTGTACAGTAAATACCACTTCACACACAGATACTGTAGAGGTTGGCCTTTTCTATACTCTGTTTCTCATCCTGTTGGTATTTCCATCTCTAGGCATTTCAAGTAATGAATTAAACTTGATCTTACTAGATTGGTTTAATCAGTTTGACAAGTGCAACAGCTTCAGTTCTCTGTCAGTGTCTACCTACACAGATGGTGAGCAGGCAGTGTTGAGTATTATGGGTCACCTGCATTTTTGGCAGCTCTTATAACACAATCATGGGTTTTACTTGTGTAAAATAGAAGGAAATAGACTTGAAACGTGAAAGTACAATTCATGTTGCGTTAACGTGCATAATGTGAGAAAAAGCCATTACACCGCCTGCATATTCAGCTGTTTTTAATGAGGAGTGCATCTGTCAGACGAACGACTGAAACCACAGCTGAAGCTGCTAGCGTTTCTATTAATCCATCTATTAAAAAGGAATACTTCACCCATAAAATGACCATTTGTATATTAGTCAGTCACGACGTGTTAAGTTAAATTCGTGAAGAAAACTCTTTTTCATGCATGCATTTTCACTAAAACCCTTATATTTTAAAACTGTGTTTGGGAAGTACTGAGCGTACAACTGGATAAATGAGACTTGCATTACACTACATGAGTTGTGCGAGAGTTTTTAAACACATGTTTTGATATAGTTCTACTGTTGTTAAGCGTGGTCTTGAATCAATCCATGTTTGCTGCCTTTTGTGGAGGCGTGCAAAAGTAGATTTTTTTTCATGAATTCAAGGTAACACTGCACGACTTATGATTTATTTACAAATGATTATTATGTGGATGAAGCATTCTTTTAACAGTGTGTGTGTGTTTATATTTGCTCCTTAAACCTATCATGGATATGCTGTAAAGAGAAAGTAACAATTATTTCAAACACCTGCATATTACCGTAACTTTTGTGATAATACCGGGTGGAATTTGATTATTGCTTACTCTTTCCTAAACCTTTGTTACCAAAGAAAGTGTGTTTAATTATATGTTTTTCACCATCCCAAGGCACTGAAGGTCTCTTACTGTTTAATTTTCATTGGATGTAAAAGCACCAGTGTTAAATACTTTCTCTCTTTCTCCTCTGTATCCTCAGGGCCTCAACAACATAATCCACATAGACTTTGACTACAAGAAGGAATTTATCTATTGGGTGGACTCAACCAGGCCAAGTGGTCGAAAGATCAACAGAATGCGCCTCAATGGGAGTGACCTCAAGGTACCACAGGATTTAGTTGCTGTGACTGCATGCCATATGGTGCCTTGTGCCACTTTACCCAAGATTCATTGGCTTTACTTTGCTTGGTCCCTGTCCAACTTGTATTAATTAATCTTTCCATGCTCTATCCAGATGTATTTTTTTTTACTAATTTATTTGAATTGTCAAAATGCATTGCAACAACAACTTTGTTGATTGTGACGACAAGTTGTCTGAATTTAGAGCATTTACTGTGTTGATTAAGTGGCTCATTATCACTGCTCAGCTGATGGTGGGCGCCCTTTGTCACTTTATATAGTCAACATAATGGATTTGTTCTGTCGGCAGCCAACGGCCTGTTAGCTGAACAGCAATGAATGTATGTTAATGATAATAGGAATATCATCAGTGGCTTTCAGATAAATGTAATAAGCCTAATAACACAATAGTGCTCTCTGGTGTAATCACCAAGGTTTGTCTGGGTCATGGGATAGGAGCCCAGACACAAGGGACACTGGGATGTCAGTAGAACACCTGCTGAGCCCCCATTTCACATCTCATTAGCATTGGTGTGTGGGGGTATTAGGCTCATTCGGCTCAATTACTCCCACACTCTCTGTTTGAGCCACTGCCACAGCCTAGCAAGAGGACAAACCGTCTGAGACACAGATCAGGGAGCTTCTCACATTGGGTTAATTAAAAGAGCCACTCATATCCAGTGCTACCGGTGTCGACTTGCCATATGGGGAGGAAAAGATCGGAGAGTGGAGAGTATTTCTGTGGACTTTTTCTCTGCCAAGATAGTTCATCTGACCAAGGCAAAGATTATTTGAAATCTATGGTTTAATTGAAACAATGGATAATCACAGATTTGAGAATTCACTTTGTTTACTCCATCCGTTCTTTAACAGTAAACTTAATTTGCACTGGGCTCTGTGGGTTGATTTTGATTAAAACACTTCTGGAGATACAGTCACTGATGTCACAGCAGGTAATACAATAGATGAGTGAAAACATCCACTGTGACATTAATGATTGGTTATATCCCAAAAGGTGAGATGCAGCAGTAGTTTTCTGCCTTTGTGTAATTGTGTTTACCTTCAACATCCAAAGCTAAATGTATCCAGGTCTATTCTTGGTGCTAAGCTATTATTGTTGAAACAGTCAGTGTTACATGTTGCTATAGCGCCAAAAATGCTGTTTATTCATCTGTTAACACTTACGATTGAAGAAGTATTTCACCGATACAAAGAGGGTCCTCACATAAAACTAGGCCATCTGTGCAGTGGAAAGATGCAAATTCTTTTGAGCAACAGCCCGGACAGCCAGCAAAACTCCACCGAATTACATGTTTTTTGTCATCTGTCTGAGTTTCGCTGGGGGGAGGAGGGTTATCTAGGCACTGGTTAGATGGAGGAAAGTTTACCATAGTTCATTTACACATACTACCCACATTGTTTTGATACACAGCTGGTAGAAAATTGAAAAGTCTGTGTACAAAAATTGCATACTATGCACTACATACCCAGTATGTGTACTTAAATGTACTTTTGTATAAATAAACTGGTGTATGTGACACACTGAGCTGTAATCACCATGTCACTTCTCTAGAGACTTCTTGCTGGTTGAAGATGTGTAACCATGGTAACCTTTGCCCACCTAAGCTCTAGCAGTAATTTAGAAATAAGTTTGAAACTACATTAAATGAAAAAAAAATCTTACACTGTTTTATACTTACACTTAAATTAAAGTGTTATTTACGTGACTGGGCTGTGTTGGTTGCTGTACATTGTCCTCTACTGCATTGCATTGTGGGATATTTATGCTGATGTAGTGTCTAGAGTTTGCATACTGTAAAATTTCACCGAAAATAGTATGCAGTTCACATACTATGGTTTTGAACTAAGGTTTTAGACATACTTGAAAATCTCACATACTGTTTCAACCTACTAAATAGTATGTCAGTGTGGAATTTAGGACACAGCCAGATGTCTGTGAGACAACTTCATGCATGGATCAAACATACCCTGGATTCATCTGGTCTTAATGTTTTGATTTACCACATCCAAATGTTGACATTCCTCACAAGTTAACCTTCAGTGCCACAGGAATCGATCTTTTTGATCAATAGTGAGATATTAGGGATGCAGTCAACCAGGAGGGCTTCATGTAATGAGTCTCAACTACTTTTTGCTGGAGGGGGCAGTTGTGATTTGAAAATACTGCACAATGAGTGATACTTTAGTGACTGTTTCAAGCTCAGTTTTGTCCAAATTACCGCTTAGGAGAAAGCCTAGTCTTTTGCCAAGACTATATATTTTCTTGCAAACGATGACAGAAAAGTCCTCAAAGCACATCGTGTTCCTTAATGACAGATTGGATGGGTGCTGGCATTTTTATTATTTTTTTTTGTAAAAGGGGGGTGTTTAAAGGCATTGGCTTTATCCGCCAGCTGGCACAATAATTGTTTATTCTGAACAACTGCTTTTTCAAACTCAAAGCCTAGACTGTCTTGGGGATATTGATGGAGTTCCTAGATAGTTCCTGGATTTTGTTTACATCAGTCAAATACCTTTGCATATATTTTAACCAAATCTCTCACTCAGATTAGCACAGTCAGATGAATAAGAGCATTAATGAGAGCGTCTCTCTGCTGCCTTTCATCCTATCTGCTTTAATTACAGTATTTACACTCACAGCTAAGAGATACTCATAAAAAGTGTACTTTTTTCAAATTAACTTGTGTTTTCTGTTGGAATACACAGAGTTTTACACTACCATTCATTTGCGCTTGCGCCTGTTTGTTGTATGCACTGAGGCTGAGGAATTGGAGCAGTGTAGGATGCATTTATACAGATCAGGCAATGCAGTGCATTTTTTGTAATCCTGTTTGCATAAATTTCCATCTGCATATTTACCTGTATTGCGTACACAAGTGCAAAGAGCAGATTTCATGGCTTTAGTTGGTGGACCTGCCTCTTTAAAGACAGTTTTATGCACATTGATTTTAACTTTACCCCCTTGATCTATATTATTAGCTCGTACAGTTATAAATGCATATCAAAATACAATTTGTATGTGATTAAGAGTCACTACAAGTCAGTACTGACTGAGTAAGATTAATTATATTCTTAGTAAAGTCAGCCGATACTGAAGCTGTCATACAGCAGCAGGAATGATTTGTGCCCTCCATCTGTAGCCTCTAATTTGAGAAATGTGCTATGCATAATTATGCATGGGTCAAACTACACTGGTACCTTAATTAATTAGTTAAATCTTTAGACACAGCTTCTCCATCTGACTAAATACGCGCACTAACTGCTTGTCTTCACTCCGCACCAGTAAACTTTTTCACAAGTCCAAGTGAAATGATTAAGATAAAAGCAGGCATAACTTGAATTCTGACCTTAATGATGTTTTGATGTTTTCAACTTTTTGGCCCAACTCTATGGGAAGTCAAATTATGCAATATGTAAGGAGCTCAAATAGACTATTAATAATTAATTAGACATTTTCAACAATGTTAGCAGGTGTGACAATACTGTGCACACACAAACACAGACACATTTTATGGTCATACTAGTTACAGAAGATGTACTTACTTTACAGTTATACAACATATACTATATTTAATCACACCAGAACAGTGCTCTATATGGAACATGTATTAGAAAAAAAGAGCCCAGCTTCTGGTCTGCAGTTATGGTCATTAATGACTGTCCTGCAGTACCCTTCGGCAGCTGTGCATCACAAAGGAAATGCATGTGTAGCCATTACTATGGCAACACGTGTAGTTCCGATCCCAAAGACATCACGTGGATGTTCACTTTTGCTCTGGATGTTAATAGGGCTTGTGTGTAATGTGGTTAAAGAATAGACGCACTTTGATTTGATGGCAGAGAATATCGCATCTCACCGAGCACATACTCAACGCTCTAGATTGGTGTCTGTGAGATGCAAAAAATGGGTTCTTAGTGATTCAGATCTTTTTATATCTGTCAGGGTTGAAATAATTTGCTCCTGCCTGACAGAGAAAGACCTATCCTTTGTACATGCTCTTATGTTTGTCAGTAAACTAATGAAAGAGCCAATTTGGTTCAAATGCCATCAATTTTTTTTACATCTATTCATGGAAGAACCTAGAGCAGTTCTTAGATAGACAAGATAGGCAAACCTTCATTCTTTAACTGACCTCCCTCTCCCTGCATTACTAGATAGTCCACAAAACAGCAGTGCCCAGCGCCTTAGCAGTGGACTGGATAGGAAAAAATCTGTACTGGTGTGATGCTGAAAGGAAGACACTGGAAGTGTCCAAGGCCAATGGCCTCTACCCTACCGTTCTGATCAGTTCTGGCCTTAAGAACCCCACGGATCTAGCTCTGGACCCTCAGACAGGGTAAGCACATTATCATTACTGTAAGGTTCACCATAATGCTTTAGTGTTTTCTTAATAAGGATTGGTTTCACAGCTTGAGGGAGAACGGGGATAGAGTTACTCTTTTCAGATGATTAACTTGGAAACTGTTAGATCCACCTCTCATTTGTGGTGTTTCATTTTGTGTCAGTACTACTTTTTATTCCCATCACGTTTGCCTGTTGTTGTATTTAACTCTTTGAACTGTGCTATACTTCTGACTAGGTACGTGTTCTGGGTAGACTGCTGTGAACCCCCGCACATTGGGCGTATTGGCATGGATGGCCGAGGGCAAACGGTTATCATTGACACAGAGATCTATAGCCCCACTGCACTCACTATCGATTACACCAACAAGAGGCTCTACTGGGCAGACGACAACCACATCCTGCTTGCCAACATGGATGGCACCCAAAGACGCAAAGGTGAGACTAAGGTGTTTGTGTTAAAGGAATAGTTTAGGGGGAAGTACACCTTGATACCATCCCAAATCTGTCTGTTAAATGTAACGCTGGTGTCAGCAGCTGCTAAGCTTAGCTAAGCACAAAGACGAGCTCTACTTGTTTCAAATCTGATCTTTTATTTGTGTTGTAGATAATAAACTCTAACTCCCATAGTTAGACTTAAAAGCTACCGTAGAAAGCTTTTTAAGCAAATATAACAAAAATTGTAACTGTCACTGTTTACTGACAGTAGTACATAAGGCAGATCTATGGAAAGAATATATCCTGCCTCCTCTTAGTGCTTCTAATGGCATTTGCAAGAGTCACGTAAACAACCATCAGGGCCAAATCATGTCAATCACTGCTTGCTCAGGCTGCCATGTTGTAAACACTCAAGCCAAAACAAAGCACCACTTACCAGCTGGGTCACAAACTTTCTCATTTACAGCTAAACAGTACACTAAAATATGTTTCTGAAAACATTTGAGGTCCTCAGCTCTGATTGGCAGGTTTCATCCAGACGTGGTGGATTCTTGCAAATGCCATTAGAAGCATTAGGAGGAAAAGGAGGAATGTGATTTTTTCAAGGATTATTTGTCCCATGTACTTCTGTGCGTTAGAGGGACAGCAAATACGACAAAAAGTAACTTTTATAAAAGTTACCAACTACAGCTGTAAATTTAAAGAAAAAGAAAGCTGGTGTATTGGGGTATTAGAAGATTAGAAGAACAAATCATCAGTTAACCTGATAAATGGCCCTGTTGTGGGTGTGCGGATTGGAAATTTCAACCCCTGTTGCTAGACATCGTCAATGAAATTTGTGCCACATGGTTTGCGAATCCCTGGTTGCTAGATTTAATAAAAAATGATTTAACTGAAGCTTGCCATGGCCATTTGTCCCTCTCCAGTGTCCTATGATCACATCCAAGGGGTAATGGCCCTGACTTTGTTTGAGGACTTTGTGTATTGGACGGATGGGAAGTCCAAATCACTACGACGTGCTCACAAGACAACCGGCACTCAAGGGATGGAGCTCCTCAACTCCTGGCAAGCCATCAAATCCATCAAGGTCTACCACTCCCTGCGTCAGCCTGAAGGTAAGAAGTCCATCTGGCGCTCGTGTTCATGCAGTCCTCCCATGCCGTGCAGTTGTTGTGGGCCTCCTTTATAGTTTCAAGAAGAAAATGATTTGTGTTGTACAGTTTGAACTCAGTAAGGTACTTCTGTTTTTCTGTACAGTACCCAAGCACCAGTGTCAGATTGCAAACGGAGGATGCAGCCACCTGTGTCTTCTATCTCCTGGTGGGGAGCACAAATGTGCCTGTCCCACTAATTTTTACTTGGCTGCTGACAATAAGACCTGCCTCTCCAACTGCACCTCCAGTCAGGTCTGAGCATGTTGTTGCTTTTCTATCCTGATCAGTACATTTCCCCCCCTAAGGGCAATTTGCTTTACTCTCATATGCTTTCCTCTTCTGACATGGGCTGTAGGTCCAAGGAAATGCTTGTGTATTGATTTTGACTTTGGCTTTGAAGACTGTTGAAGCTTAAACCGAGAGTCAAATATTCATGTTGACTTTAAATTCTGCGTTATGTTTTATGTTTGTCTGTGATACTAACAGTTTCGCTGCGGGACAGATGAGTGTATCCCTTTTTGGTGGAAGTGTGACACGGTAGATGACTGTGGAGATGGATCAGATGAACCTGCTGACTGCCGTGAGTGTCGTGTTATTCAAAGGTTGGCTTTAAAATTGTATATCTGAGGAAGTCAACTGCTATTTTGGTAAGCTTTGAAGTATATTAAAATTGAATATTTGAACTGTGTTACTGTCCTTGCTTCCGATTTGCTTTCAGTGTAATGTCTTCTTCTTCTTGTCGTTGTTAATATGTTTAGCATCTCTATGTCTGCTGATTGAACTCTTAAAGTATAAACCCTGAGATACAGTTATAATCCTTCTCAACAGCTGAATTCAAATGTCAGCCTGGGCGTTTTCAGTGTGGTACTGGCCTTTGTGCTCTCCCTCCATTTATCTGCGATGGAGAGAATGACTGTGGTGACAACTCAGACGAAGCTAACTGTGGTAAGGATGGGAGCACTATTACTGTTTAAGTGGAAAATCTAAGAGGTTCCTTTTGAGCTTTTTGTTATTTATTGCTCTTTGCTGATTGCTGTGCTGTTCCTGCATTTGCAGAAAACCTGTCTCAATTACAGAATCAATTAAACCGTGTGTCTGGTGCTGTCATGTATTTTCTATCAATGGTGCTATTTAGTGCTAAGACAATTAGTCAATGAATTAATTAGCTGATCACCAGAACACGAATCAAGGCCAGATTTAATAATTGATTCATTGTTTAAATAATTTATCATGCCAAATCATGTTTATTGGAAATCTTTAGGCTTTTGGTTGTTTGTCAGACAGAACAAGCAGTTTGAAGACGTCACCTTGGGTTCTTAGAACATCATCGGTGACACATTTGCACTGTTTGTTAACATTCAATGGAGAAATCATAAATAGATGCAGCCCTTATCCTGTTTTCTTCATGTCCATTTTTTTATTCAATTAAAACTACAAATAAGAAATACTTCATCAGCACTGTGGGTTTACAAAACCTTTAACACAAATGTAAGACTTTGCATAAACTGTCTGTGTTGTAGGTTGTAACACTACCGGTCAACAATCATAGAATAGATGCTTAGCTTTGTCTGGTGTCCTATTTCTTATTGATGCAACCTCCCGCTGCTCCTGCCCGTTTTGTCTTTCAGAGACATACATCTGTCTGTCGGGCCAGTTCAAGTGCACCAGGAAACAGAAATGCATCCCTCTTAACCTGCGCTGCAACGGTCAGGACGACTGTGGAGATGGAGAGGATGAGACAGACTGCCGTAAGGCACTGCATTATTACTTTCAGACTTATTGTCTTAGAAATGGCTCTACTGAGCTTTTAGACTGGGAAGTGTCTCAGTATATCCCCCGTTTGATCAGTCTGCCCCAACATTGATGCAAAAACCTAGATAAAAGTAGCTATTTTAAGGTTTCCAATGTTTTTGTTTTAAAGATATAAGCTAGTGGATTAAAAATAAATCACCTTAATTATCTGTATTCATCCGGTTCATTTACTTCTCTGCTTGAACAGACTATATGACGACATTAACATTACATAGGCTTCATTAGGTATTCCAAAGGCAGCCCTTGTCATGAGCCTGTTCCTGTGAAAAGGGATTAGATATTGAATCACACAGAGGATAAGAACAGATTTTCTCTGCCATGATGTAACTCATCAGAATATCACAGTCCATTCAAGTCTTTCAGAGTGCTGCATTTGTCTTGCATGTGATTGCAAGAAGGGTCAGAGTGGGGGGAGAGAATGCAAGAAAGTAAGGAGGAGAAAGAGCGGCTTGGAAAAAAAAAGGCTTTAATTAAAGTGAAGCTAATTACTTCACCCCTTCTTAGACTTCCACAATGATTGGATGTGGTTTTGAATGCACTTTTGTAATAAGCACTGCACTACTGAAATTAAAATGCTATCAGAAACAATGTGAGGTTTTATAACAAACAACCACTTGCCATATTAATACACTGAAAAGGTATGCGAGTGTTTTGGAGCAATTAATGGCTGCATCATTGGCTCTGATATCACTGTGGATTTATGAGCACGCAAATTACTTGAGTTATTTCTACAAATCCAAACATACTGCCCATCTTTCTGCTATAGCTGAAAGCACCTGCTCCCCAGACCAGTTCCAGTGCAAGGCCTCAATGCACTGCATCTCCAAACTCTGGGTTTGTGATGAGGACCCTGACTGCGCAGACGGGTCAGACGAGGCTAATTGCGGTGAGTTGTGGAAACCCACTTAACCATAAATCACACCTCTTCACTTATTTTTCAGTTAAAGGGGGAAGAATCTGATTTAATCTGAATTAATTTTACACTTGGCTTCACTCTGGTCTGACTCAGTCCTTCTGTGTGTTCTCACCGCCTATCTCACGGTGTGCTGAGGGAGAATGCCGTGAAGGACAGCTGTCCCTTTTGTCAATAAGAGCTCCGCATTATGATCTCAGTTTGCATGGCATTTTTAGCAGCTGTCAGTGTTTAAATGCTGCCCTCCCACATACAAAAGCCATTATTACCGGGGCAGGGCACCTTGAGAACTTTCTTTCTTTTTCAACAGAAAAAGCACTATGCACCAAAATTATATTTGCTAGACATGCCTCTGTAAAGAGCAAAAGTTCTTCAACAAGACAACTTCATAGTATTTCAAAGCTCTGTAAAGTCTTAGAAAGAAGTACAGACCAATCATCCTGTCAAAAACATCCAATATTTCAATATATCAAGAGTAAGAATAAAGAAAATACACTATTATGCTCTGTGACACTGCATTGATTCTTAAAATCACTGTCAGTTTTTAATTGATACTTTATGTGCCAAGATTTCCATTTTGTAATGTACCATTCAACTCTTCCACTCCAGTATAACATGTTGCTAACGTAAACACAAAGAACACGGGCCTATCAATCAGGCAGAACTGAAAAGAGCGCACCACAAAATCCTAAAATTAGATGTTAAAAAAAATCACAATATATCGTCTTGCTTACAGTATCCCAGTACATCACAATATATAGAATTTTAACCCCTGTATCGTGATACGTATCGTATTACCAGATTGTTGACAATACACAACTATAATTTTAAAAACACACAAGAAATATGCACAAAGACTAATCTTACTTGACCCTAAGTCTTTTGCTGTTGGGCTCATAACCAGAAAAAACAAATTATAGTAAAAATGAATGTGCACTCAATTTGCTTTACACCTAAAAAAGTATTGCACTGTTATGGAACAAGATCCACAGACTGAGCTCTCCTCCATAGATAAGATGGCTGTTGCACTGTTTCTGTTACATGTTCTATACAACTTGTATGTTAACATAATTAAACAGCCAGCCAAACTCGATTTTCACAAGCCAGGAAGCGAGGCCTTGCTCCTTTATTGACCATCTTCACGCATGACAGGTGAAAACATTTGAATGAAACTGTAATTAACAGACAACAGAAAAGACTTATAATGTGTCCTAATTAGCAGAGCAAAGTTGCGGTCTAAAAACAACGATACAGCTGGTCAATGAGTGCTAACACTAGCCATCAACAACGTTAAAAATAAATCATATACTAACACGGTCGTACATTAGCATGTAAATTAGCGTCACTGAAACACCACAGTAAATCACTGGTAATAACAACGCACACCAACAAACTAATTCTGTACGTAGAAAGTGAACCCACATCAACTTACAGCCATTACTTTCAAGGGCTTACGAAAAGTGTAAGATGGGAGAGAAGCTCTCGTAATTCATGTTCAGTAAACAAAACAGTGTGCTAATGTGTGTCTATTTGGATATATTTCAGTAAAAATGATTCTCTATTATTACAAGTAATGCACATTAACCCTTTTTTTACTGACTTAAATCAGAGAGCGGAACAGCTGTTATCAAGCCCTCCATTAGAAAGGATAAATTGCATATTTGAAAATATATGGAGGCCATTTATTAATTATGTTAAGGATATAGACTTAACAGACGATCAAGTGAATGACTTCATTTTGTGGCGAATGCAGTTTCCGAACTTGTAGAATTTTTATTTTTCTTCTAAATACCCGATATATTTTGCATCTATTGCAATAAATATACTGTACAGAATGGTTTGTTAAGACAGGAGGAGCATTCTTGTTTTGATGGGATTTTTTCCTGTATTTTGTGTCAGAGCAGTTATTTTAAGTTGTGTTATACAGTACAGGCCAAAAGTTTGGACACACCTTCTCATTCAATGCGTTTTCTTTATTTTCATGACTATTTACATTGTAGATTCTCACTGAAGGCATCAAAACTATGAATGAACACATGTGGAGTTATGTACTTAACAAAAAAAGGTGAAATAACTGAAAACATGTTTTATATTCTAGTTTCTTCAAAATAGCCACCCTTTGCTCTGATTACTGCTTTGCACACTCTTGGCATTCTCTCCATGAGCTTCAAGAGGTAGTCACCTGAAATGGTTTTCCAACAGTCTTGAAGGAGTTCCCAGAGGTGTTTAGCACTTGTTGGCCCCTTTGCCTTCACTCTGCGGTCCAGCTCACCCCAAACCATCTCGATTGGGTTCAGGTCCGGTGACTGTGGAAGCCAGGTCATCTGCCGCAGCACTCCATCACTCTCCTTCTTGGTCAAATAGCCCTTACACAGCCTGGAGGTGTGTTTGGGGTCATTGTCCTGTTGAAAAATAAATGATCGTCCAACTAAACGCAAACCGGATGGGATGGCATGTCGCTGCAGGATGCTGTGGTAGCCATGCTGGTTCAGTGTGCATTCAATTTTGAATAAATCCCCAACAGTGTCACCAGCAAAACACCCCCACACCATCACACCTCCTCCTCCATGCTTCACAGTGGGAACCAGGCATGTGGAATCCATACGTTCACCTTTTCTGCGTCTCACAAAGACACGGCGGTTGGAACCAAAGATCTCAAATTTGGACTCATCAGACCAAAGCACAGATTTCCACAGGTCTAATGTCCATTCCTTGTGTTTCTTGGCCCAAACAAATCTCTTCTGCTTGTTGCCTCTCCTTAGCAGTGGTTTCCTAGCAGCTATTTGTCCATGAAGGCCTGATTCGCGCAGTCTCCTCTTAACAGTTGTTCTAGAGATGGGTCTGCTGCTAGAACTCTGTGTGGCATTCATCTGGTCTCTGATCTGAGCTGCTGTTAACTTGCGATTTCTGAGGCTGGTGACTCGGATGAACTTATCCTCAGAAGCAGAGGTGACTCTTGGTCTTCCTTTCCTGGGTCGGTCCTCATGTGTGCCAGTTTCGTTGTAGCGCTTGATGGTTTTTGCGACTCCACTTGGGGACACATTTAAAGTTTTTGCAATTTTCCGAACTGACTGACCTTCATTTCTTAAAGTAATGATGGCCACTCGTTTTTCTTTAGTTAGCTGATTGGTTCTTGCCATAATATGAATTTTAACAGTTGTCCAATAGGGCTGTCGGCTGTGTATTAACCTGACTTCTGCACAACACAACTGATGGTCCCAACCCCATTGATAAAGCAAGAAATTCCACTAATTAACCCTGATAAGGCACACCTGTGAAGTGGAAACCATTTCAGGTGACTACCTCTTGAAGCTCATGGAGAGAATGCCAAGAGTGTGCAAAGCAGTAATCAGAGCAAAGGGTGGCTATTTTGAAGAAACTAGAATATAAAACATGTTTTCAGTTATTTCACCTTTTTTTGTTAAGTACATAACTCCACATGTGTTCATTCATAGTTTTGATGCCTTCAGTGAGAATCTACAATGTAAATAGTCATGAAAATAAAGAAAACGCATTGAATGAGAAGGTGTGTCCAAACTTTTGGCCTGTACTGTATATTATGTAAAATGCTGTATTTCATGGTGCTTAAATTTTGAATTGAGATATTGTGGTAAGCAAAAAGAGATCAAATATATCATATATGGTCGTGAACATAGTTGCACAACAGGACTTTTGCACAATATATATGCCTGCACAAGCATTGGACAAGTCACCCCCAGTGTGTGTGTGTATGTGTGTGTGTGTGTGTGTGTGTGTGTGTGTGTGTGTGTCTGTGTGTCTGTGTGTGTCTGTGTCTGTTTAGGCCAGTTGTTGTGGCTTTAAAGATGTGACATTAGAAGAATAAGAAGTGGGTAATGTTGTCAGTATTTGTGGCTCACACAACATTGCAATTTGAGTTTCATTAAAAGGACACTCTTGCTTTGATGTTTGATGCCTCACACCTCCTCTCAATAGATTCCTTTGTAATTTTAGGTTGGTTTTATGTGGTGCTTTAATGTCAATTAACTTGAGAAGACCCTGATGCAATATTAAGTAAATGTTTATCCCACTGTGTGTAGTTTACTGACATTTGACTTTAGCCCCTCAAAGTGTATTATTTGTAGTGTTTCTCAGTGTCATCCAATAATTCATCACCAAAAAAGTTCTCAATACTTCAGAGCACTTAAAAGAGATAATGCTTCATAGCTATTTTATTTTCACTTTGAATTACCTTAGACTGTTTAAGGAAGTTTTGCTTGTTAGCACTGTAATGAGCTCTGACTTAGCAGGAAAATATTGCTGGGCTTTTTTTCCCCATGTCACATCTTTTATATGCTGTTAGTGACTGAGCTGCTTCCTAATGAATTGCTGCCTTGTGTCTTCCGCTGCTGCTCTCAGCTCTCCCTCCTGATTCTCTCCTCCTGCTGTCATGTTGGAAAGAGATCCAGGCAGAATCTGCCACCCTCCTCTTTTGACGCATCTCTTCCCTAACTGATAACAGCGTTACCTTGGCCATTATCCCTGATGATGTCTGCACTGAAATGACTTTTTAAACGGAAGCTCTCAGTTTGACTTTGAAGACCCATTCTGAGGAAGTATTGCTGGAGCAAATATCAAAGCATCTGTTCTTTTTGAAATGAATGCTATGATATTTTGGATAAGTCTATCTCTGGCCATTAATGTTTAACACTGGAATGGCCGGTTTTAGGCTGAAACACTTAAGGCCCTCAATAATTTTTCCCACAACTGCAAGCCACTGTACACACACACACACACACCAAACTTTCAGACAGAGTCACTTCAAACAGCATATACAATACGTAAATAGAGTCAAAACACAGTCTGATTCTCACATGCCATTTTGTTGCATTGTGTGAGTGACATTTTGTGGCCTGGATCCTGACATCTCGCTGCTTACATCTCTCAATTTTTATGGCTGATTATCAGGCTTGGTATTTTCAGTAGGAACATAACCTCGGTCTTAACCCAAGTCTTGTGACCAGTTAACTTTTAGCTTCTAAGTTAAAAGTATACTATTTTCACACCTTGTGTACAAGATGAGTAGGGCTCATCATTTTTGTTTTTCTATGTAAAAAAAAAAGTTTTCTAAGCTGTTCTCATCACAAAAGGAAATCTTTCACTTGAAACTGGACATCTGTGTCCTCTTGCAGCAGGAAACATGTTAAAAAATAATGAGCACATGGTCATAAGAAAAAACAGGTGTCTTTTTAAGAAAATCTGAGATTCCCCCCCAAAATATGACCACATCTTTTGACAAGCAATTATGACCCATATCTACGTTTGTTTTTAGGCAACGACCTATAGGAGTTAATTGACAGGAGCAAAGGAGTAAGTGAGGTAACTAGTACAAAGAAAATCCATTAAGGTTGGGCAGTAGGGAGGGGGGTGAGGTGTACTGGTCAAACACACGCAGGACTTTCAAGCAGGAGACCACAGTTCATGTCCTGTTATTTTAACAATGTTACCAGTGCTGTACCCAATTCAGAGTTCAGTCAGTTGGACCCGATTTGGCTGCTCAGTGTGAATGCTTCACTATTTGTGTCTTTATTTCCACATAGAATTTGAGAGTGCAGTGGGACATTTGTGGTGACAATGATGCTTATGTAATAAAGTAAACAAGCCAAGTTAGCCCAGCTAATATGCTAACAACGCTAGCGATGGATTGGATTCGTTCAACATAATTTTTTGCCGACACTAGATATCAAACAAAAGCCAGAAACTGTATTGTATTGAGTTGCTGTGAGCAGTCAATTTACCATTTCTAAGCAGGAGAGAGAAGATAACATTATCTTTGAGCCTCGCTGGACAAAGCCTCTTGTCCTCTGGGTAGTTGCCTCTGTCTTACCTATATTCACCCTGAGTCTGGGTTTGCAGCTCCCTGTACCAGAGAGCAGCGTGAAAGCTATTCCTTGGGGCCAAAACGTCACCTCTGTACACAGACTGACAAAACAAAACAAACAACAACAAAAAACAGTCATTGCTTGAGTTAACGTAATCTCAGTTGACTTGAGGGTCTTCAACTGATGACTTCATTCTTCGACTTTCAGAAGGCAACCCTAAACATAATGTAGTATGTCACATAATGTATGTGATATATGTCACGTGAGATACAGTCCAGTGGGTTGTATCAGAGGGTAGGAACAAACAACCTATGTAGTCGTATGGCTTGGAACACTTGTTGGAGAGAAAATTGAGGTATCTGTCACTGAATATCAGTTTTGGCATTTTAAGCAATACTTACTGTGATCAAATAAGTAACATTAAAGATAAAGAAGTGATGAGCTGATATCCAGACCAGTAACTAAGCTGCTGTCACTGTCTAAAAGAGATGACATTTAAATATCAATACATCTCTGTCATAATGTACTTGCACTTGTTGGCACTGAAACAGAAACACAGTTGGGGTGCGGTATATAGCAAAGCCAAAATCAAATGCCTCAGCATGTGTTGTGTTCTGAAATTCTCTTGGATGTTTTCTTGAAGAAAGTTCAATTTTGCCAACTCCCTGTCACAAATTCTGTTGAGGATGATTGGTAGCACAGTCAGGTATTTCATCTTACGGTGTGTTAGCCTCTGGAGTGCGTACTGTGTTTTGAACTCAGTGTCAGACTTGCTTAGGGAAACCCTGAGGAAACGATGATTACACATAGAAAATATGATAGCTAGCACACTATTAATATTCATGCTCTTTGAAGCCATTTTCATCTTCATGTTTGTTTGCTCCTGATGAAAAAGATGAAAAGACCTGCGGACCTCATGAATTCCGCTGCGAGAATAACAACTGCATCCCAGACCACTGGAGGTGTGACAGCCAGAATGACTGCGGAGACAACTCAGATGAGGAGAACTGCAGTGAGTACCTGACTCCTTCACTTTCTGGCAGCTCAGTTTGTTCGTTTATATACACTGTTGACGTCCCACACGCACTTAGGCAGTGAAGAATTGAAGGCACCTGAGTGCTCCTCCCACCACCCCAATCACCCAACCACCTCTGCCTCTCTTTCTCTCTTACACACAATGGCACACACATCCTTATATCTGTACACCCTGGGTAATGTTTCCCACTATCAACTCAGCCAGGCTCAGCTCTCTCTTTAAAGCGTTCTCTAATTATCTGTGCTCTTTGTCTGAGAATAATGTGAGACTCAGACTCCTGAGCTCTTGTTACCATCTATTCACAGTAATTTACCAAGCTCATATTCCCTTTTGTTTAGATATGCATCATCACTTTTAGAAAGAAAACTTTTATTTACTCATGAAATGACATTGGTAACCCACCTCGTTAGATTCCTCATCTTTTGTGCATTCAAGTTCTTGCTTGTGTGTGAGTGGAATTGTGGAAATGCCTGTACGTCATATGAGCAGATACATGCCTTCTGTGTGCTTTTTGCTGAGTATGCATCATTTACGTGATTTATTAGATGCTTATTCCTCACACCTATTAATGTCACTTAAAATGCAAATAAAAGCCAGTCAAGTGTTGGATAGCAAAGAATTAAGCAGGTGGACCAGCAGACAGTGGAGAGGCTGCAAATCAGATTCTGCTGCAATGCCTGCTGGGAGTCTCTGTTGCAGCACAAACTCATAACACACACCCTGCGTTAGCTAACAGTCCATGATAACAAGGGGAGGGCCCAGACATTGGATCTGATGCAGCTGTTTAGCTGCGCCCTAATATTGTCCTCGGGGACAGACTCGCACTAAATGGCAGATACAAGCTTTTTGGCTTCAGAAAGTATGTTGCCCCCCTCCATTGTGAGAGCAGCAATGAATGTATTTACATCTTGATCAGCTTTGCCAGTTTCTCCACTTCTGATACAAAATGACTCTAATTAGCTAAAACGATGGTTTTGCCAACACAGAGCATTTGGCCGATTACTGCATCAGGGGATGTATGTTTGTTATGTATAATGCTGGAATAAAGAATCACTTTGGCACCATTTTGTATCTGTTTTTCTCAACTTAGAGCCAGTCACCTGCAACCACAAGGACTTTGCCTGCGCCAACGGAGACTGCATCTCCTCCAGATTCCGCTGTGATGGAGACTACGACTGCCTGGATAATTCAGATGAGGCTAGTGTTTGAGATATGTGCACCAATTACTTATAAATCAAAGAGGAAGGTAAACCCACATGAGTGCTGCTAATGAGGCAGATATTAGCAAGACACTAAATTAAGAATAAAATACTGTACACTTCAAAAAAGCTCCAAAAGAAGAACTGTTTTAAATTGAACACCAACTTTTTGGACATTTTGCCATTTCTAGCACAATAGTCTTCCCAAGCACTTTGCTTATGTAATTACATGCCAACCAATCTATTATATTATTAGGGTGGCAATGCCTGTCTCTATGGAAAATCATAGGTCAGTTTACACAAAAGTTAATACTACAAAGACACCTAAAATTACAGTGTACGCAGACTAAATCATAGTATTTACTTATGGATTCTGTGATTTAGTCTGTAATTGATCTCTTGGAAATGTGCCCTAGTATCTGAGCTTGCAGCCCAAACACAGTTTAAATATCCCAATTGGAAAGGGAGATAAAATTGGATGAGTATATTGCCACTTGCAAAGAAAATAACCCCATTCCAGACATAATTCGTTGTGTCGATCCAAATATCCTCGTCATGGTAGCTACAATCCAACAGTGCTGGACAGAAAATAGCACTGTGATGAGTTATTGTACCTTCAAGTACATTAGCGCATAAAATACCTTGTGTTTATTTGCTTCTGGAAATCCTAATCCCCCATGCCTTTCAGCAAAACAAAGACTGCTGTTTTGTTTATAAATATGCTTGAATATCTTAATTTATGAAGCTTCAAATTGCCTTTGTAATTTTACGCTCTTGTAATACGTGAAGAAATTAACTTAAATGTGCCTTTATCTAGCATTGCACGGTGTAAGGAGATTTTTTTGCAGGATTCATACAAAGAATGCTCAATCAGTGGTAATGATGCGGTGCAATGCATAATTCAAGGACAAAGGCTTGTTATTACCATTCATTATTCTTGTTAAATTATTGCTCCATTCAAAATTTGCACAGCAATTTTTATATGTAATCCCTCTCCATGCAAAGCACCGCAACCCTAATTAACCCTTTATTATGTGTCTCCCCACTGCCAACTTTCTGGGTCAATGCAGGCGAATAGTTTCAGGAAAGAAAGCCGCCTTTCGATCAGCTTTATAATACACTGTGATTATTAAATTTAGTTATTCATAGTGGCCATCATGGAGTAGATTGTCCAGCCTGTTATGGCTCCAATATTTACCTGAGCGTGGAAGAAAACTGGAATACATTATTTTTTTCTTTTGTCTGTACCAAAGCAAAAATATGTTTTACTCCAAACCAGTAAATCATCATAAACAGATTTAACTAAGATTATTTTTAAGCTTTCAACAATACTTACAAGTTTATTTTTCTGTTTCTTTTTTAATGTCTTGTTGTTTTGATGACCAGAAGTCTGTATTTTGTCATCTAACTATTATAGTTATTACAGCAAATTTCCTTTACTATATAAAAGTAGGGAGTGTGTATATTAGGCAGTGGTGTGTAGTAACGCATTACATTTACTCTTTAGTAAACTAACTTCTAAGAGTAGTTATTTTCAGAACATTTTTTACTATTACTCAAGTACATGTGTGATAAAATATATGCATATTTGCAATTTGTATTTAGCTGAGCTCAACAGCAAATATCCGACAACAACAAAGGATAGTCTAATAGCCAATCATAGCACTGCAGATGAAACGGAGGTGTGGCTCTACCCCCTGCACGACCTCTCTTTATTTGACTACAGTTCAAGATCATGGCAGAAGATGAAACACCTTCATTTCAACTTTTATTTTATGAGCTGCCTACTTTGTCAACCCAAAACAGTGGACATCTTGACCTTCAAGGATTCCACATTGACAGCAGATGCTTATGTCATTTGTTATTTGTTGGTTCTGTATGTGGCACTTTAATGACAATTAACATGCACCTTGCATTTCTAATTACCTGTTGAGGACCTATTATAACATAATATATTGATGCATTAATTTGCATATAATGAAGTTACTCACAACCAGGAATGGGTGCCGAAACTGGTAGTAAACGAGCCCTAGGGCTAAATTATCAAAGACCGTAATATGGATAAGCTCTGACATTATCAGTTCTTTTATGGGTACTTTTTAAAGTTTTGGTTTAATTCACTATCATCCTGCAGCCTCTCACCCACGCTCTGTGCCGGGGCTGACCTCCTCCACATACACACATATCCACGCACATACACACACACCCACACGAAACAGAGAGGCTGCAGTGGAAACAAAGTGAAGATAAGTCAAAAATTACTTGAGTTGACGTTTCTGTAAATGTAATTAAACCTTTGTGAGTAAGCGTCAATACCTTATCGGTACACGTAAACAGTGATATTTCATTTTGCTCTGTCTGCAGTCTCTCATCCACGGCCACTAACATTATGGTTTAGACAAGCACAGCATGCTAGTTCAGTTAAAAGCGAATTGTTACAAATACACTAAAATGACAGCTGTCTGTATGTAATCTAAGTGTTTAGCTTAGTTTGGCACTTATCTTAAAATTGGGCAAATTCTTTAAAACTAAGCTGCTGGCTGACACAAACAGCCCCTCCTCCTCCCTCCGCCAGCAAAAATGTTACCTGCAGTGAATCACATCAGCAGAGAGGGAGCAGGACAGAGGACATGAGGAATAAATACTAAACTTCACTGATTATTGTGATGTCAGGAATATTAATTATATAGTGACTTTACTGTAAATTACTGTAGCTGCCCAAGAAACAACATTAATTTATATTTAAAATATTTAATAATCCTGATCTGAATTTATTCTTTTTAGATCAATTTATTTTCTAAAAAGCAGTTATTAAGAAATGGAAAAAGAACGACAAGAGTAGAGCTAAACGTAGTAGTACTGATTGAATTTTTCACGGTACCCATACCTACTCACAACATGAATTGTTTTTCGCGATATTTATTTACTCAAGTATTACTTTGACTTGAGCCAATATAATTGTAAAATAACAATAGTTTTACTTCAGTACCATTTTTGTTTGCTCTACCCACCACTGATATTAGGAGGAGTAATGTCACAGCGTTTATATTCACATTAAATCCAACATTTCATGACCTCTGTTGAGGATGATTGGTGAGTAGAAAGGAAAGTGCAAGAAAAAAAAATGTTTGAAAGGCGACTGGTCCAAGTCCTGAAATAAATCATCTTTAAAAGAGGATTTACGGTACATCACAGAAAGCATGATTCGACATTTTCAAGCCCTGATAAAAGAAGACAGTGAACAGTGAACCCTGACTTGAGCATAGTACTTAACAGTTTTGATATTTCACAGATTAAAAGTGTTTTTGATTTTTTTTTTCTAACAGTTAACATTCACTGTGTAATAATCTTACTGTGTTCGTTTACAGAAAGACTGTGAGGCGCGCTGTGCAGATGACCAGTTTCGGTGTCACAACAACCTCTGCATCTCGCTCAAATGGCTGTGTGACGGCCAAGAGGACTGCAAGATGGGGGAAGATGAGAAAAACTGCCAGGAAACAGGTGCAAAACGAAATTCTTAGAAAGCGCTACAGAGTGTTACTCCTGTGCGCCACTTGGTTGATAGAACATTACTTATTTCTAAACCTTGTGTTCTCTGGAATATGTTTTTCCATTTCTGTAAGAGCGGAGTTCAAACAGTTCAATAATTTGTATTATGTAGCAGGGTGAAAGAAAAGGTTATCATTTCAATGTCAATAGCTGGAGGAGGTACTGAGTGTGAGTTAGTGAAAGATTCAGTGTTGCCCTGTGTGAGGTCATTGCTATCCTAAATAGCTAACAAGGTCAAAGCCGTACCCATGACAAATATAAAAATGTCCCCATATCAAGGTTAGAATTAGATTTAAACAGAACGTAGCCCTCATTTAATAGGCATAGTTAGGAATATTCTTTTTTACATTGATTTTATTATCATAACACATAAACTCATAGAAAGTGGTTGAAGGAAGTGTGACATTGTGTCCTTAAGATCTGTGCAGTATACATTAAAAATTATGAAGAAAAAATGTTAAAAAAATATGAGTTTAAGAGTTTGTATGCGACAGTGACTAAATTTCCTCTTTGTACTTCCACACAAATTGCAGATCTTGAAAATAAATCACTCTGATTCTAATTTTGTGGAGGAGTAGAAATGGCCGCAGTTCTGCTGATTTGCTCGATTGAGTTCAGCTGTTCATTACTGGCCAAGTACTGTGAAGCACTTCGTTGAGCAGAAAGTAGTACACAATATGAGCTCTTTGACCTGCAGGACAACATCATACTGTATCATGGAGTGACAAGCTCCCATAATTCCCCTCATAAAAACTGCATTTTCCTGCCAGCATTAGCTCCACGTGGAGTTTTTTCACCTGTTCATAGAGCAAGAAACTAAAAAAAATCTCACCTGAGTGATTTCCAGCTGAGAAAAGACAGGTTGTTGACGGATATACTTTGCCCTCTTCCAGTAGCCCCTTCATGTTCCATGAACGAGTACGTGTGTGCCAGCGGAGGGTGTGTGTCAGCCAGCCTGCGATGTGATGGACATGACAACTGTCTGGATGGCTCAGATGAGGTCAGTGCAGCTTCACATGACTCACAAAAAGCAACCAAAAAATAATTTGTTTTGGTTTCCTCTGATTGCAGCTGACAACATTGTTCGAATGGACAGTTTTGATGGTTTACGGTGTGTCTCTGCTGACAGGTCGGCTGTGTGAAGGAGTGCAGAGAAGATGAGTTTCTCTGCCTGAATCGTGCCCACTGCATCCCTCGGCGCTGGCGCTGCGATGACGTGTTGGACTGCATGGACCACAGTGATGAGGAAAACTGCAGCCAGGGTAGGTGTGAGTGTGACCTCGAACTGTTATTTGAGTTTTTAATCCCTGAAGGCAGTAAAAAAAAAGATTCTCATGTACTAGCTCAAATCTCTACACTGCAAACGTATCACTGAACAGCAAGTGAATTTCAAAGCATTTAATATAAAGGAGACAGAACAACAGAGAACAATGTATGGCAGGTAAGCTGCGTAGGTGGCAGAGGAAGGGATTTCACATACAGTAGGAATGAAAGATTTGAGATGAGATGAACAGATTCAACTTTGCTTTTGTGAGGCAAAATGATCCAGGGCTGCCTGTATCATTATATTAAATGATCTCTCATTGTAATCTTGTCATAGATGGTTTGTTCAGTCCTATCTTCTACAACCTTAGATGTTTTTTTCTACCCTAATTTAAAGTCCTGAGGACTTATCTGTGTGTAATTGCAGGTGCTTTCTTCTGCCGGGCCGATGAGTTCATTTGCAACAACACCTTATGCAAACTCCACACGTGGGTGTGTGATGGCAAGGACGATTGTGGAGATAACTCTGACGAGGACATAGACATGTGTGGTGGGTTGAAATGTCACTCACAAGGCTTTCCTTTGAAGACAGTTGATACATATTTTATAAACCACTACTTTTCTATTTTCCAAGAGGGAAGATTTCACTGTCTTTTTATACAAGATTGCATGCAGTTGTTTTTTTTTTGTTTTGAAAGACATATCCATTAACTCGTGTCTCTTCATCTCCAGCAAAACTTCCCTGCCCTCCTACAAGGCCATTCCGTTGCAGAAATGATCATGTGTGTCTGCGCACGGACCAAGTTTGCAACAAAGTGGATGACTGTGGTGACAACTCGGATGAAGAAGAGTGTGGTGAGTACAGAGTGCACCAATACAGATCTGATATTAAATCTGCACCAAGCAAACTTTTCTGTGAAAATACAATTAAAGTTATGGTCAGTTTATTAAACAGAGTGCAGCACTCTACTTCTATTATTTGATAACCATGCTCCCCTGATGTACCTGTCCTTGACCCATAGAAGTGTAGATATCGTTTCATTCTGATAGAAAGCTTAAAACATTAATTGGGGCTGGGGCAGAACTTGGCAAACCCATGAACACTGTTGGTTTTTGACGGAGACAGGAAATTACATAATGAAACTTAAAAGTAAACTCCAAATTGTCCTCAAAACCAGTGGCTCTCACATTTTTAGCTCATGACCCCTGAAAAGAAGCAATGTTTACTTGTTTACTCCTGTCGCCTAATCACATTTTGCCTGTGTATGAGCTGAACTTTTGAGTGAATTAGTGATTTTTCTTTCTCAGATAGTTTAACCAGCCAATTTGGCTGTTATCGGGTTATTAAGTGACCGTTATTGGTAGTGATAAGTATTATAGATGTAAGTAAGTAGGGGCCTTCCACACCTACTTTTAGGTTGAGAGGGCCATTGTCAAGCCATGAAATGATACTCTGTGCCAGAAAGGGTGGGGTGGGGGTGTTGGATTGGATGGGTTAAACACAGGACTTTCAACCAGGAGAACAGAACAGACCATGATCTTTGTTTTCAAACCTTACCATGTCGTTTTGGCACCTAAAACTAAGGAAAGTTGATTTGAAACAACAAACAAACATGTAACAGTCACTATATGGGCTGATAATGGCCTTCTGAACCTACCAGTAAGTGTATTCCTTTCACACATGCACTGCGACTCTGAACTTATCTAGACATTACGTAGAGGAGCTGTATGTGACAATGCAAATGTCTGAATCAGTTGGCTTGGACCTTAAACATACTTTACCCTGTCAGCTCCCTAGTACAATTCCATTGTGGTTGAGCCCATCATTAAATAGAGCTGGTCCTTGTCTGGATAGTTCACATCGAGCGAATGGCATTTCTATCATGTGACTGGCGCAAAACTAAAAGCATACAAGCATCCAAAGATGGAGAAGAAGGGTCATTTTCACTGAGAAGCCAATGAAAAATGTCTAACTGGAAAGATGACCAGATTTGGGAACCTCTGTTTGTGAGGGCCGAAACTGACATTGTTAGAGAAATTAAATGAACAGCAAGAGACTCTGTTCTTTATGACCAAATTATACACCAGCTACATCAATAAAATACTCTGATTCCTGGAGCGTACCTGTTGCTTAATGTCCTGGCTCCTGCATGCTCTACCTACGGCTACCCCTTACCTAAACCAAATACAGTATCTCCAGTCTCTCAGAACATGTCTGATACAGTCCCATGTTCATGAGAGAAAACGCTTATAACCACAGATAATGACCATTTAATGGACTGATAACATCCTGATTGGGTGGTTAAGTGAAATCATTTTAGAGAGCTGATGAGGTAAATCTATCCATAGTAAAGAAAAAGAATGTGTAGTAGGACTTTTGTTTTATTTATTTTTTATGTTTCTTTTCTAACCTGTTTGTTGTCCTGGGTTTTCCCTGCCTATCTAAGACAAAGGCGGGCCCGCCTGAGTGATTTTGGCCCCCACCTTGGTTAAAGCGTGTGTGTGTGCATAGCGTCCAGATGTAGCGTCTTTTGCGTGCACAAACCCATTACTTTCAATGTAGACACGCGTCATGCACGCTCCCAACCCAAAGCAACGCCGTAGCGTTGTGCATTCGGTGCAACGCGCTTGTTTTTTCATCTGCCGCACAGCTCCACGGACCTGCTTCTCCCTCTGGTGCTGTGTCAGATCCTGGTTCCCCCTCGGGCTGTGTCTCTCCTACGGTTTCCCACGTAGCTCTGCCCCGTTTGAAAGGCGAAGGAAGCCTGTATGTGAAAAGACGTCGCCTCCAAGATGTAGAATGTGTATTATAGAAGAGAGACACACATTTCAGGACCGCTGACTTGTATCATCAGAACAGACATGTCCTGTGATTTTCAGCCTCCTTTCATATTTAATAGAGGGGGGACAATACCTGACAGTAATATTCTCAGCTGTCAGGATGTGCCTGCTGTAAAGGGTAAATAGAATCAAGGAACGCTGAAAATCACAGGACATGTCTGTTCTGATTATACAAGTCACCAGTGTAAAGCTCAAGCATGTGGGGGCCTCCATTCATATTTAATAGAGGGGGGGACTGTATCTAAAAGTACAGCTGTCAAGATGCCCCCCGCCACAGGCCTTTGCCACCTTGGTCTTGAAAAAACCCAGGGAAAACCCTGCTGTCATGTCATTGTTTGAAACGACAGCAAATAAGTGTTGCATCCAACACAATTTGGACCATTAGCATTACATTTTTGATCTCTCATGCACCTGTGATATCCTCATGTACACAACACCAAACACTGACCAGGTTGATAAATGTTAGCATGGTCAGCAGTTTTCTGATGTTAAATTCTTGGCCTTGAGCCTAGTATATTATGAGCTGTATGAACTGTATGTGCAATCATACAATCCTACACGGTTTAGTGATTATGAAAAAGAACACTTGGGATTTAACATTTCTTTAAATACGAATAGTTGGCTGCATGTGCTGCGTATCATCCACTCAAGGGTGATGACTTGCTGATAAATGAAGGCAGGGGTTGTGTTTGCAACTCTGTGTAAATGAGAGATTTACAGGCTGCATTATAAAACTTGAGTGTACTTTGATTTGGGTTTTTTTGTTTTACATTGTTTAGATTTTGGGTTTCATGCTTCTTCTTTTTTTTTAAATTTTCTCTGATATGCCCAAAGACATAATGGCTGCCGGCTCTCATATAGTGTCCTGATGTGTTCGCTCAACACAAGCCTGGTGTGAACGATCGCATAGAGCAGACAGGACAGGAAGGGACAAATCACCTCTCTCATCCTTCTCTCTTTCCTTCCGTTTGTCCTCAATTCATCTTCCTCTCTGATTCCATTGATATGTCCATCCATCTCTTACCTCACTCCATTACCTCTCACCATTGTATGCTTCTGTCCTCTATCCATCCCTTAAATCTCACCTTAATCCCACGGTTCCCTCCATCTACCCTCTATCACTTCATTTTGTTCTTTTCCCTTTCTTCTCTCCATTATGGGGACGATGTCAAACTCTCGGTATATTATTCTAGTAAAGATAAAAAATTGTTCACTGACAACTCAAAACAAAATCAAGTAACATTTTATGAAACAGCTCTGTAATAGTGTATATTCTCTGTTTCGAAAATTGACTGACAATTATAGATTGATTACCAAAGTTAAAATATTCATTCCTGCAGCAAGTAGATAGGTATATAATTGTTAATAAGCTCTGTCCACAATGGTGGAGATTTCAGAATTTTAATCGAATTTTAATTTGTACTTACTTAGCTTTTAAAACCAAAGGCAACATATTTGCTCTTGAATTTTTGGCAGTACATGAGTTAGGTTATGAGTTTTTGTTGTCTTTTTAACTGACGCTGTGTGTACCGAAGCAGAGGTGGTGGCTGGAAGACCTCGACCTTGTGGAAAGACAGAGTTCACCTGCAGTAACCAACGCTGCATCCCCATCCAGCTGCAGTGCGACCTCTTCAGCGACTGCGGCGATGGCGGCTCAGACGAGCAAGACTGCAAGGCCTGTAAGTACTGCACCAGCTGACTCGAGTGAACAGATCAAAGAAGTGTTTCGGAAAAGATGAAAAGTTCCGAATGTCACAGTGATGTTATCAAGAAGCTCAGCAATCGCCTCATTTTAAATGTGATGTTTTATTATTTATGGTAATATATGTATGCCCGTGTTTGACGTGTTGCTGTGTACTATATTAAAAGAGATGATGCCCTCTCAGCTTTTGCACATCAAAAGGAAAACACAGCAGGTGTCTAGGACGCGCAGGACTGATGTGTAATCAAAGTCCTGTCTTTATTTGTAGTTTCCAACGGAGATGTATGTGGAAAGAAAACAAATCCATGTGGAGAGGATGCGATTTGCAACCAGACAAATGCTAATGCTATATGCCAGTGCAAACCTGGCTTTAAGAGGAATCAACACACAGGCCTATGTGAAGGTAATGCATAATCAGTTTTATTCATTTTTCACATTGCAACAGTTAAAGGAGCTCCTTAAGACATTTAGACCATTAATATGGCAGCAAACAACTATTTGCTATATAAAAATATAGTGGAGTAATGGTGTCCTGAGCAGAGAATGACGTCATGCTTCCTCTGTGTATGTTGTACTACAAGCTTTTCTGTTTGTTGCTGTGGTAGCACATTAGCATGTTAGTGCCTATGAGTCCCATGTGTGTATCCCACTGGCTTGCTAATCTTGACTGCTTAGCACTGTGCTCATATGAATGAATGGTATTGCTGTGGAAGCGCCCAACCACCAGTTTCTCCCAAGTTACCACCATTAGCTCTGCCACCAATGTTGCCATTGTTAGCGCCATTGGCTTTGGTGCACTGTTAGCTGCCTGCACCTTTACCTGCTAGCTGTTGTCTTGGCTATCTCCACATTGAGAGCCATTTGCAGAATCTCTGAATCATATAAGGAGCTCCTTTAACAGTACAGCAGTAACTGGTTCAGTCACTACAACATTTTGTTTCAGACTGTTAAGTAAACAATTTATTTTCACTAGCTCAACCAGGTTAAGATGTGGCGATTATTACACTTTTGTTGCGAATACTGTCAGGTGTCACATATGAAAAGGTGTTACTTGGGGTTTTATTATGAGTAAAACCATTAGAATTTCTATAACTAATATTTAGATGTATAAAACAGCTGCTGAAACCAGACAAGCCAGTTTTTATCAATGAAAATTGTTTCAGTGTACAAAGTAATGTGGCTGTTTCAGTATTAAGTCATGTCACAGCATATCAAACCAAGGCCTCTTGTTTCATGACAATAAACTGGCAGTCTTCAATTATGTGGAGAACCTCTTGACAGGACATAAAGACATACATTCCCTTTAGTACAGTCATGTCCAAAGTCCAGCCTGAGGACCCATTGTGGGCTGCAAACCCATTTTAAATGGCCCTCGGTTTGTCTTTCAAAATATACTGTATGATTAATGCAATACTGGTTAATTAAGCAAGGTCACTTTGCATTATTTTTTTCATTTACCTCATAGTAGCAGGACAATCATACAGTTTATGGACATGCACCAAGTAGGGACTACACATGTGGGACCAATGCAATTTCATAGTCAGATGGTCAAAAAGCAAAAGAACAATTACCTAACAGCAGATATTTCCTGTTAGGTGGCAGACATGGCCACAGCAAAGAAGCATAAAGGCAAGGGCCGTCACTTTCAGGAGTGGTGGAAAGTTGAATACTTTTTTCACTTAAAGATGAAACAGTTGTGTTTGTGTCATTTGTATGCGATTTTATTTATCTATTTAATTATATATTATTTTTATTTAATATGAAGCAGCTGGCCCCCAGGTATTTTCACATTAAAAAAGGTTTGGACTGCTTTAGTAGCTTTAGTATTAAGCTGATATCAAAAACATCATTAATTCTCAATAAGCTTTAACAAAAAGCAACTGAGGTTACTTTAGGAATACTGTAAGACTGCAAACAAAAACATAGATAATTGCTTTAAAAGTGTTACAGCTTTGGCCTCCTCTCCCACTTGCTATCTGCTTCCACTGAAATGATACTATTAAGATGAGGAGTATTGAATATAATCGTTGCAGTCTTAAGAGATGATAGTTATGATTATTCAGTCAACCTGTTGACCCGGTTCTTGTTTCCCATTTTGATGGCTTTTGTGTGGTAGTTATAAACCGCATGCAAAGAGAAAGTGTCACTGACTACATGCATATAATTTCCTCTTTACTAATGGGTTGAGGGCACCACTTATCATGGAGAAAATTGAAATAAGGTTTACACTGCATTTCTCACTTATACATGCATGTCCTAACCATAGCCACTTTTGGCCTTGGCCTTACTGTTCTGTGCTAGAATGTACTTGTCATTTATTACTCATCATATCTCAGTGTGTATCAAGAATCTCATTAGGGATAAAAATATAAACATTTTTCTTCCTTTTCTAAAGCAAATTTTTCCTAATTTAATCAGTCTCTTTTTTTTCAGAGATAAATGAATGCCTGCAGTATGACGCATGTCCTCATTACTGCACAAACACTAAAGGATCTTTTAAGTGCACATGTGATCGAAATTATAAGGAGATCAATGGCAATTGCATTGCAAAAGGTATGACCCTAAAGTTTGATATCAGAAATTCTTTAGTGTACTCTGCAAACATACTCGTTTGATGTGATCTCCTTGTTAACTTAGTACAATGTTTAACTGTATTTGTATGTACTGTGCTTAAACTGTTGTCTAATACCCAAAATGGAATTTAGCCAATTTCCTTTTGTTTTCTTTTTTTTACATATTAATAACTCACCGGGCAGGACCAGAAGATCGAGTGCTCTACATAGCTAATGATACTGAAATCCGAAGTTTTGTGTATCCATTTAACCAGAGCCACGGACACAAACTGCTCACTCACATTGAGGACAATGCCCGCATTATTGGGATGGATGCTCTGTTTCACCACCAAAAGTTTATCTGGGCCACCCAATTTAACCCTGGTGGAATTTTTTACAAAGACAATCTAGAGAGAAGTCAAACTAAGACAAATGTCAGAAACATTGTAAGTATATCTACTGTGATACTTTTTTCTTTTCAAACATCATAGCAAATTTTGCAGTTTCTGGTTGTAAAAAATGGGTTGAGATAATAAAAAAACAAGCTTGATTATAAGATCTATTATGTGTCAAAAGAATCCCTAACATGTCTAGTTATACCCTAAGATATTAAAAGCATTAAGTTAACTTGCCAATTGCTCATGTTGTCTGTCAATTCAAAGTAAGGTGCTTGAGGTTACTAACATACATGTGAAGTTTTTTCATACAGTGTACACCATTATACCAAATGTCTCCATACTATGTCTTTTATGAGATGCCACTCTAAGTGAATATATGCACAAAGGTCATACAGAGAGCCTGACTCTGGCTATTATTGGTTGCAGTGTTCAGACTTCCGTCGACCCAGAGATATTTCTGCTGACTGGATCACAGGCAACATCTACTGGACCGATCACTCTCGAATGCACTGGTTCAGCTATTACACAGCCCACTGGACTAAATTACGGTATTCCATAAATGTGGGGCAACTTAAGGGACCAAATTGCACTCGCCTGATTACTGACATTGCAGGAGAGCCATACGCCATAGCTGTCAACCCAGCCAGAGGGTAAGTTGTGCACTAGCTATTGTCTTTTCCTACTGACGTCTCAAGACTTGTGACCCGTAGACAAGTGTGTTACATTTGATAAAAAGCTGATAGATCTGACACTTTTTTTTTCTCACTATCATGGATTTTATCCATCCCATAAATAATAGGCAGCATGTCTTGCCAAACATGCCTTGCTGTCACAATGAATGCCCTTTACTAGCTAAGTGCTGCAAAGTGAAGCAGCTAAACCAAGTGCTCCCTTGGCCATTGAGATAGCAGTGAGCTTAATCGCAGTGACAAAAACATCAACCTATGAACCTTTTCTGGGCACTTTTTGTCAGTGGATCCACTTTCAATACCTGAGGAAAGCGGTGTTACTTGGAAAATGCACCTGCTTAATGGTGAAAGGAAGCAATTTATTAATTACTCAGCTGCAGTGGAAGTAGCTTAATTAGTTACCTATTATATCACACCAGCTCCATTAAAGGTGCCCTCCAACAACAACAAAGCCGACACACCTACATGTGGTTGTAATACATCACTCTCACATTGAATCTTGAGGCTTTCCAAATTTTCTCATCAGTCGCATCACCATCTCACACTCAAAGTTAGCAAGTAAAGATGTAAGAACATAATTTATGCACAATTTGCATCTGCTTTGGCATTGCATATTATGTCATCACCAAGGACAAAAGGATTTCTAAGAATATAGTATACTATGAAAAACCAAATGTGTTGCAGTTACTGTGATACAATAGGAAATTATCAGGCTATATGAAAGTTATATGCATTGATTTATTTTGATATACAGTAGATTCAAAGGTATATTTTGATGCATACTGTCTACAGGACGATGGTGTCAGGAAGGTACAGCATTTCTCTTTCTCTGTTCCAGGATGATGTACTGGAGCGTAATAGGTGATCACTCTCATATCGAGGAATCAGCCATGGATGGCTCCTTACGCAGAGTGCTCTTGGAAAAAAATCTCAGGAGACCCACCGGTAGGTACTTCTTTTTGAAGTCCCTAAATTAGTTATATTGGTGTACATTCTTTCTCCTCGTTACTTTGGTATCTTAATGGTACCTTGTGGGGCTTTCATGAAAACAAATATAAACATTCAGTGTTCCTCATTCCTCATTGTGTGTGTCTTTGAGACTGAATACTAATGTTGAATGCATTTCCTTTCTCATAAAACATTTTGCAAAGCAGATTCTTTGGAATATTTTGAAACATTCATTGTTAACATCCACAAGCAGTCATCTTTTTCTGCCTTTGCTGGCGCTTTGCAAGGTGTCTTGGCATGTTACTGCCACCGGCCGTCAATCAGTAGAACAGTGGGAAACCACTGGCAGGAAGGCGGTAGGGTCATCAAAGGCTTGTGCGCATGCATATACATCCTCGTGTAAGTTCATAAGAAACAACTAAATGGGGACATACCCACAAACCATAATAGTGCTGTTGGTTGTCAGAACTTTTCAGGATACTTTTGTTAGTGTATACTTTCAGTTGCATATACAGTTTGATACTCTTTTACATTCTATGTATTCACATGTATGTTTGATCACCTGTCCTAATTTTTATACTGTTATTTGTAATTTTAAAACAGTTAAATAAGACACTCTTCCGGGGCGTCTGTAGCTTAGTGGGTAGAGCAGGCGCCCCACGTACAAGGCTGTTGCCGCAGTGGCCTGGGTTCGACTCCAGCCTGTGGCCCTTTGCTGCATGTCATCCCCTCTCTCTCCCCCTCTCAAAACTTACCTGTCCTGATCTTAATTAAAAGTTAGTGACTAGGGGTGTAAATCAAAATATAATATTACATAAATTCTTCGGACAATTATACAATTTTTGCTGATATCACGAAGTCTGCCAGATTACAATTTTGATTTAATTTAATTCAGGGGCCTGTGATCGATATGAGTAAATACCAAAAAATATTCCCATTGTCTTTTTCTCGGCTGCTTGCCATTGTCTGCCTGGTCCTAGGTCACTGTCAGCACCTTTGGAATGTTCCAGAAGACGGTGTGCTGCAGCAGAAATGGTGACTTACACCAGGGCCACACCGGACGCGGAAGCACTGCGAATAGCCTCGAAGCGCAGCCAGTTTCCTTTCAGCACCCATGTTAACCGATTGTGTCATCCACACCAGCCGCAGCTGCGCGGCGCGGCCCGTGTGGATGACTGCAGCTGCAGCGATCATTTCGGTGTCTGGTCTATTTTCTTGTGCGAACCCCGAGCGAATGTGTCAAGCCGGGCAGGAAGTCAAACAAAGGAACAGCAACAGCATCCAGTCAATTTTCAGAATAAAACAAATTTCAAAATAAAACACCCCGTTTGACAAATGCAATGTATATATGTATTTATATACATATTAGTCAGTGGTATCTAAACAGAGCGCGAGAGAGATGAACACACACACACACACACACACACACACACACACAAGAAAGAGAGATGGAGAGAGTGAGTGTGGGCCGGCTATAGGGGGTGGGGGTTGGGGCACACACACACAAACAGAGAGAGATACCCATGATGGAAAAACAGTCCCAAATGTGACGGAGACAACAGCTGGGAGCAGAAGCGCTTGTCGACCGGCATGGAGAAATGCACGTCTGATGTGAACGGGCTTGCGCGAGAATTTCGGTGCGCTGCGCTTCACAGCAGTTCGTTGGCAGTGTGGCCCTGGCGTCAGATGTGCCATAGGAATTAGAAAAAAAAAACAAAAAATGACAGTGTGTATCAATATTTTTACTTTGCATTGATGATATTGAATCGATAAATTGATCCCAAACAATGTGTTCTTACACCTCTAGTTGCAACCAAGTACCACACTGTGGGCAGCACACATCCAAGAGGAAGCTGCAAAAATTGCTGATACAGAGCCAAAAAAACAACAAAAAAAACAAAAACAAAACACAAATATAGCAAATGAGAGTGGATCTGGGGTTAGCTTTCACTTTCGCTGGCAAGGTTGAGGAATACGCAGGGAGGCGTATCCCATAGTGAGACATCTCACTTATGCTACCTTGACAGATGGGGTTATGCAAGTAACCTAAAGTTTTCAAAATGTTGTCTACAATTGCATAGTATACCTTTAAGACAAAAAATAATAATGAAATACCATAAAGACATGTTGTTAACATGAATATTTTGTTTCCTTCAGATTAACAATGCTTTGCCATGAATGACTGCTTTGGTTGGATCAGTACTTCAGTATTTTAGTTAAACTTTGTTGATCTGTCTTTGAAAAACTGGCACCTCTAAATTGTACAGTATTATAACACCTTTTGATTGAAATTCTTAATCGGTGCACAAAGGAACAGTCATACATACAGTATATGTCCATACCATAGAAATGAAATAGAACAGCCATTGTAATTCACAGCCAGGGCTTCAATCATCACAAGAACTGAAGAGGATGTAATGAAACCATGGTAACCTCTGTGACACATTTGATGCACTGCATGCATGACTTTGTAATCCATAACAAGTCACTGAATATACAAAGCCACGTAAGATATTAAATTGGCTGACAACCTAATTAGCAAACATTGCATCAACAAGAGCAAGTTCACACTTTCAACTTTTCACTTTTTTTAAAAAAAATCCACAGAAAAAATATAACCTGCTTTGTAATTATGTATCTCATTAAATGACATTAGATGCATTGGTTTGTAGTACCAGATAGATACCCACAGGAACAAGTGTCATCATAAGCCCCCATATGGAATATGTTATGACCCATATACCATTGTGTAACTATGGTGAATATCTGTAGGTTCATCCACATCCCATATATACTGTGTATTTAATATTGTATAGCCAGTGCAATCACAGCTTTAAAGTCAAAGCCTCAAGATATATAAGTAAGGAATACTTTACAGCCACTCGGAATTTGCTGGTCTGTCTGTAGGGAGACACTTAGTGCTGATCTAGTTTTGAAGAGCTGCTTTGGCCTCCTTTAATTCAAGAGACCCATACACTGTCTCGGTCACAGAAAGAGGAATTCATCATCTGTGGAAAAACGCAAACCTATTTAAACGCCTCGGCCAGGTGCTCAATTATCCAGTCAGACTTTTGGGAGAAAGTAAAGTGAGTCACTGATTTGAAATTGTAATGTAAGCACACCAAGATGGTTTATCTACTGTCTTCTTTTGACACAAGCAAAACAAATGTTGAATGCAAACAGCCAGAGGAAGATAGAAACAAGAGAAACCCTGTCTCCACATTCTGTTCATCTGCTACATACATATAACTATCCTGACCTAAAGGTCTCCGGCATTGAGGGATTCCGCAATGATCCCTGTGTAATTTGTCAGGTAAATAAATCTCTTTCCTTCATCCTCCCACAGGGCTGGCCATTGATTATTTCAACCAGCGATTATACTGGGCAGATCCTGAGCTCTCACAGATAGGGAGCGTGAGATTGGATGGCTCGGACCCTCTGGTGTCAATCAGTGACAGACACGGTAAAGACAACTGGAAAACAAAGCACAACTTCTTCTTTCAAATACATAACATTCATGCTGCACTTTTGCTCTCCTCAACTTTTTATCAAATAATCGTAACAATAGCACTGCTTGTGTGTCTCAGAAGGATAAGCTTCAAAACAATGTTTGTTGAGAACAATCTGCCCACACTGCACGTTCTTGCTTCTTGTATCTGCCACGGGATACAAACTTTCATTATCCCAAGGCTGCGAGTGTTCTGAAAGGGCTAGTTCATGTTCTTTGCTTTGTCTGCTGGATTTGCAGGAATTTCTCAACCATACAGAATTGATATATTTGAAGACTACATCTACGGAACTGGACTAAAACACGAGGTTTTCAAGATTCACAAGTATGGCAAACAGTCGGTGGAATTTCTCAATTTGGGGATGGAGAAGTCCACTAATGTTTTGATCTCCCACCGTTATAAACAGCAAGATGGTAAGTTGTCTTGACAATCAGCCTCTTTTTTATTCTAGCATAGTATTAAATAACAAGTACTCATGCTATATGCATCTTTTTTTTGATGAATTACAGAATAAGGATGTTCTGTATTGGGATGTAGAGTTTTTTAGATTTCTTTGATTGGTTTCACTGTTTATTTTCTTTCAACCACTTATTTGACACATTTATACTTTGATAAGTTCTGTTCTTATTTTCATTTCTTAGGCCTGATTAAATTGAAATTTGAAAATGTGTTTCTCTTTTTAAAGATTATGAAGTGTATTCATACACTGACCTACACACAGTATTCATCGGCGATGACTGAACGGAACAGGCATTCATGTAACATTCAACCTTGAGGCCAACCACATACATTGTACTGAATGCAGCAGTGATACATTAAGTATCACTTTCAAAAGAATAATTAATAATACATTACACCTTTCTGCCAAAGAAAGCCATGGCACGTAATTGCATGTAGACAGTCTTTCACCGAGGTACATATATATATATCACCCTAACAAAAGGTTGTACAAGATTTATGTGGACAGGGTTTGTTGAAGGTCAACATACACAGTTACTGGGACGAATACGAAACGTTTTGTAAAGGATTCACCAACTGAATACCTTGTGGTTCATGTGTCCCTGTGTGGATTATAAAGGGCGATTGTGGATGCTAAGAGTCAAGCTACATATAGAAATGCAGAATGAAAGTATAAGATAAGCTTTACTTGGGTAAAAAAAAGAATGAAAAGGGCTTTTTTCCCCAGTTGAAAAATGTTAAAGGAATACTTAATATCCCCTTAATAACCATTTGCAAAATTATTGACAAATTAAGAGAAGGTCAGTAGTGTTTCTTTCTATGTATGACTTTGCTGAATCTGAACTAACCCTTTGAAACATCAAAGTCACCAATAATGCAATCAAACTACGGATTGAGTCAGTGGTGGACCAGCAGTTCCTGTGTTCAGCGAGTTAAATTACCATTTTTGTCAGTGGGTCTGGCTTTAAGAAGAGCATCGATGAGTTCCACATTCAGTTCAGTTCCCCATCAGAAAGACTATCAGTTTGGTAACACCTGAATATACGAGTGGATAAAAGAAAGATGGATTATACTGCATGAGGTGTGTGAGTAAATACACGTTTTTGTATAGTTTTGCTGTTAACAAACACAAACCCCTTTGACTCCAATCATCAAGAATTTTCTTCATTTCTGGATTCTTCTTCACCAGAGGCACACAGGAAAAATGTTTCCTTCACAAAGTCAATGAAACACAGGAGGATGTTTTTGATAAGTGGTTACCTGAGGGATGAAGTATTCTTTTACCAGTACTTACCATTGGCCTTTAAAGTGTGTTATTGAAGTCTTGGTTTTGTAAATTCAGATATATGTGAGGACATAATAAGCCTGTTTAACCCTGGTATTAACATGCGTCCTGGGTGATCCAATCACAAGTGGACAGCGCTACATTCAAGTGGAGGTAACCTCCAGGATGCATTGTGATGCGTTTACTGAAACCAGCTGCCAAGGTGGGCTCGGACACAGCTGATCTCTTGTAGTGTAAATGTTTGCAATTGTTGTATGAAGTGTTGCGTGACCTTCCATCATTTTGCCCTATGAAAGGAGATGTGTTGACATCTGCTGACAGTGATATCTCCAGCTATCGTGACTAGCGAGCAGCCAGCAAGAGTGCACATAAAAACTGTACAGAGCCCTTTCTCTGCAATCCATTGCAAGTCAGAAGTAATTGTGAGTGGGTATTCCTGACTTCCAATCTAAATACGTCAGTGTACATCTGCTTTGGAAAACATGGACGCCTGCAGCAAACCAGTGTTTGTGTAGGAAGTTATTGAGCATCACAAGCATCTACAGAAGACCTACATCAGTTACCACAGCACTATTATAAATTAACTATAAGTTAACTGGGCTGCTCGTCTTCACTCTTTCTGATAATGCACAACAGCTCAAAATTGTGTTGACTGGTGCTGAGTGTAGTAGTGTGAAGCACCACCGCCAAAAGCATAAAGTTGTAGAACTCGTGTGCATCCATTTTGCACACCACATAAACACTACATTAAGTAAAAATTGATGGAAAGGTAATTCTGCTTGGTTCACTGTGTGCACCACCATGTTGCTGTGATGTCATATGTGTTTATGTTGGCAAAATTGGGCTAGATTTATTCTGCTTGTTTCAGATTTGGCATTCCAACTTGAATGACTGTACAAGTCATGACTGTACAATGGATTGCATCATCTGACTTTATACTGTAAGTGACACAGGCAGTGACAAAGTCTGAACACACATGGTCAGCTGGAGATGCATGATAGACACAGGTGTGAACGGTGATGTGTCTCAGCTGTCCGCATCAGATCACTGACACACATGTTAATACCAGGCATAAACAGGCTTCAGTGTGAGGAGGGACAAGCTGGGCCAGAATAAACACTGACAGAGGACTGCCCACACTGAGTATAGCTCACAAGGCAATCCACTATATAAAGTTGTTCACATACAGTGTATTTAATTAATGGTGTTAAATGAATTAAATTGCATTATATCTAATTAAACTATACCTATTGGTAAAACAATACATTAAGAAACAGCACGCACTCTGTCAGATTAAGACTGATTGAAGTTCTCTTCGAGACATGTTACTGTTTCAGGTGTGCGACATGAAAACCACCCATCTGTCTCCTGGGACACAGTCAATCAATACAACCATGTCCTCTCACTTCCTTCATGTAGTAGACCAGCTTCAGTTATTTGTTACATCTCTGGTGTTAATGGTTATAGAACATCAGACAGCTCAGTCTTGGTCAGTTTTTCACTTAAAGGGCAGCTGTTCCATTCCCCAGAGACTCATTAGGCCAGCCGTGTAGTGTGTGGTGTGAAGTCTGTGGGCAGAAGATGTGCACAGCCTGCAGAAAGCTATGACATGACTGCCTGATATCTTCAGCAAAACCCTAACAACCATTTAGATTTGTTCTGCGCTTTCATCCCTTTCATGCTTGTGTAAGAAATGTGAGCACTGATTATCTTTAGTATTTACTGTATACTGTGTAAGCATTAATGACCTGTCAGAAACATCAAGTGGGTTGACATAATTATATCATTTAATCACAAAATAACTTCCTGTAAATATATATAATATATAAATCACAATTGAAAATCTATTTTATTAATGTGGTTTTAAAACAATTTCCTTTTTTTTTTTTTTTTGACATGTAATGCACCGGTGTTTTGGACACAGTTGGCCTCTTGAGCACTCTATTAGATGTCTTTTTTTGCTTTAATTTCAAACACTGATTTTCCGAGTTTATACAGGCTGATTATCAGTATTGAACCTAAAGAAAACACCTTTGTAGAAGTGTTTGTACTTTTGATTAATTCAAAGCACTATTTCATGAGATGTTTACATGAATTAGACTACCAACTGTAGGCGGCAGCAGGAAGAGCACTTCAAAGTGCCGCTAATCAATTAGACAACGGGAAATTCTTGACACGTTCCACAATCCTTGATTATTCAATCTGGAGATGAGGCCTGTGTGAAGTTATTCATACACTTTAGCCTTGTGCTTCCCTGGGTTTCAAGAAAATAACACTCTTCAAAACAGAAATTAAAACACTTGAAATAAATAGTGTTACTCTGAGAAAAAACACACACACACTTTTCACAAGCAAACAGGTCTTTCTCATCTTTTTTTTTTTTTTTACTTTCTTCACAGCATCAAATCCATGCCTGAGAATGTCTTGTGATTTCATGTGTCTCCTCAACCCAACCGGTGCCAGATGTACCTGTCCAGAGGGGAAGGTACTGGTCAATGGCACCTGTAGTGATGCGATCATCTCAGGTAGGCGGACTCTCACATCTGCATGCCATATAGTTTAGATGACCTGTTGATGTATTATTTAGCAGCAGCTATAATGGTGGGTGCAGTGTGGCTTATACATAGAAACTAGGGCTACATGATATGAGCAAAATATGCAATTTGCGCTGATGTTGTTGAATATTACAGTAATATTACTTGCAATAAATAAGCAAATATCAAAGTATACTCAGTAATTGACTCAGACCTGCAGAGTACCTTTATGATGATGATAAAAAGAAGATACATGGTACAGCCCCAGTGGGTTGCGGTGTGATAGTAGAAACGATTTTTACTTTTAAAGAGATTTCAATATATATTTAACAGGTCTAGTCCACACCTACACAGGTATATTTGAAACCATACCTTTTACTTTGGGTTTTGGCCTTTCATCCACACACAAATTGCCTTTTAGGTCACTTAAAATGGACCTAATGCAAAACTGGTTTTGACGTTGTCAGTTTTGACATGTAGACAGAGAAAAGGGAATTTTAGGATGTGTGAAGTTATCTCCTTTGTGAGGCATCACAAATATGACATGGTTTTGTGTTATGGCAGACATGACCAAATTGGTCCTGCTCTCACCTTGCCAGCAGGACTTTTTAAATGTTTACGCATAAATGTACACTTAGTCTTCGACTATACTGAGGAACAAAGGTGTCAGAATGCACTATGGAGGTCACTGCTCCAGAATAAGAAAATAAAACTGGAGCAGACATCCATAGCTGAACAAAGCCACCTCCTACATGCAGTTTTTGTTGATGCTCATCTACTCAAAAATTCAGGTTCACACCTCTACAGTTGTTCCTGTCTGACTTTAGCAGCATAGCACTGTTTGATGTGATTGACTGCTACACACTAAAGCACAGTAAGCAATATGGGTTTTGCTGTTGTGAAGGTGAACTGTGCCGTCCCCCCTGTGAGAATGGAGGCCGCTGCTTAGCCAATGAGAAAGGAGACTGGAGGTGCTACTGCTGGCCTGACTTTTCAGGGGAGCGCTGTGAGGTCAACCACTGTACAGACTACTGCCTAAATGGAGGCACCTGCATGGGCTCACCCCTGGGTAAGTCTACTTCAGAAATGTCAAACACTGTCAAACAACATCTGCAGTCTGATTTCTCGTTGCAATTGCATATTTCACTGGTGTTACAGTCTTCGTGTCCACCCTGTGTTGATTTATCTGTATATTGACAGATATGCATCAACAGGTTGTGATATTATCCACACTAAAATATAAGAACCTAGTCTGTTGGTATAGATGGTTCATGTGTTGTAATCCTTAATATTCAGCTCCTGGCAGACCAGATTTGCTGTGAAAACCTGTCGCTGCCACAGACAGACATTTTCAATTCAGAGTCGCCCGCCCATTTCCTCCTGCACACTGACCCAGCGCTTGATGGCATTCAACCACATTTGTCTTCCTCTAAACTTCCATGCCTTTCTCACTTCAGCTCACATTTGCCACATTACGTCTGCCAGTTGAGCAGTTTTTGTCATTGACGCTCCTGTCGGACAAGCCTCAAATATCAACCTTCTTCTAATTCAAGGTCTTCTTTCATGCTTTCATGGTTTTTGGAACAACCGGTTCTACCCCACAATTTAGGCAATGTTTATGAGTATGCTGCTGAGATGTCGGCGGCAGGATTGAATCAGGATGTACAGCCCCATTAAAAATGCTATCATTGATTTACAAGCCTGTGCATCATCTTCCCATCACAGCAATTACCCACAACATTTTCATTTCCATTTGTCATGAAAAGAAAAAGATTTACCAGAGCGATAGCCCTGATGCAAAAAGTGTGGTTTGTGTTCCCCTATGAATGTTCTATAATGGCAGAGCCTAATTCAAGTGGTGGTTTGAATTTATTAAAGATGTATTCATAGAATGACATTCAGTAAATAAAATTAGAAACCAAGCTGTATGTTTATGTGAGTCACAGCAAACCAAAGTTGACGAGATCAAAATGTGGGCTTTTGATTTTTTGATACAAAAAGTTTTGATTAAATGTTTATTCCTTCAAATAGGCCAGTTTTCACTCTCTGCTGATCTTTGTAAAGTGTAGCATAAACTTATTTATGTTCCCTTTGGCCTTTGGATAACACGTCCACCCAACATGAAGTAAACTGTTATTTTTGAAAAGAGAAAAAAAAAGTGTTTTCATCTTGTTTCCAAATTCTGTCGAGATTCTTTAAACAGATGTACGTGACATACAAAGACGATGGTCAGTGCTCCTCATTAAACAAAATGAAGTCTGTCTGTCAAGGCAGCCTAAGAGTCATTTAACTTGCTGTAGGATCACTGCAGGAGAGCTTCATGACTGAATAAGAGAAGACAGGACTACTATTCCTGACAATCAGTCTTATTTTGTTCTTCATTCACCAGCTCAGTAGATGTAGCCCAATGCTACGCAAGATGATGAATTGTATTCTTGTTAATGGTGGACAGCTGAGAGGGAAATGAGTGTGTCGTGATATGTGTTGTGCTGCTGGGAACACAGTGCCTTTTGTTTCATTCGTGCTTGGTAATTTGTTTTTTTCTTATAGGTCTTGCTGCACTGACCTCATGTCCTTGAGGCAAAAGAATATTGGTCTAAATGAGTGGCCAAATATGAGCGAGGAAGCGAATATAGTCAAATGGGCTTCCTAAAGTCCCAGCTTTGGTGATAAAAAAGGGACTGAAGGCAACTTCACAATCAATTAGAGGCTGGAAATTGTCCAGTTTTATCTATAAAAACACAAGGTGTCTGTCCCTTTAACTGGTTTACCTACATCCTAATGGAACTTTTGGCAACAAAAGACATACTTAAACCATAGACACACAGTTTCTGTTTTGCAATTCTTTTATGACAATAAAGGGGGAACAAAAATGTCTTTATACTACTATGTGTTTAGATGATGATGTGAATCATAGAAAAAGCTAGGCATAAAAGTAAATAAACCGGTTCACAAGAGCAAAAGTCCTTAATAATCATGATTTACCACTTTGCATTTTATTGTTTCTGACAGTAGGGGCTATAAAAACATGCTCAAACCACCTCCTCAAAGTATATTTCAAAGTAAGTCACTTGCGTTTGATTTCAGCCCTGCTGTTTATAACAGTAATTAATATACCTGAGACCTTGGAAGATGATGCAATGTGAAAACAGATGTTCTTGCTACATTCTGGTTCATCCCATTATTTCTGGGGTAATGTAAAATACGAATGAATGAGGTTAAAAAACCTGTTAAGGTAACCAGATGTGAGATGAAGCCAATTAGGATCTACTGCATCTGATGGTAGCTAGTTCCTTTGATTTAAAAAAGTATACTTATACTTTAACATTCCACATATAGTGTGCATTTGTGAAGTAATGTAAAATAGTACTTGTCACCCCCAGTGTTTGCAGAAGAAGATGGCACTGATCAAATATTATCTGAACCAGGAAAGGCCTCCATTAAGCATCTGTCAACTTGTCTGCCTTGTTTCTCTGGCTTAATTTCTGGCTTTTTTAGGTTAAAGAAGATCTGTCATGCTCATTTGCAGGTTCATACCCTCTATTAGAAATCCTAAATACATGTCATATGCTTCAGTGGTCAAAAACATCTTAATTTCCTCATACTGTCTGTATTCATCCTCTCAGTGCCTGTCTAAGTCTCCTGATAAAGCCCAGTCTGCTCTAATTGGTCAGCGTCTCTAGGTCTCTTGCATCTTGGCATCTCTGCACTGTTATTGCAGCTGAGGAATGAATTGTAGTGAAGAAAAGTGACACTTTCTACAACAAAAAAAAAATACAACTAAAATTTTTAAAACACAAGCAGACATGTTCCAGTAAATCCGAAGTCGGGGAAAAATTAACAACATCAGCAACAAAGATTACATTTTCCCTGACACTAGCATGCTACATGTAGCAGTGTAGGCTATGTAATGTAAACATCATAGACTGTGTAAAATAATGGACAAAGCCATTGTGATGTCAGTCACTGGTTTGTAGATTCCTGTTATGAAGCACAGAGTTTGCAATTTTGGCCATCGCCATCTTGAAATTTTGGAGCCAGAAGTGCCCATATTTGGATGAGAGGGTCAGGATTACTCTAACTCTAGCTGCAAGTGTGGTTAGCATGGTGCATTTACACTACAGTTAACTTTGATAATATAAATGCTAATGATAATTCTCACTAGCAAAAAAAACAGGTTTAAAATAATTAAAACAAAATGTACTTCCCAGGAAAACTGAAAATCTGACTGGATCTCTTAGTACAATTGAATGCTGAACAAGACTTTTTACGCCATCAAAACATTACAGTTAACTTTCATGAACTGAAAATACACTAAAATAGTGTCAGCTGCAGCTCCACCGACATCTGTACTCTGTAAATCTGTTACGCCATGTTGCCTAACTAACACCACAACACCATGGTAGCATCTTATCAGCTGATGGCACCAACCAGTCACTACAACCGGCTACACCCTTAAGTTTGCATAATATAAGGCCTTAATAACATTTAAACGGGTGAGATATAAAAAAAAAATCACCTCCTGTACAGTTGCCATGAACAGGGAAATTAGCTATAGAGATCAAAATATTTTTTGTACCAGGCTGTAAACATGTTTATTTCTGCTATTAAGTTGAGCATTTTAACATGGGGGTCTATGGAGATTGACTCGCTCTATAAACCAGCCAACTGCAGTTTTATGCCACTCCTGCATTGGCTTCATTTTTCATACCCTGAGGTTGCATTCAGGTTGTATTCAGAACGATCAGAAGCTTGAGGTTTTTGCTCACAGAAATAACTTTCACAGTACATAAGTTCACCTCATTATTTAAACTTTGGCTTTAATATGAAAATCTCAAATTGTAACAATACATATATATATGTGACAGAAAACAAGGAAAACCATAATAGGTTCTTATAAAAAATAGTGCGTGTTTAGAAAGCTTAAAACCCCAGCAGCTGTTGAGTTAACAGAGGAGTAACTGGAGGCAGAATGATTGTCTTTTGGACATTTCAAACCCAGATTATCCCAGCCACAGAGTTGTGGGGTGTGAAATTACCAAGTAGTGTTGTGTGACCTACATGGCAAGACCTGTATCCATGGCAACATGGTTGTATACTAAGCAAGCAGTCGCGCCTGGGCAGTGACAATTGTTGTTTTTTCTGAACATGACTCAAACTAGCCTTGATACTCCTGCCTTTCCATTATGAAAGTGTGAGGTTATGATGGTGTGGAATGCACTGGTTTTGGAGGGAATGTATACACCTGATTGGATTGAAAAAATATCCACCCCCTGATAATAGGCTACTACTACTAACAATGAATCATACCCATTCAACATCAACAGTGCAGTGAGGCACAGCAGGAAGCTTATATAAAAGTAGAATTTCTATAGTGCTCAATACTGTGGTCACAAAAACTGCAGAAATAAGTGGGACATACTTAAATGAGCCTGTGGCACAAGCGTATGATTTGCATTTCTACTTCTTTCTCAGTCATGTTCTGTTCATGTCTGTCATGTTCACAACCAAGGCTCAAATTAGGCATGAGATGGAGAGAAAGATTTCGGCAGCAGCAAGATTTTCCCTCTGACCTTTATGGTGAATATGGAGCTGAACCTGAAGCTAAAGCTCAATACTATACAATATAAATCAGTCTATTTTCAGACCCTCACCAACAGTAGAGGCATGAGCTTAGTGACATTAAAGCTAATAATCAGTGCTTTTATATCAACAGTGGATCAAATCGCTATGTGTATGTAAAAAGTGTCATTCACAGTGATAGACAGAAAACGATCATCCGACTCCAAACTTCCAACTGAAGTTTCCCTCATTTCAGCACCTTTCAGCTCATTGTTTCGTTTTTATGTTTACTGATTTGGTTCATTTTTATCACTCTAATCAGCCTTATTTTCAGCCACAGCACACATCTGTTTATAGCAAAAAAGCTCCCATACATTCCCTGTACACTATCAGCCCAGTGACCGAATGATCTTAGTCACCTTCCCACAGGAGTTGGTTGTGACCAAAACAGAGTTATAGAAAGAGTCAACACGCACGAAAGGTCACAGACACAAACCTTGGGTGTTGCATACCAGAGCAAGTCTCTTTTGCATGGTGTCGGAGTTCACTGCTTGTGGGTGCAAATTTAAAAAGCAGGGGAAGAGTTATCACACATAAATCCTATGTGACTATAAATTAATTTATGAAATTTTCATGTGATTTTAGACTAGCCGAATTTGGCAAACACTGAGGGAGTGTTACTGGTTTGTATCTGATCCACAATCACGAGAGCTCTATTTATGTGAAGGTACCCTAGCTGGTAAAGGGTTGGCTTTCCTTCTCAAGTGTGCATTATAGAATAAGTAAAATAGAAGAGTATAAGTATACTTGTTAGAAAATTAAAAATATATTTAAAAAAGAACACCAAGTAGAACCACTGATTCCTCATGCTGAAGCCACTCGAGGTCCCTCAGACATCTGATTTGGATGCTTCATGAGCGCCTTCCTGTTAGAGATATTCCAGACATGTCTGACAAGGAAGAAAAGTGTGGGCAGACCGCGCTGAAGGAATTATATGCATATTATGTCTGGCCTGTGAAGGATTTGAGATCCCCTAGATGGACTTGGAGGACATAACTGATACGAAGGGCACCTTAGCTTCTCTCCATAGGTGCCAATCTGCTGTACCCTTGACCCATACATGAATATGTGTGTAGAAATGATGGCTGGAAGGACAGATCTTTGCCTTTACTCTATTTGCACCTGTCTCGCCGACCATGGGAGTATCATTTCCATGCAACTTATGATTGACAGATTGACGGCCAGTTGAGCACTGGAGCTGAAATAAACTGTCAAGTGTTGGGTAATTTAAACCAACACGAGCATAAGCATGTAAGCAAAGGGATATAAGTATATAAGGGATGTAAGTTAGGGATTTTTTTTCCTTTTTTTTTTAAACAAGTCACGAGAATGCAACCCAGACTCACTCCCAGCTCATCAAATACTGACATTTAGTCAGTGGCCCTTAATGTCAGATACCAATGCACAGAGGCACCCTTTAGTGGCAGGATGAGTTGCACCAGTCAGTGACTTTTTGTGATGCTTCAACCAACTGCCTTAGTATAAAGAGCAAGAGAGTCCATATAGGGCAAGTGTGAGGGGAGGTGCATGGACTCTCTTGCTCTTTATACTAAGGCAGTTGGTATAAAGAGCAAGAGAGTCCATGCACCTCCCCTCACACTTGCCCTATATGGACTCTCTTGCTCTTTATACTAAGGCAGTTGGTTGAAGAGCAAGAGAGTCCATATAGGGCAAGTGTGAGGGGAGGTGCATGGGTCAAACAGACCCTGGACTTTCACCCAGGACTCTGCTGTACATTTCTAATGTGAAAGCAAAAGTCTTTTGAGTTATTTTGATAACCACATAGTGTGCTAGTATGTGACAGTGACATGACGAAACATTACAACAGCAACAAATGTACCTATTTTAAGTTAAACCATGGTATTTTTTCCTAAACCTAACCACGTACTTTTGTTGTTTAATCCTAAAACAGTATACCTAAAAACATTTTCCTTTTTTTTTTACCTATGTTCTGAGTTTATTTTGAAAAGTGACATTTAACATGCATTTAACAAGCAGAAATTACATTTCCTGTAAAAATTGAAGTTTTATTTTGAAAAGTCACAATGCATGTAACAAGACATACAGTCCAAAACTGATGCTGGAGGTAAACCCAGAGCGTCATAGTTTGATGTTTTTTTGATTGATTTTTTTTTGTTTTTTTTTTTTTTAGAAGTTAGTAATTTTCCAAAGCAGCTGGGCCATGTAGATTTACTTAAACAGGAAGTGCATTTGCTGGGGACTATTTTCACCTTAAGTGTTAGAGAGTACTTACAGCAGCAGGATAGTGCGTTTGAGATAGACACAAAGTATTACATGACATTCAATGCAAAGGTGTGTCTACAGTATAGATGTGTTGCATTGATGCTACACATACAAAACTTGAGACTCTGATCAATTCATTGTTGGTTTTGGTCTCTTCGTGTTCTGTAATTGTTCCTTTCTTGTTTTGTCCAGGTAAGCCTACCTGCCGCTGTCCTGTGGGTTTCTCAGGGCCTTTCTGTGAGAGGAGGATTTGTGACAACTACTGTTTAAACGGAGGAACATGCGACGTCACTCAGGGGAACCAGCCAGTATGCCGCTGTATGGCAGAATATACTGGGGACCGCTGTCTTTACCGTGAGTCCTGCACACATTGTTTGGTGGTGGCAAACACAGCAAATGATTACCGTCAAGCAGTTGGCCTCCATGTGATTGACATTAGCCTTTCAAGTCTAGCCGTGAGAACAGTCACAACAAAGCATTGATTTGAATTCAGTTATGCTGCATAAAATCTATAGAAGCGAGCATTTCAAAGTTCACACGCAGAGTGCGGAACAAAAACAATCCCCTGAAGTATTTTCTTTCCACAAACACCGCATTTGCCTCTATTTGCAGATAAACAAAATCAAAATACTGCCATCAAACAACCTTTGGGTGTTTCTGCGCTGAAGTGATAATGTATTTCCTTTTGCATTGCTTTGTCATAACAGGTTGTGGGAAAACAATCTCAACTGCACATCATTAGTATTTTCCTACCGTTGCTTGCCCAAGGGGTGATGTGTTTTCATCTGTGGCTAAGATGTCATTTGATGTGGATAATTAAGTCCCATTAAAGCCCTGTACAATTCCAATCAAACCAGCTTAAACTATGTTCCCAGTTGCTCATTACACACTACCCCTCTCTCTCTCTCTTTATCTCTCTGTGTCTGTGGAACAGACATCTGTCATCACTACTGTGTGAACTCCAAGGCCTGCACGCTATCCAGTAGCGGCTACGTGGAATGTGTGTGTCCTGCCAGGTTTGAAGGGAACAAGTGTGAGGTGGACAAGTGTCTTCGATGCCACGGTGCTCCATGCCTCATTAACGAGGACACAGGAGATGTGGTTTGCAAGTGAGTGCTTGGTATCTGCTCACTTCTTTTGTCCCTCGTGCTTTTTGTTATAATGCTAGGACTTTATGTAGTTCTCTGCATTTATGGAAGAGAATTAGTTCTACAGTGTGTCCTCAGGTCTCAGTTGGTGTATCCGCAGGCTGCACACTGAATGAATTGATTTGATTAAATCTGAAAAATGTATTGGGCCACACACCCTTCAGCAATTTAGGTTCTGGTAATGTCAGTGAATTAGAAGCCAGGTGAACTCTCTTGCTTTATATGAATTATGCATGTGTTTGACAGATCCACCACGGACTCATTTTTGCTTCTTGTAAAAGTGTAGTTTTCTGCTTGTCGCTAGTATCCATTATTTCTTCACCCTCCAGTTGCACAAATGGCAGAATAGCGCCAAGCTGTCAGCTGTGTGACGGATATTGCTACAATGGAGGCACCTGTCACCTGGACCCCGACACCAACCTGCCTTTCTGTCAGTAAGTCACTGCTTAATGGGTGAAGGAAGTGGGGGAAAAAATTTTAAATGTTCTCCACTATTATTCACACTCTTACTGTTTCCATTCAAATGCTGGCTCTGTGCCCCAGAAAACCTGGCCTTAGAGGCAACACTGAAATTCACCAAGGGGTACCATTTCTCTGCTTGAGAACAAGATAGATGTCTTCCTCTGGAAAAAGAAATCCTTAAGTTGAGGGAAGGTTTGATGTCACTATGTGGAGGCCATAGCACAGCAGGGGGCTGAGTGCCAGTACACCATCTTATGCTGTGTGACACCTCACTGTGGCTTAAGGTTTTTAGGCAGATAAAAAATGGTTTCAAAGCCCCTTCAAAGCTTGCTATTCTGAACATATCACACTGTTCCTCCTTGCAGTTAAGAGCTGATGTCAGGCCTCTCTGACTCTCTTCAGTAGTAGGTTTTAGAAGTTCTAAAAAAGGAAGCTGAGGTATGTGTCAGCGGTAGAACATGCCATGAAATCCAACGACACAAACTTGTAACAGACAAAAGCTTGACTGGCAGACACGAGGGACTTATTGTTAAAGACTACTCAAAGCGCTGCCCATAGATTAATACCACCTCAACTATAATCACATGCAGTGCTATTTTAAAAATCTCTCCAAGGAGGAAATTGGAAATCCATTTCAAAAGCCAAACTCAGTTTTTTTTTACTGCCCATTGTCCACTGTAGTTAAATTGAAATTCGCGGTCATCACTCACAAATTCCAGGGGATAGAATCAATTTCTATGCAAATGATCCCATCTTATTCGATGAGGTTAACAGATCTTGATAATGTGGTTTATTATTTGCTGCAAAGAACAGAGATTATGTGAGATGATGGATATGTCTGTGTCAAGAAATCATAATGTTTGCCCTTAATACTCTGAGTAAATGCATATTTCATCAGGCCTTTCCAAAGCGAAAACCTTGTGGGGCAGAACTGCTTCAATTGCAAAGATAATTCTTGCATTAAACACTAAAAAAGAGGTTAAAGAGATTTTCAAAATGCATGAGTCAAGACAGCCATGGTAAACATCCAAGCCCTCCACGTTATTCACTGAGAGATATTTAAATATTCTTCTTGAAAAGCATTTCAGCTATACAACAGCACTCTTTCCCACAGTGCAGAAAATCTCACTTACTTCAACAATTATGTTGGCCAGTCAGATCAATAAACTTGCATTAGTCAATAGTAAACCACATCAGTAGTTAGATTCATCTGAAGTACAACTTATCTCTGATGTGAGGCTGGTTTAAGATTTTTTGTGCACAACAGCAGGACTCTTTTTTTTTTTTCGCCCAGATGAAATTATTTTCTTGACGTGGCACAGTGTTTATGTGTCATTTTGATTTTCTGTCTCATTCTGTTCCTAAATAACATTCTTTCCAGATGAGCTATGACAGTACTTTTTAAGATTGTCTTTGCAGGTTTGGCAAAACAGGATCCAATATATGGATGTCAGTTTGAACAGGTCAAATTAAATGACATTATATTTGATTACTAATGCTTCATTATCAGAGTTGGATTAGAGTTATCCCGATAATAAGGATTTTGCTCATTCTTTCCTGATATAGATTATATTTTATTGTTACGATCCTCCCCTTGAAATTCTGCAAATCTTTCTACACTGATAAGTTTCCAAAGGGTCAGGTCGCAGCATTTTCAATAACAGTTGTCATACTGCAAAGCAATTATAGAGAGCCAAAGTCATGCCATCAGGCCTCCTAACCTCCACAAGCTTGTCTTACACAGTGAGGCAATTTCTCATTCTCATTTGTCTTTCTGGAAAAAAGTGAAGCATGTTCTGGGGGTTGCTTTTTTTATTCCAAGAAAAACAGAAATAATGAACAATGATTTTCAAAAAAGATACGGTCTTTATTTGAATATGATTTTTTTCATCTTTATTTGAATATATGAAGCAAGCTAGAGAACATACTGTCGGGGCTCTGTTCCCAAGATGGCATGTTTTTTGTTATTAGCATTGTTACTAATGCCAGTTGTTTTTTGAATAAGCTTTTCTTACCCCTGGAACGGGACCCGGAAGTTCCTGTTTCATTTCGGCTCTCTATATAAACACATATTTTATTTAATACAGAGGCATGTAATTAAATATTGGAAATACAAAGAAGTATGAAAATGTTGACTGACTGTCAACATTACAGCATGATTGTGTTTGTTTTCTGTGTTTATGGAAGGATGTTATATTGAAAGTATTGTAGCTTCTACAATGTACATGTATGACTGTATTTTTGAAAAATCGCAGCCATTATCTGCTGGAATTAAGTGAAATAATTTTTGCATTGTTTTATCTTGTTTGTTTTTTTAGTAATCAGTTGACCAAAGATCTTTGTTATTAGTCTTCTTATTACAATCACTTATTGCTCAAAAAATGCACATCTCAGCGGTGTGACCACTGTAACAGACTCTTCTCTTGCAGATGCCCCACCTCACTTGGTGAGCAGTGAAATTGATTTGTGTTCATATTATTTATTTTGCTGATTTGCTTGATGCAGACACAACATTGACTTACTCCATTTTATGACTGAAGCTGCTGAAAGGGATTAGACTGTCAGTCTCCATTCATCGAGCAGCAAACAGTTCAACAATATACATTCTCTGGGCCCTTTTATCACTCCCAACACAATGTTTTGCAGCTGCACGTCAGGGTTCAAGAACCAACGTTGTGATGAGCTGGCCAACCCCTGCGATTACTTCTGTCAGAATGAGGGGATGTGCACATTAACAGCTCTTAACAAACCACGCTGCAAGTAGGTCCTTCTCACCTCTCCAGCTGTATTCAGAGCCCACTCACCCCCCTTTTGTCCACACTCCCCACCCCAACTCCATCCGGCTCCATTTCAGCCTCAGTCCAGTATATGGGCTCTTTGTCACAGTGCTGCCTTGTAGCAACTTATCATGTAATAAGTGTGATAAAGTAAAGACTTGTCAAAAAGTAGGTTGAAAATAATGTGGTGAACTGAAAGACATAATGACGACATTATTATTTCCACAGCCTTATGATCACATTTAATGCTTTTTGCACAGCTTATTTAAATCATTTATAGCTACGTGAATGTGACTGAAGTGTGTCCTTAGTAACTTCCTATTTTGATTGAAATGTGTTTTGTCACACTGGCCTGGTTCCAAGGATGACAGGTTAGCTGACAAACTAATTAGCAAGCTTGTAAAGTTGTTGTCAAACAGTGTTGTCCTTTGAGCTTTTGCTCACAGCTTTCCATGTAAACAGGAGAGAAAATGATTTCTCACTCCCTTATTGTATCTGCTGTAATACTATTATATTGATTTCAGGCAAAATTACATATTACCTCAAGACTGATGTTTTGTAACTGAATTTTATTATCAAATTATGTCTGTGTTATTATTTTTTTTAGGAAACCTTATTGAACCAGGATTTTCTGAGATATGTTAGCGAGTATTGAAGGTGCTGGTGGACAGAATTTATCACCTTTAGGCAGAGCCAGGCTAGCTGTGTTCCCCCATTTCCAATCTGCCAACTGTAGCTTCATATTTACCGCACAGACATGCATGAGAGTGGTATTGATCTTCTTATCTACCTATTGGCGAGAAAGTAAATAAGCCTATTCCCCAAAATGTCAAGCTGTTATTTTATATCAATTTAATCAGTATTAGTGGAGGTAGTAGTTGCAGCAAATAGGCACTGTTAAGACATTTCAGTTATATTAAAGCAACATACTTCATTTAGAGTTCTGTTTTTACAAGTTTTATCACATTTTGTCCAGGTATTAGCTGATGTGGCACTTACTACATTATCAGTTGCTGCATGACTCTGTACCTTTGCTGACCCTCACTGCCACCCATCCACCCATCTCATGCAGTCGTCACCCAGCACACAGGAATCGGTAAAGGGGGGGATTAAAACATGACACTGTCTGTGTGATGTGGGCATCAGTCTGTGCATTTGCAACCTTTGCATGATGGCAAGTTGAATATGTTTGTTACTGACCAATCATTATGTATAAGCATATAACTTACTAGGCTGAACCTCTCATCAGTGTTTATCTTTAGTGCCTTCAACAGAGGTTAAGAGAGTTTCCTCGTTTCTTAAGGAATTAGTCTTTTCATGGTTTACGCCTCCCAAAGGAGATCAAAGTCCCTGTTGCTTCCAATTTTCCCATTAAAATTCTTGTTGCTGTGACATTTCGTTCAACGAGGGCGTGATTCATTTCCCGTATGTATGGGGCTGCATTCTTATTTTTGATAGCCTGATGTTCTGATTCTTAGAGTGCATGTAATTTGGAGTAATTTCATTCTGTCATCATGCAGTCGCACCCACCAGATCACTCATGCTTTACAGACCCATCTGCGTCAGTCGTGTGAAATTAGATATCACCTCCTCTAACAAGGGTCATACATCACACCCATCGGATCCCATTGGAACACAAATGAGATGACGACTTGTTGTCCCGCTGTCATCCTTTTGATATTTTTCTACACTGAATATTCAACATGTAAATTCACACTGTTTATGGACACAACATGTATATACGTAGTGCTCTCTCTCCAGGTGGTGTTTTGTTTGTGTTGGATCAAAGCACTCCATAGCAAGACTGAATCATAATGTGTTGTTTATGTAAGCCACGGTCACATCATAATGTAGTTCATTTTTGTAAAGGTGTTTTCTCAGCGGTTTTTATTTCTGCAAAGAAACATATTCTAATGACAGTTTATTTTTACTCTCTTTTGACCTTCTTCAGATGTTCAGCCAATTGGGCAGGAACACAGTGTGAGAGACCCGCCCCTAAAAGCAGCAGATCAGACAACACCAGTGGAGGTGAGCTCTGGGAAATTCAAGTCTTATTATAAAACCTTGAAATCTCCTGCGTGAACACTCAGCATGTTCTCACTCCCACCTGGTCAAGTATGGCAGCTTGGTCAGTGGTCCTTCGCCAGCTGGTCACCAACATTGTTAGACATTAATAGTCGGTTGAATTTAGGTCGTGACATCGAGTGACCAAAATTCATTGTCAGGGCAATGTCTAACGCCAAGGTCAGCTTGACATAGAATACTAAGGATAGATGATGTAGATATTTTGTTGGTAACCATTGAACAACATCCAGTGTCTTCCAAACGTCTCATGCCAACATCATTTTGATGTAGCATAATGACTTTTAGTTGTGAGGTATGGAAACCAAAACCCAATGTTTGCAAAACGTCATAATGTTATCATCCACACAATGTGAAATTCTAACACCGTAAGACATTTAAAATATCATCAACTCCATTTTCATTCCACCAAAAATTTAATGTCTGTCCAACTTAAGAGTCCAACATCTCTGATGTCAAATTGTCATCTGGTGCCAGCTTGGTACACTGTGACGTTCTAAATACCGCTCTAGCAACAGTTTTAGACGCTCAGGAACAGTGTGTCTATTACCACTAATACAAGCATATTCTCTCTTTTAAAAACAAACTTCCATGTTCACAGGAAACATAATTTTTCACCAAAACTACTTAAGGTTAAAGCCTCAAAACTACATGGTAAGGTTTAGAAAAAAGATTGTGGTTTAGGTTAAGTAAGCACTGATGTTGCATAACTCAAGTAACTTAACGTACATGTCACATGATGTATTTGATGTATGTCTCATGACATGTATGTCATGTGATATTAACTATGTAAGGTAGTTAAAAAAAAACTCAACGTTTCACAGAGGACAGGAGCAGCTGTCTCCTGGGTGACAGTCCTGTGTTTGTTTGACCCATCCACCACCCTGACCTCCCCCTCTACTCAGACTCTCTTGCTCTTTATGCTACGTCATTACCACAGATGGATTTACATTGGAGTTAGTTTAAAGCCTGTTAAGTCTCGTGCAGACGCCGAGGGGTGCCTGTTGTTTTGGAATTAGACCTGATGACCAAGCTGCCGTATTTGACGCCCTGGGAATAAGAATTGGCTGGAATAATAGCATATATTGAATTCCTACAGTGTCCCTATTCCTTTTCAGTGAAATTTATCGAAATGATCACACTTTTAAACATCCACACATTTTTACAGACAGGTTTATTCTTAATCCAACCCGTGCCGCACAATTGGACTGTGTCCTGATTGGCACCCTAACGAAACAATTACTGAACACCATCCAACCCAGCCAGTTTGCAGTGTTTGAACAGAAAAGCCTTCCCTTAGCAGGTTTACCTCTTTTGAATTAGAGGAGCTGCTGTTGTCAGCCCATCGCAGTTTGGTTATGTCACTGTTCTGTCTTCAAATTCATTTTAAGTAATACAGTCAAATCTCTTAAGTAAAAGAAAAAGAATTAATTAATTCTGATTCTGAGCTCTGTTACCTGTGGGACTTCTTCTAGTCTTCATTTGTAACTAAAATCTTTGCAGGTGTTTAAAATTAATTATTATTATTATTTATAGAATATGCGAATTTATATAAATATGACTGTCCAAATGTAACAGACAACTATTCTGTAAATAGAATAAAGTGTGCAGTCAGTCAAGCCCAAGGGGAAAAAAACATGGCCTTTTTTGAGGTGACAGTCAGGCATGGTGACACACAATGTGTCGCTATCTGAGTCCATCTCAGGGCCTTTAAATCGTTACTCATCTCTCCACACCATCTCTCCTCTGTCTGTCTCTCAGGGAGCATAGCTATCATTGTGCCTCTGGTCCTGCTGGTAATCTTGATTGTGATGGTGGTAGCAGGTGTTTACATCTGCAGACGGAGGCAAAGGTAAGTCAATAAATAAAGAAATAAAAAATATAAATAACAAAGAGGCTTATAAGCAGCAACAGATGATGAGAGATCCATCACTACCCAGCTTTGAAGATGAATGAATATCTTTGCTTTATAAATGAAAAAAAGTTTGTTTGTTCCAACGTGTTCAGCAGGACACCTGATCTCTGCACTGAGCCTCTGATTATAATTCAGCTTTTAGCTTCGCCCAGCAAAGCTATATACTCCAAGTGTGCCAAGTAGTTTGATGTGATTTGTTGTGTGGAGTCGTGCGAAGCTGTACAGCATGTTGACCTGCATGTTGTGTATCATGTTAATGACTCCTGGCTCCGCATCACCTCAGGGGAAAACGTGTTCAGAGGCAGCCCATGACAAACGGAGGGATAAACGTGGAGATTGGGAACCCGTCATACAACATGTATGAAGTGGACCATGACAACCACGCTGATGCAGGCAGCCTGCTGAGACCCAACTTCACGCTGGACCCTCACAAGGTTGGAATTGAGAGCTCTACATTGAATCAACCACAGTGCCAACAAAAAACTAAAGCTTTAGGTTTTGTCTTAGCTCTTACAGTGCAGCGAACAGCTGCATATTGCTGCTATAATGACAAAAAAATACATGCTCAGTTTCTCATTTTTTTTCTAGAAAAGTTTCTTGTCTTTACAAGATCCTTGTCATGATATGACAGGATCGTTTTCATGTTTCCACCATTACTACCTGTCAAATTATTGTTTGTTAACAAGAAATTTTTCTGCTCATAACATATATTTTCATCTCGTTATATCTTAGAATACTGTGAGCTTGGTCTTTTACGATAACTAATCTACTCTGACATTAAATCCACACACAGTGATTATGCAGAGGTTTATAAAACAATATGAAAACAGCTCACAGCTATAATATATTAAAAAAGACACCTTTCCACATGACTCAGTCAATGCTATGATTGATCAATCTTGTGTTAGAACTGATTGATCTATCTATATGATCTATCGACCTATGTGACAGTTCATGTTACTGTATATGATGGATTGAAGCTACTGTGTCTGTTTAGGTATTGGCTGGATACCAGACTTATGTCAAACTCAAATGTGTAGTTGTTTTATAAGATGGGTCTAAAATGAGAGTTTTTTAAAATGTTCTAACAAGAATATATTGTTTGTCCAAGTGGCAGCAAAACACTACCATAAAACCTACCCAATGTGCTAGAGAGACCTGGAGAAAATATTGCAATATTTGTTGAGTTTGAAGCAAGTTACATCCTTTTTAGTCACGTCTTAGGAATAAAAGCAAAACATTACTCAATCTATATTGTCTAAGTCTCTACCCCTCTAACACGTCCCTGATAAATAATGCAGTGCTTGAAAAGGAAGAGAAGAGGAGCTGTGATTGGCCTTGGTCGATGCCAATCCCTATCACACCTGCTAATTATTTATGTTGTTGCAGAAGTGTCACTGCTGCACCAGCATCTAAAGTCACAACAACAGTGACACCCTGTTGATCACACCCAACTGAACCTGCATAATTGCCTTTGCTTCAACTCATTACATCTGCATCTAAGAATGCAGGTCCAGGGGTATAAGCAACTAACTTTGTGTCACCTGAAAGAAAAGTCTAACTTTGTGTTTAATTACAGAACGGACCGAGGATGCCAACGACCAACTCCAACCAAATATTTTCCAACTTTCTAAAAAATAATTTGGTGTTGTGTTCTTTGTCTCTGCTCCAATAACTGTGATAATGTGATGCCTGGTGTCAGTATAAATCAAATGGAATTACTTCAGGTTTCGCAGAGGTTTAGTAAAAGCTGTCTGCAGTAGTGTGCAGAATGTACATGTGCCATGAACCGGGGGGACTTTTTATCCGGCCGGTGATTTATTCTGTTCATGGCCCTCAACCTCACACTAACACTCGGCATATCAAATGAATCATAACACCTTCACTGATGTTGTTATCTAACTTACCTGCTAGAGCTTCAAGCCTAATGCTATTGCTTCTTGCCCTGCCAACTTTGACATCTGCTGTTGTCAGTCCAATCTGGCTGTATTTTCAGCAAAGGCTCTCTGGCTTGAATCTCAACTAGCTTCTGTATTCTGCTACACTCTCTTGGTCCCCTACAATTCCCTACTTCTTTAATTCAGTGCTGTTTTATTCTGAGTTAAACAAACATAAAAGAACCCAACAGCTGAAATGGTAATAAAATTTGAAGATGGATAAAAGAGTAAATGGCCATGCATTGTAATATGCTTCAAACTGTGAGCTGTATTAGTGAACTTAACTTTGCAGTGTGAACAGACGTGGTGCTTGTTGTGTTGCAGGGCTGGTGTGTAAAATCCAGTGACCCTCACACCTTGGGCATCAATTCTGTGCCCAAGGAGGTAATCCCTGGACAGGTGAATTTTCCAAACCTCACTTCGTGTTTTCCCTCCGAAAAATAAATCCACTCATGTAGGCAAACAGTGTGCACTGTGTAGTTACCTGGCAAACATTTTCAACAGGCTGATACAATTACCTGTACCAAATGCAAATCAGGCCAGAGTGAGTCATGGTAACATCCACAGTCATCTATAGCTGTTTCCTACATCAGCACCTAAGGTCATATATCATGATGTCCAAAAAAAATCAGAGCTCCTACTGTTCTATACTTTATAATGTAGACAGTGAGACTGCATGGCTATGTGATTCCTGCATGTTGCTGTCTGTTTCTGGCAGGAGTGTCACGATTCTCCATATCCACGGTTAGAATAGACTTTCAATTTCAAGGGTACGATTGATTAAATTTTCGATTTAAACTTTTTCTTTTTTTTGTCAGCATCAAAGGCTATGCCATTGTTACACCATCAGGTATTGATTTGTAATGATCAACAGATTGTGTGGTTTATGCCCTAATGGTGTGGTGTAACTGCCATATTTTTTTCTGGAATGTACCACACTAAGACCATATAGTAACTTTCAAATAATTTATTTAAAGCTTAGCGTGAAGCTAAACAACTTGAGTTCCCTCACCTGCAAAAAGCCACTTTCACGTCACTAGTGTGTCCTACAAACTGTAGTTTTTCTTAAAAACACATTGATTGTTTCCATAACTCACAGTGAATCCGGGGAAATCGCAGATCTTGCTTTTGACTTCAGTGATGCAAAATCTTGAGCTCATTTTAATCGATTCAGAATCAAAATCGTGACACCCCTAGCTACTGAACTATTGCTTGCTGAATAACAATCTACTAATACAATATGCATGAGTCTTGTCATGTGCTTTTCTTTGTACTGCTTTGGATAAAGCTGAACTTAGATGTGTAACCCATTTTGACAAACTTTGATAATCACAGTGGACTTTCCTTAAAGCTGCACTAATTAATATTTTTCTTACATTAACATTTGCTCAAATGGCCCTGTGTAATGTGAAACAGGAAGTTGCTTGTAGTGATGAACCCACAGAGAAGTATTACCCAACTCTGCAGTTCCCTTCAGCTATGCAGAGATTTTTTGTCTCTTTGAGCTTGTTGTTATGTTTTGTTTTTGCGAAAACTCTGCCCTAATCAACCTTTTCTGCAGATGCAGCAGCTGGTAAAGCAACTGTACACTAACTGCCGGCCACTAGCAAATGAATAAAGATAGCAGCTAACTATAGTGGTCAACATAGTGAAGCATTAAGCAGCTAAATGGCTAGGTGTTTTTCTCATAAGTTGGTGGAGACCAAAACAGAGTTTAAAGAAGAGTGAATATTTGACTCAACATTCATCAGTACAAAACATGACCCCAGATGAACGCTAATACTGTTCGTATCTGCTGGCTTTTATTAAAATATTTGCTGACATTTTTGCTTCAACAACGACGTAAGACGATCCAACAGAGGTGTTCTCAGCTTGTTCCAAAACAACAACAAAAATCTATTAATGCAGCTTCAAGACTCCCACTGTTCTATAGTCATTTATATCAACACATACTAATTTTTCTCCATCTTCTTTCCTTCCTGTGCAGCCCATGAACTACTCCAACCCAGTGTATGCAAAGATCTATATCGACGGGCAAAACTGCCGGAAGCCAGTCATCAGTATTGACGAGAGGAGAGAGCTACTCCCAAAGAAACTAGAGGGGACAATTCACGAAACCGCCGCATAGCCTAACTTTACACTTTGTACTTCTTTTTTTTACCACAGTGTACAATGTATAATATGAAGGAGGAAAGAAGAAGTTTTCTATTTCCTATGAGGCTCTTAGGTTTTACCGGTTTAGCATCAGCATAATGTCCTTGTTGGTGTGCTGAAGAGATTTATTTTCCATTTACTGTTTGCTTTCTAATGTTTGTCAAACATAAGTTATACAGCGCTATACTGTATACTGTATGACACTGAAGTAAAGCTGCTGATTTGCAAAAACTTTATTAACACCATAAGCCACACTTGTGCACAGTTTAAACCTTAAAATGCAGTGCTAAAATTTGTACCCATATCTGTTTCTAGTTTCAGTGGAATACGGGCAGTGTGTCGTTTTGTGAGGGTAATGAAAGAAGGTTGGCTCAATTTTTCTGAACAAATGTAAGTATCTTAGAGAAGAGTTAAGTGGGTTGTTTCTAAGGCTTTTTCTTTTTTTTAAACATTTCATAAGATGTGCAGGCCACAAAGCTTCACAACTGAGCAGCGAGGCTTGATATTTTTGAGGTTTTGTCTCTTTTTTTTTTCCTCGATACCTGATGGATCTACTGACTGGATTTCCAGTGAAGGCCATACTATCAACATTATCTTTTCTCACACAATATGTTATTCCATAGGTCTTGTGTCTTTTCCATTTCCGTGGATTCCCAGCTCCATCCGCCCTGTTTTCTACAGTATTATACCACACGCACCTATCCTTTGATGAAAGAGATTGAAGCCCACCTTGAATGTTCTCCGATCAGATTCCCAGATCCTGTACTGTACACTGAAAAGACAGATAGTGAATACCATATTTTTCTAGGTCTCATATATCAACAGATGGATGAAAGATGTAGACAAGGAAGAGGTTTACCACAGCTACAAAAAGGTTATTAAGAGTTATTATAAACACATCTGTTACTTCAGAAAAGGAAGATGATAAATATAAGAAATTTTATAATTTTGTATTTGATTTGTATGTTGTTTGGCTGCTTGTATTTTGAAGAAATGTATTAAATGTAAGTAATTTTTATATAAAATGTAAATCGATATTGAATAAAGGGGGCTTATTTCCACTTTGTGTCCATTTCTGAGGCCACAGCAGATCACAATACAGCATATTCAACCCCTGATCAAACTGGCAGAGTTGTTATATTTCTACGGTTCACATGGCCACTGACCTGACAAGTCAATCAGCAGCGTGAGGTCTTTCTCTTGCCGCGCAGAGGAAGGTGGCTGATGGGAGATTATTGCCCCCCCCTGTGTGTGCAGGAAGGCCAACACCATTCATTACCTGGTGGTGGTGGTGACACAGTGTCTTTGCCACCTGCTAAATGATAATTCAGTCTCCTTTTACCTTACTTACAATGGCTGTCTCTCCACACACTTCACCTCCTCCCTCACCATGGCAACCAGAGGAGGCAGCGGCACTCCTGCCCTTTCTCCATCTGTCTGTACTATCAGCTGGATCTGCCAGCACACTCAGCCCACCACATTTTGATGATGATACAAATAGATGCCACCGTTTCCAGCTTCCTTAATTGTCCTCCACAGTAAACCTTTGTAGCGATGAGGATGCCTATTAAATCTGCTGTGATGACACAGGACATTTCCAAAATGTTAAATGTCCATATTGTTTTTTTAATAGATAAGCCCATTTTCTACAAATTAAAAGCTTGTGTGGCTGTAATTGGACACGTATGTCTCTGATAAAGACTTGCTGATGTGCTAAGAGAATGAGGAATCTCTGCAGCGCTGCGGAAAGCTTTGCTACAACTGCAGCTAAGAAATGAAATGCACTGAATTGATTCAGAGTAATTGAATGTTTGATTTGATTGAGCTTTCTTGTGTTTCTGTGGGGAGAGCTTGTTGCAAAATGTATATCTCCACTTTTTTATAAAAGTGGTCTATGGGGGTAACTTGTGGTTTGACACAAGGGCAACCAGATGACAGCTATCCCATGTCCAGTTTTCTTATGGACGTGGAGTTCTGGAGGAAACAAATTCACAAAACAACCAGTGTAGGATTGTGGGTATTTGGTGCATTTCCAAGGCTTGGATTGACATGAGACTCCCCTGGTTAAATTGTCAGCACAAAAGATGAGCTACTCCATTGGAAAATATCTGTATTTCTTTTAAAATGCCTAGAGTACAAGCCTTTGTTCATAAAAACACAAGGAGAAAAGTCAACTACAACTTCCCCAAGAGCATTTCTGCGAGAAAAATCCCTTCACAGGGCTTAAAATACTGTTCTGTTGAATTCTGTTCCATGACAACAAGCCTGATGGTTATAGTATTCAATCATCTGCCACAACAACCTGATAAAAAGAAACACGCAAACAACATTGAAAAACTTATAACAGATTGTTATGACATAAACTAACAACAAAACTTTAAGTTAACATCAAGGATGTAAACACAGCAAAGTGCCCATTGACATGATCAAGAGTTCATACCTAGAGTATTTCATCCGTGAGTGTCTGCAAACCATGAAACATGTTAGAACTGCAGTCATGCAGCACAGGATGATGAAACATGAATGTAGTGTTGTATAACTAATGACTTTAGCAGTATACTGTAGATACTATAGTCATGTTTCACTGCTCTTTTGCAAGTTCCCTGAATCCATCCTCTTTTTAACAAAATCCTTCATATCAGCATAACTCAACTGAAAGCATTAAATATGTGATGTGAAAACTGTAAAGAACATATGGCTGCAGAAGCAAAGAACATCTTGTTGTTTAACAGCAAACTCAAACTGCAAACAAACGTCTTTGTTTCCTGCTAGATCTTAAATACCTCATCCTCTAATACAGACCTGAGAGCCTTTTAAAAATGATTAGCAGTTCTATTGTATTCTATTGATACTGGAATAGGTCAAGGAAAGGTGCACTTAATAATTTTTTTCATTTCCCCAAACATAAAATGATTGCCTGTAGAGGAGTTATTGATACTAATGATTAGAATAATAACCACTCTAACTTTTTACTATCATAAACGTGATTTGAGTCCATAATTTATGCCTTTAATTGGTGCAAATTACAGGACATTGCCAGAGATGTCATGTTTCCTACTGGTCACTGATAGATGGCAGTTAAAATTGTAGATTATATTTATCAGGAAAATTGATTCTTTTAACTGATAGTGCAAGTAATGGTTAATTTAGAGCTCACTCTTGTGAGAACATCCTCTCCACAATAAGCCTAACCTTGCTTGCTATATAATATTTTTTGACTGTTGGACCACTTTGTTTTATAAAGTTTTTAAGCATCTACCTTAACGTCAAACCATTCGCTCCTTGTGTCTATCACAGCTCTGTTTTGATGATGTGACACTGGCAGCTGTATTAATATTTTAACTGCTTGTTTCCCAATACGACTACTGACACTGCTAAATATGTTTGTTGTCTGTTGATTTCCAACAGCTGGACTTGAAGCTCCATGGTGTAAAGTTCCTCTATATATAATTTGGTAATATTTGTGTAAATATTAATGAATGATTTTACAACAAGTTAGTGCAGTTAAAAGAGTCTAGGGAATCTGACTGTGACATGGGTGGACAATGGGCCAATGTTTGGTGTCTTTTGTACAGCTGTCATTTTGTTTCTCTTTGAGATCGTCTTGTGTACCCTTGAAGTCGTTTAGTTTCTCTTTGATTTTTTTTTAATCCCTTTGTGGCTGGGTTTTGTCTGTATGTACAGTCATTTTGTGTATTTTTGTAGTCATTTTGTGCCTTTTTGAAGTTGTTCTGGGTGTCTTTGAGGTCATCTTGTGTATCCCCGCAGTAGTTTTGTGTTTGTTTTGTCTCTTTGAGGTCATTTTGTGTCTTCTTTTTTTCTTTTTAAGATTTTTTTTTGGCTTTTGCCTTTATTAGACAGGACAGACTGAAGTGTGAAAGGGGGAGAGAGAGGGGATGACATGCAGCAAAGGGCCACATTGAGCCCACGGCTGCTGCGGTAAGGACAATGCTTTTGTACATTGGATGCCCACTCTAACCACTGAGCTAATGGACACCCCTTTTTGGTCATTTTGCATCTCTGTAGTCATTTTGTGGTTGTTTTGCTCATTTTATGTGTCTCTTTGCAGTTCCTTTGCGTCTGTTTGTGGTCTGTTTGTGTGTCTTTATGGTCATTTTGAGTCTCTTCCTGGTCGGTACGTGTTAATTTGAGTGACACAGGTGAAGGCCAGGTGGGCCTCCTGACACTTTAGGCCCCTGGGCCTGTGCACACTAGACCTGTTCAGTAATCACTCAGCAAGTAAACCTCAAAGGAAGTTTGGATAAGGATCTCAAAATGTTGTTGCACAAGGCCCATTCAATGTTATCTGCTCTTGTTCACCAGCAAAATTTATTCAAATTGAAAATGTTTGATAACAATTGATGATAAAGCTCCAAAAAACTTCAAAAATGTCAAGAACATCAAGAATGATCACTGAATAATGAAATCTTGAGGCTGAATTCAACCACCATCTATTTTTTTTTTAAAAGATGTTGGAAACTGCATTGTATTGTAAAAATTTCAGATGACCCTGTGACTGTTCTTTTCTCATCAGCTTTGCATTTTTTGTGTTAATTATTAACACTGGTAGTCAAAAAAAAAAAAAATTATTAAATATGCAGAGTAAATGAGAGAAGGTGTTCTGCAATGTAAAGTCAATTGTAATTCACCACAGGCTTTCTTCATATAACAGTCTTCAACTAATTGAGACCTCTAGCTCAGCACTGATAGAATACAGCTGCACTGGGAGAAATGAGGAAAGGGCTGCTGCCCACTCACTCAGTTCCTAAAGTGTATCAAAAGAAAAGAAAAACTGAAATTTGAAAACTCGTTCTGAACTAAGAGATGCCTGGCTCTCCCCTCCCCTCACCTTGCCTATTGATTTATTGTCTCTTTTCCACTTAGCAAGCATCACCATTCTCCTGCATAAACATCAGAAAAACCCAGAGGGCTCATCTCTCGGACAGAATCAATAACAGCAGGAGTCGTATTCACATTATAAACAACAGCTCCTGCATACTCATGCTACAGCCTGCACCAAGGAAAGCTGCTCATTCCTCCGTGTGGGGTGAGAGGGAGGGAGACTGTAACAGGAACTAAGAGAGGAAGAAAGGAGTGATGGAAACAACTGCAAACCCCCAGCTAATGTAGCTACAACATCTTTTACTGATGATTTGATGATGAATCTGATGAGCTTCTCACTGTTAGACAGTGAAGAACATGACACACACTCTTTTTGTGATGATTTTTATGGGAAGAGATGGCTGATGTGTGATTGTCATGTGCAGACACCTGACTGACAACAGCACATACAGCTGCATACAAATGTTTGTCCACCCCTGGTCAAAATCACCTTAACCATGAATAGCTAAGCAAGGAAAAGATGACCTGATCTCCAAAAGGCAAAAAGTTATAGATGACACTTTTCTTTAATATCTTAAACAAGATTTCTTGTTTTTATTTCAGTCTTTTACAGTTTCAAAATAACAAAAAGGAAAACAGCCTGAAGCAATAATCTGGGCACCCTGCATCGTCAGTACTCAGTCGTGCCCCCCTTGGCAAGCATCACAGCTTCTAAACACTTTTTGCAGCCAGCTAAGAGTCTTTCAATTCTTGTTTGGGAGATTTTTGCTCATTCTTCCTGCAGAAGGCTTCAAGATCTGTGAGATTCTTGGGCTGTCTTCATGTGCTGCTCTTTTGAGGTCTGTCCACAGATTATCAATGATGTTTAGGTTGGGGGAAAGTGAGATCCATGGCAAAACCTTTAGCTTGCGCCTCCTGAGGTAGTCCATTGTGGATTTTGAGTTGTGTTTAGGATCATTGTCCTGTTGTAGAAGCCATTCTCTCGTCATCTTCAGCGTTTTTACACATGGTGTGATGTTTGCTTCCAGAATTTGCTGGAATTTAACTGAATCCATTCTTTCCTCTACCTGTGAAATGTTCCCTGTGCCACTGGCTGAAACACAAGCCCAAAGCATGATTGATCCATCTCCCTGTTTAACAGTTGGACAGGTGTTCTTTTTGCAAAAATCTGCACCCTTTTCTCTCCAAACATACCTTTGCTT